GATTAAAATTAGAAATTACATTTCCATTGTCCTTATTTGACCCAAATTTGGGTTAAAACAAGCCTGTTTAGAGCGTATTATATAAAACCTCAAGTTATTTTTATGATGACAGAAATATTTCTGCGAGTAAATTCCGCTGGGTTCAATGAAAAGGTCCACCGGCACTTAACCATATCTGCTATTTATAGAGAGACACTAGAATCATTGCTTTACAGCTCCAGTGTTTATGTAGAATTATTCTCGCCATTATAGAGATTATTAGTGGGTATAACTATTGTAATTGAAAGTTTATGATACAATAGCCTCGTAAACAAGCTATATAAGTAATACTAGACGGGTAATGAGTTTGTTTAGCGTTTTTAAGTGGCAGGTATTCTTCTTTTATTGTTTTTTACACTATTTGCCCTAATTAACTTATATTTATAGATCATTCTGTTAAATTTGAGGTTTAAAAAGAGGTTTTAAGATGGGAAAATAAACAGACAAATATTTATCTTCATCCTAGGAATTTTTTTTGCGACAAAATCAGTACTTCCATGATACTTGGGAAATTTCCTTATGATTTACAATTATTATTGTCATAACTTATTTTTTTTTAAAATCCCAATAAAAATGCTTTGAAAACATCTTAAATTTTAAAAAAATTTTAAATATTTTTTTTCTTTTCTCTGAATCCCCACATGTTCCTGATCATTGTTCTGTATATTTTCTTTTATACTGAATTATGCAATTTAAAATACAATGTTAGTTCATTAATATACAGCTGTTTATTGTTCACTGTAAAAAAATATTTTCAAGATTTGTTATCACAACATTTTTTTTTCTTTTGTCAAATCAACTTAAATAATTTTTTTAGTTCAGATAACTTATTATTTTAAGTTTCTGATGGTTAAATCAATCTCCTTCATTGTATTAACTCACTTTTTCCAGTTCAATCAACTTAAAATTTTAGGGCAACCAGGTTACTTAATTTTTTAAGTTAAACCAACAATATATTTACAGTATATTAGTTCACAGTGCATTGTAACTGCTAACACGATTTTAATATAGCATTAGTAATTGAACAGTTGAGTATTTTGAAATTAACATTACCAAAGATTAACAAATGCTGTATATGTGCAGTTCATTATTAGTTCATGTTAACCAATGTTAACTAACAAACCTTATTAAAGTGTGACCCCAAAAAAAAAAAACTTGGGGCTTTTTTTTTAATTAATCACAATTAATATTCTTCCATCTGACTGATTTAAACACATGTTCAGTTTCTATTAATAAATGCAGAAATGATTTAAACTTAATAAAAAAGTGCTAAGCTAACACTTTACAACAAGGTTCATTAGTAAACATTAGTAGTTATGAACTAAGAATGAACAATATGTATTAATCTTAATCTTAATTGCAACATTTACTAATACGTTTTTAAAATATCAGGTTGTATTTTAACGTTAGTTAATGCACTGTGAGCTGTATTTTTATTAACTAACATTAACAAAGATTAAAGAAATACGTTCATGTTAACTAATGAACCTTATTGTAAAGCGTTACCGAAAAAGTTTTGTAGCTCCAGAATTGCATATGTAGAACACATATCAACAAGCTTTTGTTACTGTGGTGAGAATATTTTTTACAACATGCCCCAATAAAGTTTATGACACGAGGGAGCTATCAGCAAGCTTGTTTATACACTTCTCCCCTTACCAGAAATAGAGCATTGATAAAGTGAAAATGAATCAATAAGGTAACAAGACACATTTACCAAATCATTAAAACATCTTTATTCGTTTTATTAAATAAATCAACATGTCATTAGAATCCCTATATTTCTCTCGTATGTAATCAGGATACAAGGCTATAGAGAATTCGGTCCCCTGTGAGATGAACACAGATGACAATGTCAAATGTCTTCTTTCATTTTAGAAATTCACAAAGATGAAGAAGATAGCAGGGCTGAAGGTTGTGGGCATATGGGCTGTGTGTGTGAGTGGATATGAACGAGGGCAGATGTATATTGTTTGCTCAACAGTGGCTTTCGCTGGCCTTTGGACGCCACACCCTGGCTTTGTTAACGTGGTCATAAAACAGGTCCTGTTTCAGCGACGCCGTGGAGGAGATATGTGATGCCCGTCAAGCTGAGCTTCTCTGTCACACCATTGATAAGAGAGTCCAGAGTGTGCTTGATAATGAAATAGCTCACAGTTTCTCCTCGGTGTATCCAGCGATGCCGTTACACTGAGCAAACAGCGTGAGCTCCGGCTCGAGTGCTGTCTGTTCGCCCGTGGGTCTCGGACCGCTCTTCTTCTCAGGCCCTGTTTACAACTGGTGTGATTTAGTAGATCGGATCACAAGTGGGCGACTCTAAATACAAGTGTAAACGGGTATAAAACGTCCACTTAATTTCCATCAGGTCCAGAGGGAGTTGAAAACACATTGGTAGTAAACGCTCATATGATCAAATGAGTTTAGACACTAATACGCCTCATTCACGGCAGCGCCATCTTTGATTTTTAATGAGAATGAAAGCGAGGCTGTGAGGGATAGACTTGCATCTCTTCAATGGGCTGTACTGTTATTTAATGTGTTTTCATTTTGTTCTGCTCATGAAACACTGGAAAAATATCTTTCCAAGAAATTTTAGTTGACAAAAAACTCCCGGCAATATAAGCTGTGGAAAATTGTAAGTAATCTAGGAGCTTTAGGGGCCGTTCACATATCGCGCCTAAAAACGCGTAGAAAACGCTAGGCGCACGCGTTCTCCTTTTTCCAAAGAAGCGCTAGGGCGGTTGCACTCCGGAGGCGTCTGTCGTTGCTAAGCAACCATCAGCTGCGCTCTCCATTACATGAAGGAAATTTCAGCAATGGATTTCCACCACCGAAAAACCCTTGTAACTCTGTTACAAGATTTATTTACTCAGAAAAGTTAAAAAACGCCGCAGTGTTTGGGTGCACCCCATACAACAAAAACGCAAGAACCATGGGGAATTTCACCAGCTGATTCAGGAACTCCGCCTGGACAATGGGAGGTTCAAAGCCTATTTCAGAGTGGACAAGGACCAGTTTGATTATATTTTAAGAAGAGGTAACAAAAATGGCGAGGAAGCTGATTGGTTCGTGTCACGTGACCTACGGTGCGCTTGCGGCATTCTGAAAAGTTGAGATGTTTTTATCTCGATGCGGCGCGGACGCGCCTGGAAAAAACGAGCGCGTCGCACCGCGACCGCGTCGCTTCCATTATGAGCGCGCATACCGCGCGCCTACATTTGAAATAACGAACTTGAGCGCGCAAAAGACGCGATATGTGAACCGGCCCTTATTCGGCTTTTTACAGCGGATGCCATTGGAAACACGGTAAGTCTATCCCTCACAGCCTCGCTTTCATACCTGTCATGGAGCTGCTCTGAATAAGGTCTATGGTCTCGTTTACACTGCTTGATTTCCAATTCTGGGGTGTGTTTACCATATTCACGACGACAAAGTGGTCGTTCAACCGCGTTCACGCACGTGGTGGAGTAATAACTTATTTTAATGAAACTGTTTGAGATCAAATTAAAGCTACAATAGCTAAGATTTTGTGCCGCTAGAGGGCACTACATTCAGAAAAACAACAACGGCTTTGCTTGATGACGCCGTGGAGGAACGCGGAATGATGGGAACTGTTGTTTTCAACTCCACCGGGGATAAATCAGTCAGACGGGAATCGAAGATTAGTTGTCATGGATGAGGTAAAGTTCGATTTCTATAACTGTTGCGTTTAATGACATGCTTGTTTTTCATTAAACTGAAATAACCGCAAGAAAAGTAAGGTTTAAAAGTCAATTAGTTAGCACAGATGTTAGGGGAGAGCCGGGACGGTTGAAACACTTTTCAGATAAACGTCGTTTTCTAAGATACAGCCAACAGTATTCGCGGTTAATATGACTATATGATTTTTCACATCATATGCATAGACAACAAGACATTCTAACAGTAATACTAATTGTTTTGCATGGTTTACTGACATGAAATTTGAATAACACGGTGTTACTCACCTGTCAAACACATGCAAGATCGGCGTCTCTTTCTAGTTTGAGTTTTTCACGAACTTCCAGCAGGATAATGCACCATGTCACAAAGCTCCAATCATTTCAAATTGGTTTCTTGAACATGACAATGAGTTGAACAGCATCCAAGATGTAGATGACTTTCTATCTGCAGTAGTTTCAATTTTGATATTTTTAGGTCAAACCGTTCTTGTCTGTCAGTCATATAGAGGTCTATGGTCACCACCTCAAAGAGCATGCACAGAGAAGTCCAGATTAAACATGATTTAATGACTCGTAAATGTAAGTACACGTTGCTGGCCTAAGACACGAAACAAGCGGTTTGTGTGAGAAAACGAACAGTATTTATATCGTTTTTACCTCTTGTAACCACAAAGCGCCCGTGCCCTCAGATCAGTTGGAAGTGGCTGTGGTAACGAGGTAAAAACGATATAAATACTGTTCGTTTTCTCACACAAACCGCTCGTTTTGTGTCTTAGGCCATCAATGTGTACTTACATTTACGAGTCATTAAATCATGTTTAATCTGGACTTCTCTGTGCATGCTCTTTGAGGTGGTGACCATAGACCTCCATTATATGACTGACACACAACAACGGTTTGACCTAAAAATATCAAAATTGAAACTACTGTGGAAACAAAGACACCTACATCTTGGATGCCCTTGAGGTAAGATAAAACATTTTAAAAAATGAATATCAAAGTGAACTATCCCTTTAATATCAGGTGTAAACTGGGCCTAAGATGCGGCTCCTACGGTGTTTTCTCTCTAAATGTGTGTGAACATCTGACATTTTCTCAGTAGTCCTTGCAAAAAGAAGGATGTTTTAAAAGAATATTAAAAAACACCCTAAATGAAACTGACAAATCAGTGCTTGATACGATTAGCTCGTATGTTAGATCTCTGTTAAGGCACAATTTAATAATGTCAGATATAAGAATGAATGGATGGAAACGCTGCTCTCCTTGGCAAGTCTGAAATGAATCGATTTGCCACGATAAAACATTTATTTTATTAATACAAATTACTTTAGAAATACACAATTATTTTAATTCCGTTTCATAATCTCAAAAAATCTTAACGTTTACAATGATGAACAAAACAACAGCGGTAATAAAGTACTAAAACAAAGAAACCAACACGGCCAGAGAAATATTACACAACCTTTCAGGTTTACGTTGCTTCATTTTACTTTGGAATGGTAGTTGACGACTTTTTGTTAAACCCCCATCAGACAGTCTTTTGTCACGTTCGTCACAGTTTCTTTTTCATCACAGCAAAGATGTGTTGATTTTAAAGTACCATGTGTATGTCTAAGTGTGAAAGGGCAGTATAAAAATATTAACAGTCAAAGTCTCTCTTCAGTACTCTTCTTTGATATTCATTGGCATGGGCGGCGAGACCAGTCCGCCGCTGCTACTGGTGACCATGGACACGTTGCCCGGGAGAGATGATCCAGGTGGGGTCGGTGTGGTTGTGGACGCTGGCTGAGGCTGTTGCATCTTCTTTTTATTGACTTTCCTCTCTTTTGCACGCCGGTTCTGGAACCAGATCTTCACCTGTCAACAACATGCCATGAGTCATACTGGGGAAAAAAAAATTCCCTCGAGAGTTATTGAGGCAAAAGTCGCTTTCGTCTACATCTGACGTATTAGCAAATTACTTTTAAATGGGACCTATTATGCAAAAAAGACATTTATATTGTCTTTGAACATATTTATGTGTCCGCAGTGTGTAAACATCCATTCACTTTGTTTATTTTCCCCATAAATCTGAAACAGTGCCTCAAAGTGAGCCGTTCAGGAATGTGCTCCAATATGATGTCACATCGGAACAAGCCCCGCCCACGAGTGCAGACAGACCCCGCCCTATTAGGTTAGCTCCGCCCCTCAGTGAGCTGCACACAGTCAGAGCCAGAGCATTCAAGTAAGAAATATATTCTTATTAAATCTACTAGTTATTCAGTCAAGAGCAGGGAGTGATTTTGTTTTTAGCTTTGTATGGATGGATTTATACATTCAAAAAAACATATTAGTCTAAACTGTGAGCATGACCACGATAGATGATAATCAAAACCAAACAGATGTTTTGTTTTCAAATACAAGGATTCAGTCTCTCTGTCGTGTTTGGGTGTAGGGATGGGTCAGCTCTCGCACTCGAGGCACACACACGGTCATGAGAGTAAGGCTTTTTTATATTTTTATAATAAAAAAAATAGCCTACTTGAGTGCCTTGGATTGTTTTGATTTTGGCAGAATATCAGAGTCACTGTACAGGCTCCACCCTCTCATGGAAAGGGGGCGGAGCAGCAGCTCATTTGCATTTAAAGACATGCACGGAAAAAGTAAGTTATTGCGTTAGTGTTTTTTTCTGGAATGTAATGCGTTACGTTACTTTTGCATTACTTTTTCTCACCTGGATGGGGTTTGCTTACCAAAAAATCAACAACAACAGCTCTATTTTGGCAAATGTATAGGCCTTTTCACCAAAGTGAAATGAAAGGGATAGCTCACTTTGAAATTAAATTTTGGTATGTTTTAGCTTACCTAAAGGGCATCCAAGATGTAGGTGTCTTTGTTTCCACAGTAGTTTCAATTTTGATATTTTTAGGTCAAACCGTTGTTGTGTGTCAGGCATATAATGGAGGTCTATGGTCACCACCTCAAAGAGCAGCACAGAGAAGTCCAGATTAAACATGATTTAATGACCCATAAATGTAAGTACACATTGATGGACTAAGACACGAAACGAGTAGTTTGTGTGAGAAAACGAACAGTATTTATATCGTTTTTACCTCTTGTAACCACAGCCACGTCCAACTGATCTGAGGGCACGGGCGCTTTGTGGTAACAAGAGGTAAAAACGATATAAATACTGTTTGTTTTCTCACACAAACCGCTCGTTTCGTGTCTTAGGCCATCAATGTGTACTTACATTTGCGAGTCATTAAATCATGTTTAATTTGGACTTCTCTGTGCATGCTCTTTGAGGTGGTGACCATAGATCTCCATTATATGACTGACAGACAAGAACGGTTTGACCGAAAAATATCAAAATTGAAACTACTGTGGAAACAAAGACACCTACATCTTGGATGTCCTTGAGGTAAGATAAAACACCAAAAATTAATTTCAAAGTGAACAATCCCTTGAATAACCCCGCCCCTAAACATACCCGGGTCTAGATGTACGAAATTAGCCGCCAATTCGCTAAAACGTAAAAGGGTTACGAATTGTTGTGAGATTGTGTTGGCCATTCTTGCAAAAGAATAGGAATTCATCACTCTTACTTGCACAACATGATGTTCATCTAAAGTCATTTTGCACATGTGAAATTCATGTGTTTTTTTATGTAACGGTGGATCATTGAAGTTCAGCAAATAAATTTAGTTAATAAAGGGAGTTTAAATACATAAAGTAGCCTATATTTGTATTATTTAACATTTTTATTCCAGATTCACACAATATTTAGTGTTTGCATTTCATATTGTTTTAACACTGAATCTGTGGAAGTGAGATGAATATTTGTCTCATATTTAGTCACTAAAGTGAGATAAAATACATGTTACTTAAAATGTATTTATACAAGATTTGTGTAATATTCAGTGTTTGGGTTTCACTGTATTTGTTCATTTTGATGAATGCTGAATCTGTTTTTGTGCAAGTAAGATAAAAAAAAATAATCTGTTCATATTTTGAGATTAAATGCACGAATTATTTAAGATTTAATTATTAAAGATTTACATATTGTATTTCATATTGTTTTGAATCTGAATCTGTTTTTGTGCACGTGAGATGAGTCAGTCAAAAATGAACTGTAAAAAAGATTTGTTATTACAACATATTTTCTTTTGTCAAATCAACTTTATAATAATTTATTTAGTTGAGATAACTTATGATTTCGAGTTTCTGATGATTAAATTAATCTCCTTTGTTGCATTAACTCACTTTTTCAATTTTAAGGCAACCCAGGTTACTTACTTTTTTAAGTTAAACCAACAATTTTTTTTTACAGTGTAGTTATCACAAGATTTTTTCTTTTGTCAAATCAACTTAAATAATTTATTTAGGTCAGATAACATATAATTTTGAGTTTCTGATGGTTAAATTAATCTCCTTCATTGTATTAACTCACTTTTTTCAGTTCAATAAACTTAAAATTTTAAGGCAACCAGGTTACTTACTTTTTTAAGTTAAACCATCAATATTTTTTTACAGTGAAAACAAAGTAACTTGCATAACTAATTTGAAAAGTTAACTCATAATAAATTAAAAAGTAATGTTACTTTGCTAGTTACTTGAAAAAGTAATCCGATTACTTGTGATGCGTTAGCCCAACACTGCATATGAATGATGTATGATTGCTAAGAATATGATCTGAGATTTGTGTGGGCTGTATTAAAGCTGCTGACCTGTCTCTCTGACAGACTGAGTGTTGTCGCCAGCTCTGCTTTTCTTCTTATCGTGATGTAGCGACTGTAATGAAACTCTTTCTCCAGCTCCAGACGCTGATGGTCCGTGTACACTACCCGGTATTTATCTTTTGTTCTGGTCTTTCCTCCTAAAAGAAAAACACCACAGCAAATTCATCAGTCCATCTAAGAATTCACTCTACACACGATTAACCTTTTTTTCACATAATAGAAAATGAATTTTTGTATATGCCATACTAGAAATCAATGGAAATCTGGTTCCTTTTTCAAGGCTAAACATCATATGGCGTTCATGATGATTTGAAACAAAAATCAAATTGACTATAATTAATGACAATGTGATAAAAAAATAAAGGGTCTTTTCGAGTTAATGCAGTAATGTGTTTATCTTCTCTATTAAAAAGTAACTATGGGAACAGTGTTTGCTCCCTTAATCAAGCCAATCGTTAAGAGCACACATATATAAAACACCAAGATGTGCATGTTATAAAGGTCTTTGGAATCGCGTCTCTATATTTCAAACTTAGTTTACCCTGTCAGAGGCAAGAGTGGACTTAAGTGGCCGGCGGGTTAAATATTAAAACACACACACACAAACACACACACACGGCGAGGGGAAGGACACCGCCTGTCTAGGGCAACACACACACAGATAATTACGCTTCTCAACCATATAGCATCTCTTCATCCAAAATCTAGTTATCATTAACCCGGCCGAGCAACTCTCCTCCATTTTAAAGCCAGATATTTCATTGTGATGTATAAAATTGAGTGTTAATGAGCTAATAATGCTTCGTTTGTGCTTAGCTGGCTCGGGACTTTCGACAGTTCGTCGTAGTGTTTAGTAATTAAAACTTCTGTCTTGAGGAATTGCCTCAAGATCCTAGTTTTGTGGCACACGTATGAGTGACAGTGTTCACACGGAGAGTTTTCCCCAGCTTTTCTATGATGTCATGGCATGGAATTAATTAATGAGTCATTAATGGTCCCTGAAGTTTCTTTAACAATATGCTGAAATATCAAAGATCTCAGTAAATCTCATCGTTTCCCATCTGATGGAAATATTAGGTCCAACTATTAAATATTCTCAATTTATGTTGCATTTCCCATTTTGTATAATCAGTGAGATCCATTTAATATAAATTGATTGATGTGTTCACATATTCCCACGCTATGCAATTATTTATTTGTATTTAATGCTTTTTTACGGTTTATTAAAAAAAAATCCTTATACTGCTATTTTGACAGTTTCATTGTTAAACTCTATAACTGCTGGGTTGTTTTAACCCAATTTTGGGTCAAATATGGACAAACTCAAACATTGGGTTAAAAATGTTATTTAAAAATATAACCAAGGCTGGGTTTGTCCATATTTGTCCCAAAATTGGGTTAAAACAACCCAGCATTTTTTAGAGTGTACACATTTTACAATTTGTTATAGTAATAATTACATGCAACTAACCCTAAACCAAACCAAACCCTAATCCTAAGTGCATGTAGCTAATTATTATCACTCTTAAATGTATAATTACACTGTTACAAGGTGTTTTTGTTGCACTTTAATTATGAGTAATACTACTACATGTACTTACTAGGCTATATGGTTAGGATTAGGAATTGGTTTAGGGTCAGTTGCATGTAATTATACATCATTTATAGATATTACACGAGTAACTGCATGTATTAGTTAATTCCACGTGCGCATCCGTGTATTCAACAGACTTCTCGGCATCCAGGCATAAAAAAGAACAAAGAGTGACATCAAAGCAAAGGGACTCCCACACACACACACATTTCTATTAGCATGACAAACGCGTGAATGCAGAGGAGTTTTGTCAGCTGTAAAGCTGTGGCCGTGGCGCCGAGCTCGCCAGTTTCGACGTTACATATGGCATAGGCCGGAACTGAACTTATTTAAAGGGCTTTTTGCGAACCGGATAGTTATGTCAACACGATCTCGTGAAAAATATTAGCCTACGAATTGTATTTATCGTGCAATTTATAGGCTACGCAAAAAAATAAAAAAAATAAAAAAATTGAGTTTTAATCACGTGCATATGATACCCCTTGGGTAGGATTGGATTGTGTATTACACGCCATAAATATACACGTAAAAACTCTTTTCTGCACGATAAATACAATTCGTGCTTTAGGTTATGTGTTTCTATGAATATTATAATAATCATTATACTTTTTGAAGTGCGATAATTGCATTCAGATCAGATTTGAAGTGCACCTGAGTTTGACGGGGGCGCGCTCCGACGCATCCAGTCGTACGGGTTCCGTCTCTGCGAGTTCGGCGACAGCTGACCGACTGACGAGTTTATGGACGATGGAAGAAGGCCTGACGCTTGGACAGACGAAAACTCCGGAGGACTGAAGCCCAGCTGACCCGTGCCCGAAGCCGAAGGTCCGGTTCCTGTGCCATAAGGTGTCCATTCCTCTCTCGGAGGAGGGTACGCGGGGTTCCAGCCTCCGGTTTGGCTGTGGTGAGGCTCGTTGGTAATCCCAGGGACGTGATGGTATCCAGTGAAGTCCGGATACTGTGGAGGTGCGGTGACAAAATTCGGAGGGTTCAGGTTTAGGCTTGGGTGTCTCACGGAATTTGGGTACATGCTGGTGTCCTTCTCTAAGAGGTAACTCACATACATTTTCCCGCCTGATGACTCCAGTGCATTATATGCACCCGCACGATTGATCTTGGCTCCTCAGACCCAGGTTTCCCTATAACCTGACGGTTCGTCTACCTGGACAGATTCTCTGAACGCTTCAGCCTCGGTGCCTGCTAAAGGTTGCGAGGCTGACGTCACGTTTATGATCTCGATCATCACCCTCCCACGGTATCGAAAGACAGCGGCCCACGAAAGAATGCAATGACTTATTATATAATTAATTATCCACTGCAAACATGTTAGTTGGCTCATTTTTAGGAAAATGTAATATTGTAAAAATGATAGGCTATTGCTTTTCAAGGCCTACATGAGGCCAACCTCAAGTCGTTTTAAAAGTTAAATGTGATGGATATTATAGTATCGCTGTGTTTGTAAGATAGATACGTTATTGTTAAAATTATACTTTTTAAGAAGTGAAAGGGTCAACTTATAGGCTATAGGGAAAGAAGCATTCACGAAATTCGCATCAATATATATTTGAATACATTTTGTTAAAAATATATGATTGTTTTCATATTGTTTTTAGTTTTGTGCTCTTATTGGCAAGATTTCTGGAGAAAATAATTATCATAAACTTTAAGTCATAACGTGGCCTTCCAATATCATTTTACATAAAAAGGGTTATTTTATATAATTGATTAAAAATTAAGTAAAATTATAAAAAAAAGATAAAAAAATTAAATTACATGCTGTAATAACACTTTGTCACTATTTTAATAATACGATTTTGCCAAACAAAACTAGTTTATACCATATTTCTTACACAAAAATATTACAGTGTAGTTAGCCTCACACACACTATATCACGCACACATACGACTTTTGATTATGATTGGATTTAAGACAAGGAACAGCTACAGTGTGAACAAGGCAAAGATCATGGCCATAATATAATCATTTACATTTATGTCATTTTAGATTTTATGGGATGTGCGTTAAAATGTGACACATTTGCAGACACATTTTATGTTCTTAATGCACTGGATGTCATAGAAAGATTATTTCAATGCTTGGTATGACTAGCCTACACATGGAATGGGATTTCCTCAGTGTTCGATTCCGAACCTCGGCTGGTTCGAGTTCTGGTGAATGATTCCATGGAATGCGCAGGTGTTCCATTCCGAACCTTCGCGTTAGTGAACCTGCAAGACGAAATTAAACACTGGCTCGTTTTAAAATAGGCAACATATAATGGTGAATATATAGCAGAGCTAATGTTGTTAGTCTGTTTTTCAACAGATTTTTTCTAAAAGTGTGCCTCCTTTTTTACTAGAAAATCATCCAGTTTATAGAAATGTGTTTTAAATTTATGTAATCAGTGAACAGGCATTGATGTCTATTGTACAGTTATGCAATATAGCCTAATTAATATTTCTATTTCGATTGTGATGTTGAGCTCTCACTTTTAAAAGCGTGTTTAAGAAGGCAATCGTCGGTGTCGGTGGACAGAGATGAAACTAATTTACTTTACGAATATAGGCCTACTAAAAACCAACGTCGGAGATGAAACTAATAGCAGATTATATTTCAGGATGTCTTATATCAAGTCTCCATATCATCCAAAACATAAAGGTGTATACGGTCATAAAATATACTTAAAAAAAAAAGAAAAGATGGAGACGAATGAAACCATCATACAGATATAAAAATTTTAAGAAAGACATCAAAAGACTTATAAAGATACAAAATAATGCGAGAGCGTTGTAAAAATGAACGAATCGTTCACATTTGTTTAGCTACAAGAAAATAGACTATTTCTGTCTTTCTCCAAAATTGCACGTTTAATTCAGCCGTTTATTAAATTAGGCCATTTGTGAAATGTAAGGCCGATGTCGTTGTGATTTTTTAAAATTTATTTATTTATTTTTTAGTATACCTATATGGCACATATTTTATCTGCGATGTGTCTCGGGCTGATTCTTCAGACATTTACAGTTATAAGTGCTGCCTACGCTATCTCTCGACCAATTCGTATATACGAACTAATCAATAATATTTATGATAAGATAATAACAAACATCGAGTGCGTTTGTGGGGAAATAATTATATAATCAGTGTATCTTTATTTAACTTCATTCGATTAGAAAAATTGTAGCTATTAATATAAGACAACAACACCATAGATTGCTTTAGATTTTTTTGGCTAGACAATTTTTGTATCCTGGGCCTATTTCGTAAACTAATGTCTATATAGCCTCCACAAATTATCAGGATTTCATCTTATCTAACATAGGCCTACATTTCTTCAGAATTTAGTCATTTCTCGTATACTTTGACATTGTCACTCAACTAGCAGGTCAACATCTGAAAACCTACAAACAGAAACCGTCATATTTTAATCCATTATAGGCATATTTCCCACATCCAAAAAAGACATTGAGGAAACAATAATGCAAACGATTTTTGCCAGTCCAGGAGGAGAAAGGGGTTTGGAGTCGGTTTGAGATGTGTGGGACACGTTTCACAGCCGGGTGTGACTTCCTTGTGATTGAAATGGGAAGCGCTTTCGACAGAAAGGGTGAGAATAACTTGCTGACCCCGAGAAAGCAACAGACGGAACTGATTTTCAATGGTCGAATTACAAATAAAATAAATAGCATATATATTATCAAAATATTTCACTGTTGATTAAATCACATTTAGTCTGTTTGGAGTGAAAAACAATGTGCTGATGGTGGATATTGCGGGTATAATGTCTCTTAGCAGAGAGCTCGTTCCCTTGTTAACACCCAGCTGTGAAAAAGAAGATTTTAATTCGTACTTGCATTTACAAGGCATCACACTTTCTCTTCGATCATTCGACCACACACCAATTCGTGCTTCCATATTTTGGCAATATAACCACAATAAATAAAATAAAATACGATTGTTTAAGTGGGTATGAAAACCACGTTGTAGTTTTTACCTAAGATCGGGTTTACCTCCTTACCAGGATAAATATATCTTAAAAATAGCAATTTAATAAAAGCTTTCATTATACAATTGTCTATATACTTGCTTTTATTACATTTAGTATAGCCTAGCTTTAGCAGATAACAAATAGCATATACGGTAGATAACAATCTTTATATATATATATATATATATATATATATATATATATATATATATATATATATATATATATATATATATATATATATATATATATATATAGGCCTATATATTATATTGCCAAATATATATAGCCACATTTTTAGTGTAACGAAATGACTTAATTCCAATGTGACACACATTTAAAATGGCTACACTAAAAAAATGCTGGGTTATTTCAACTCAAATTTGGGTCAAATATTGACAAACCCAGTGATTGAGTTAACATTTTAAATGACATTTTTAACCCAACGTTTGGGTTTGTCCATATTTTACCCAAAATTGAGTTAAAACAACCCATCTTGTAGGCTACAGAGTGTACAATTCATGTCTTTTTTTATTTTTGGCTTAGTAGTCAACACACTTAACATCACTGTGCTTCCAAAAAGCATATTGTAGAAACGATCGTATACGGATCACAAAATGTTTCACAAAATCATCGTTATATAGCTGAAAAGTGCTCTGGATTATTGCCATGTGAATCCAGTGCTAAAGTAACAGTCTCATGCAGTCCCCTGCAGGGCAACCGCGAAATTACACATACACTTAAAATAGGCTTACTCACACTCAGTAACATAACATAACATGACATCAGTCAAACCCGTAATTGTACTTAACGTACCTACATTTAATTATTTACTTTTAGTAGTCGATAAATAATAAATAATATTAAGTTTTTGCAACTCAATTCCATAACCTAGGTCCTAGACCAGCTTTCCTGGTTGAGTTCATTCTTGTCTATACCTTAAACCTTCGCCATAGAAAAAATCATACAGCATTGTTTATTAGTCCATGTATGGAGATGTCCATTTGGCCAATTGCACAGGTAAACAAAATTACTTGAAGTTATGAACCAATAAAGTCTGATGATACGTAAAGAATGGCTTTTCTAGTTTTCTCTCTTCTCGGGGTCAACCGCACATGCCTTTTATCTAGATTTTTATATCAACCACTATTCATTGTCCCTTGGAATTTCAAAATGCTCTGGAATATATATATATATATATATATAGACAAAAATTTGGTCTTGATATCTGAAAAAAATTCAGGCCTCATAGCACAGAAACTGCTCGTTAAAATTACAAACAGCTTATTTCTTGCGCCTGACCAAGGTTGCATCTCAGTAGTAGTTTTGCTTGATCTTAGTGCTGCGTTTGACACTATAGATCATAAAACACTCTTAGATGTCACTCGACAACAAAATTACACTGGTATTCAGGGACAGGGATTAAGGCGGTTTATATCATACCAGATTGTTACCATTTTGTCTTTGGGGAAATATCTAAAATAACGTCAGTAAATTATGGAGTGCCACAAGGGTCTGTGTTAGGCCCTCTGCCATTTTCAATGTATACGCTGCCTCTTGGTAATATTATAAAGAAAACATGGAATTAGTGTCCACTCTTATGCTGATGATGCAGTTATATTTCACCATGGCCAGACCTCTAAATTATGTAAATTGATAATTGAGTGTGTTAAAGATATAAAATATTGGATGACCAGTTTTGTTTCGATATGACCAAAAACCTGCACAGAATCTCTTAAAATATAGTTAGCATTTTGAAGGATGTAATGTTACTTCCTCAGCTACAGTACAGTTAAAGACCTGCTGTTATATTAGTCTTTCAAAAATGTATTTCATATGTTCCACCTCATAAACATTTCTAAGATATCTGTATCAGTTTCTGATGCAGAACAGTTAGTTCATGCATTTATGACCTTTAGATTACTGTAATGCATTACTAGCAGGTTGTCTTGAGTACTTACTAGGTCAAGATAATATGATCATAACACAAATTTTATCATCTGGTTACCTATTAAGTATTGCTACTGATCTATAAAGCCCTAAACGGTTTGTTTAGCTCCTGTTTAACTGATCTTCTATCATTTTACAATCCATCAAATGTTATGAACAGCAGGTATGCTAATTATTTTCCATTTGCTTTTCCATTTTATCTTAGTATGCCCATCCCGAGGTACTGTAACCAGAGACCATGTCAGCTCCAGTTTGCATCCAGCCAATTACGAAGACTTCAGATGTGAAGAGACGACTCCATCTGACTCCAACTCCTGCGAGGACTTCAGATGACGCCAACTCTGAATTAACATGCACCATGATCACACCATGTACATTTACATTCATGCAGTTGGTAGATACTTTTATCCAAAGCGACTTGCATTGCATTTCAAGGTACACATTTACAGTCTTATAATTTCTTGCTTTACCTGGGAATCGAACCCATGACCTTGGTGTTGCAAGCGCCAACGTTAGCCAGCTTATGGCCTTGGACACAGTCATCTCAGATCACAGATCACTTTTATGTAGAAGCATGTATTTTCTGCAAAGCTGCTTTGAAACGATATGTATTGTGAAAAGCGTTACACAAATAAATGTGAATTTAATTAAATTGGTTGATTGGCGATTTCACTTTTTTCATTTTAAATAGTGTGTAATGTTGCTGTTGGTGCATGAACAGTATCTGCAAAGTTGCAGCGCTGAAAGTTCAGTGTAAGCAGAGATATCGTCTTTTAAAAATCAGGAAGTATATTGCCTACAAAAACGACTGGATTGGGACTACAGCTGGGTTTTAGACGTCACTAACTCACACATTTGCATCAACCCCTCCCTCCGGAAAATGCAAAAAAGGGCATGGCCATATTTCTGCGGCTTCTGTTTTGTGGATTGCAGGTGTCATTATTACTGTCCTGTATTCCCCTTGTCTTGTGTGGACCTTTTCCCTGTTCTGTGCCATGTTTTGTAGTCCTTTGTAGTTTTTCTTGTTGATTAGTTCCCGATTGTTCTCAGGTGTGTCTTATTTTCCAATCTCCTCTTGTGTGTATATAAACCCCAGTGTTTCTCATGTTCTTTGTCTGGGATCTCAAAAATTAGTTAGGAGTCAAATATGCAGAGGATGATGGAAGAGCAAAGAATGTGCAGAAGCTGGGGGATTTTTCTGACGACTATTAAGTGTTCAAGCAAGGGACTCATGAACAACCACGAACAACCAAAAAAACAGTTGTGGATACTTCAGGTAATGACACACAATATTAAAAATCAAGCCTATGTAATTTGCCTTGTATTTTGGGTTTGTATTTTGTCTTGTGGACTAGGCTATTAAACATCTGTTGTGTGAAAATGCTTTTTCAGGGCAGTACTAAATAGAAACAATGTTTTTATGATCCTTTTTATTAAGAAATAAATAAGAATAGCATTTCGGAGATTCTGCAAGGTGTATGTAAATGTATGACTAATGTGTAAATGTAACAAAAATCATAGCATTATTAGAAGCCAAAATGTTGCTATGGTTATCACGTTCTCATGTTACTATGGTTACTAAGTCAATCATTGCAATTTCATGACTCACAGTCCTTAAAGTTTACCGGATTCACTCCCACATTTTAATGTAGTTATCACTCTTTATAATTTATAATGTGAACGTAACAAGAAGCATGAAAAACAAACCTATTATTTAGATCAATAGCACTCACTTAATGACCATTAATGGCCATAATGACTTACTTTAACACGTTCTGCACTCTCACTAAAACTCTCGAGATGGTCCTTACTGCCGAACATGAATTCCAGGGGGAGGAGTTGGATCTAGATCCAACTCCTCCCACCTTACATTTACCTAAACTTACCCATCTCTGCCCCCTGATCCCTAACCCCACCCCTAAACCTACCCATCTCCTCCCCAGATCCCTAACCCCGCCTCTAATCCAACCCATCTCTGCCCCCTGATCCCTAACCCCACCCCTAAACCTACCCATCTCCACCCCAGATCCCTAACCCCACCTCTAAACCTACCCATCTCTGCCCCCTGATCCCTAACCCCACCCCTAAACCTACCCATCTCCTCCCCAGATCCCTAACCCCACCTCTAATCCTACCTATCTCCGCCCCCTGATCCCTAACTCCACCCCTAATTCTACCCATCTCTGCCCCCTGATCCCTAACCCCACCCCTAAACCTACCCATCTCCTCCCCAGATCCCTAACCCCACCTCTAATCCTACCTATCTCCGCCCCCTGATCCCTAACTCCACCCCTAATTCTACCCATCTCTGCCCCCTGATCCCTAAGCCCACCCCCAATCCTACCCATCTCCGCCCCCTGATCCCTAACTCCACCCCTAATTCTACCCATCTCCGCCCCCTGATCCCTAACCCCACCCCCAATCCTACCCATCTCCGCCCCCTGATCCCTAACCCCACCCCCAATCCTACCCATCTTCATCCGCTGATTCCCTAACCCCACCCCCAATCCTAACCATCTCCGCCCCCTGATCCCTAACCCCACCCCTAATCCTACCCATCTCCTATATCCTATATCTGGATCCAACTCCGCCCCCTGGATCTCGTGTACTGCAATGAGGTGCAACTGAAACTCTCGGCATAAAGTTGTCCACACTGCACAGTGAGAGGAATGTACTGATCACAAAAGATTGATGTGCAGATCACATTCAATATATTTTGGGTGTTAAACATGGTCAGTGATAAAGATAAATTCAAGGAGACATAATATGTCACCTTTCAGTTAAGTTATTGTAAGTAATGTTATATAACAGAAGAGTCTTATATCTGTTTTGACATGATCTTTAAATTAAACTTCTTGAAGAAAGATTGTAACTTGCAGAGCCTACATTTTCTTTTGCGATTCTTTCCTCTCTTGTAATAAATCCCATCCCAGTTTTCCTCCTCTTCACCTTCACCAACCCAAGGTCTCCAAGCACCTCCATTCAGACTAGGATCGGCTCGGGTATCGTCTGGCGGGTAGCGAACAGGTATTGCGGTGCGATTGTGTAATACTAGACGTGCCAGTAGCTCCTTGACAACATCAGGCCTGTGCACTGCAAGGTCACGGCGTTCACAAGGGTCGTCCGTAACATTGAAAAGCCAAATGGATTTCCTTTTCTCTCCAGTCTGTCGCTCCAGGTTCCACCAGTTGCTAGGAAAGTTTGTGAGAACCTGGGGTGGCACCCAATCCCCATGTCCAGGGTCGCCCGTCAAGAGTTTCCAGTCACCGACTCTAATGGCCGCTTGCACCGTTGTGTCCCACAGTCCATGTCCCTCCTTAAATGAGCCCCGACTGCGGCGGTGGAGAGGGTCGATGTTGTGAAGAATTTCCAGTCGTGGAGATTCCTTCCCTTCGCTAATGGTGGGCCAAACATCAAACCCATCTAATCCCTGATACTGAGACACATTCCCCCCAGCAAGTCCAACAAGAGTTGGATACCAGTCAGTAATGTGAATAAGGGCTCTGCTGACCCTTCTTCGATGGCGTATCAAGGGACTGTGCACGAAACCCACTCCTCTAATACCACCTTCCCAATATGTTCCCTTGCACCCTCGTAGGGGCCAGTTACTTCCCCCTGTGAGCGGCTGGGCTCCATTATCAGTGGAGAAGATGACGACGCTGTTGCGGTAGAAGCCATATTTGCGCAGCGCGTAAGTTATGTTTCGGACCGCCTCGTCGACGATAGAAACCATGGCTGCGTATTTCCTGCGGGGAACGTTGCCCATGCGGCGAAACGGGTAGATGTATTCTTTGGGAGGGTTTAGAGGTGTATGCACTGCCTGAAGGGAAACGAAAATAAAAAGAGGCTGACTGCTTGAGTCGTGCGTTGCTAGGATTTTGCGCACTCTCTGGGTGTAGAGGTGAGTTGAGTACTTCCCCCCTCGCCCCCATGCCACGGACTCGCCTTCGTGGAGGTCAAAGCCACACAATGACTTGCCGTCACATGAGCCATATGAATAATAGTCCACACTGCCAGTCAATGAACCGAAGTAGGTGTGAAATCCACGGCGTGTGGGCAAACAGTCTTTCCGGTAGAAGCCCAAATGCCACTTGCCCACCATGTGAGTGGAGTAGCCCGCCTCCTGCAAGCGCTGAGGGAGTGTGACGGCATCCAGAGGGAGGCAGTTGGGTTGGCGTGGTCTGATGATGGAATGCTGGAGGCCGGTGTGAATTTGATATCTAAAAGAAACCATAAATACATTCTTAATGCTAAGAAATAGAGAAAAAACAAGAATTGAAACAATAAGCTTTTTACACCAAGTTGTAAAGTTGGCATGAACTTAAAGGGTTAGTTCCCCCAAAAATGAAAATTAAGTCATTAATTACTCACCCCCATGCTGTACCAACCAAGACCTTCGTTCATCTTCGGAACACAAATAAAGATATTTTTGATTGAATCTGAGGGCTGGATCACTCTTCCACAGCCTGAGGGACTGCCTCTTGACGGCCCAGAAAGTCATTAAAAGAAAAGGTTTAAATATTCCATGTGCCTACAGTGGCTCAACTATAACTTTATCAAGCGACGAGATTACTTTTTGTGCGAAAAAAAAACGTAAATAACGACTTTATTCGACTTTCCATTACTTCCTTATGGGCGCATGCGCGAGAACTGAGACGAGACCGTTCTTCTTCAACTACTTTTTGTTACCGGCTGCTCACCGCTTAGGAGTTTTACCGCCCCCTACCGTATAAGATGACGTACTGCTTGTAAACAGAACGTTTTGCGCCTCCGGCTATATCAGTACGTCATCTTATACGGTAGGGGGCGGTAAAACTCCTAAGCGGTGAGCAGCCGGTAACAAAAAGTAGTCGAAGAAGAACGGTTTAGTCTCAGTTCTCGCGCATGCGCCCATAAGGAAGTAATGGAAAGTCGAATAAAGTCGTTATTTACGTTTTTTTTTCGCACAAAAAGTAGTCTCGTCGCTTGATAAAGTTATAGTTGAGCCACTGTAGGCACATGGAATATTTAAACCTTTTCTTTTAATGACTTTCTGGGCCGTCAAGAGGCAGTCCCTCAGGCTGTCTATGGAAGAGTGATCCAGCCCTCAGATTCAATCAAAAATATCTTTATTTGTGTTCCGAAGATGAACGAAGGTCTTACGGGGTTGGTACAGCATGGGGGTGAGTAATTAATGACTTAATTTTCATTTTTGGGTGAACTAACCCTTTAAATCTGACCCTGTTTTCTTTCTATGGGCCCTATCGTACACCTGAGGCAATGCGGCACCATTTTTGTTAGTTTCAGCCTGACGCAATTATTATTTTCACGTCCTACACCTTGTTGTTTAAATAGCAAATACGTTTGCGCCCATCTGTGCGGCCATTGGCTGGTGGTCTGAAAATTAAGTGTGTTCAGGCGCATTGTTGGTGCGTTGCTATTTTGAGGCACCTGAAATAAACTACGTCATTGACCAACTGAAACCTGCTCTAAAGTCCATGGCGCAGTATTTTTTTTTTTGTTATTTAAAGAAGGCTGCAATAGTACTATGTGCCTTTAGGCGGGTCCACAACGCGCGCACACTCTGCTTATTACCAGGCTTCCGTTACATTTAGAAATTACTTCATAAAAAAAAGTATTGAGTAACTTAATCCAAGTACCACAATATGAAAGTAATGTAACTGATTACTTTTGGATTACTTAAAGGAGGATATTATTTTAAAAATCAACAACTTTTATTTATTAAGAATTTCAAAGCCCTGCATATATATATATATTTTATATCTTATATATATATATATATATATATATATATATATATATATATATTTTTTTTTAATAAATATATATTATTTTTATTTTATAAATATATATATATATATATATATATATATATATATATATATATATATATATATATTTCTGTATATGGGGAATTATTTGAATGTTGGTTCATGATTTTATTTACATATAAAGTATATTTGCCCTGATTTACATAGGCCACCTTATACACATACAGTAGCATCTTTACATCTATGTCATCATGAAATCAAAATTCTTATTTTTTATGGAATATTGCCGTTCTTATTATACATGACTAATTTGTACACCTTGTTTTTTGTTTTGTTTTTTACAACCTGTCACTCACATGGGATCACAGCAATAGCAAACCCTGATGTAATGGACTTCATAGAGAGTGAACATGCCAGGCTTAAGTCATGCAGGTCAGGCACAAATGAATTGTAGGCTACGTAATGCTACAGATCTTTGATTAAATAAAACTGATTAAATATGATTATGAATTTAAAACCTTCCTGTGAGACAAACGGATCCGACTTAAGTGTAAAGCGCAACTTTTACAACTTGTGATGTCGGAAGTAGCGTAGTGCATCATGGCGTAGTGTAAACATCAGCAGTATGTCACATTACTCACATCCCCAGATATACGTCTGCAAGATGTCTGTTAAAGATCGCTTCATCTGTAAAGCATCTGCTGTTTACTAACATCTGATAGACATCTTTAAGATGTGAGTTTAACGTTCTAAATCATTACATCTTAAAGACATCGTCTAAACGTCTATTTGACATCTGACAGGAAACGTCCTATAGACGTATTGCAGATGAGCAAACACTCTTCCAGATGTAAACACACACATCAAATAGACGTCTCTGTGATGTATGTGAGCTATCAGGGTATAAGTTGTGGTTTACACTTAAGTCGGATCCGTATGTTTGTTTGGCCGGAAACTAGTTATTTTACTTTATAATGTTTTAAATATGGATATTTTTCTTACACAAACACATAACCCTGCTTCAGAAGGCCAATATTAACCCCCCAGAGCCGTGAGGAGTTGCACTTTGATGGACTTCAATGTGATGGTTGCAATCCACCGTATAAAGCTCGGAATTAAGCGTCAGTATAACTCAGATTGTATTCCTCTGGAAGAAGAAAGCCATAAACACCTAGATTGGCTTGAGTGTGAGTAAAACATAGGCTAATTTGTACTCCTTTAAGTAAGGGTATTGTAACCATGACCTTAATGGTCCATAAAGGCGATGAGTTGAATGACCTGCCGTGCATCTTTCTTCTGCTGTTTTTCAAAGTCAATAAAGGTATCTTTAGTGTCTTAAGTTATTGTGACCATGACCTTAGCCTGTAAACTGTGACTGGCCCACAGGTGCATGCGCAATAATTGTTTATGGTTCATTAAACAAACATGAAACACATTGAACAAACCTTTTCCAATACTCGGATTTTCACCAAATAATCAGTTTAACCTGATTTTAGATTCTGATTTCAGTTCATTCTGAAAAGAAAACGCGTAATTTCTGTGTGTTATTATGAAGTATTGAGTGAATGACCTGCCTGTGATGAGCTGGCTGCGGGACGGGGTGCACAGCGGTTGCACATAATAGTTCTCCAGTCGCACTCCCTCGGACGCCAGTTTATCCAGCGTCGGGCTTCGGACGTCCCGACTGTGATACCCGATGTCATTGAAACCCTGGTCATCTGTCAGGATGAAGATGATGTGTGGAGGTTGTTTGGGTTTGAAAGCTGTAGTGATGTCCTCTCGGCTCGATCTCAAGCCACTGGAAGACGACGCAGAAGTTTGGAGATCGAGGAAGAGTCCGAAGAGCAGACATGATGCCATCCACCTCGAAAAGAGTTGACACCCGAACAGCGCCCGCATCGGGTCGGAGAGAAGAGGGGAAGCTCCGGGCTTGGCTTTGAGATCGGCGGATGTCAGTGCGACGTGGCGTTAGATATCGTGGATTCCTCCATAAAGCTTGAGCCAGCCACTGACCAACAACACACACCTCGACCACGGAACGCCAAATAGGTCATAATGTGCTATTTACCGACACAAAAATATCGCTAAACGCGACGTTTCTATAATCAATGTTTACTGCGTACCATAACACACTCCTCGGGGAGATTTAAAGCGTCTTAGAGAAAACAGTTTTCTGTGACATTAATATCAACCCCACCTTTTTCTCTCTCAGTCCAACCCCAACATGACGAAAGCGTAAGAACTAAAGTTAATAGTCGTTGTGAAACAGTGTTCAAATTTCATTTTTGGGGGGTTAGCCTAGAAAAATAAAATGAACACTGACACTTAAAGGAGTAGTTCACTTTTTAAAAAACTTTTGCTGATAATTTCTCACCCCCATGTCAAGATATCCATGTCTTCTTTCTTCAGTCAAAAAGACGCATTTTTCTCCATATAATGGACTTTAATGGGAACCAACGGTTCAAGGTCCAAAAGAAAAACTGTTCAAAGGGCTTTAAACGATTCCAGACGATGAATAAGGGTCTTATCAAGTGAAACGATCGCTCATTAAAAAAAACAACAACAAAGTTTAAGTTTTATAAGCTCAAATGCTCACCTTGCTCTGTTCTGTGATGCACGTCCGTGACTCTCCTGAGCTCGTTCATCAAAATGATCAAATCTTTTTCCGAGACAATTCGTTCATTTTGTTCGTTGAATGAAACAAATGACTCGAAAAAAGATTTGTTCATTTTGATAAACGAGTTCGAACAGGAGTCACGAACGCACACCACAGAACAGAGCAAGGCAAGCATTTGAGCTTATAAACTTTTTTTAAAAAATAAATGAGCGTTCGTTTCGCTTGATAAGACCCTTATTCATCATCTGGAATCGTTTAAAGCCCTTTGAACAGTTTGCAGTTAAACTGTCTTTTGGACCTTGAACCGTTTGGTTCCCATTAAAGTGAAAACATGAGAAAAATCCTGGAATATTTTCACTTTTTCAATGCAAAGGCACTTTATTTAACAAAAAAAAATTGTGTTGATTTGTTATGCAAAGCAATTATTTCTTGACCTTTGACATCGATGAAAATTCAGATTTGGACCTTTTAATGTAGACTTTGAGAATCCCTAGCCTATGCTTTCTTCCACACCTTATAGCCTTTATAAAGTCAATCCACATTACCTTTATTTATAGCACTTTTTATAAAATAGATTGTTTCAAAGCAGCGTTACATTGATAAAGGCTGTAGTCACACAGTCATTTAAAGTAGACTTATTTTCTGTCCACAAAAATGACAGGGGTTTAAGACGAAGCCTTTAATCTTTCAAACTATCACGTTATTAGGATAATAACTGGTGTAATGCTTGTAACAATGTTCAATTCTTTCCATTGCATGCATTAATCTTCACCTTTCTTTCACCTTTATTTATATAGCGCTTTTTACATTACAGATTGTTTCAAAGCAGCTTAACAGAGATAACAAAGTTTGTTTCTAGAAGAAAATAACATCATAGTCCAGCGATGGTTCATATTTTTGTTTATAATTCAGAATTAAAAATGATAAAAACCTGCTTCACACAAATGTTGCAAGACCACAGCATTACAATATTGTTAGTCATTCTCATGTAACTGTTCTTTTATGATTATGCCTAATATAAAACTAAAACTTTTAGATGTCCCACCAAAAAGAAATGTTTTTTTTTTACTGTAAATTGCATCATTTTAGCTTTTGCAGTGGCTAAAATAGCAAAATATGAAAATTAGGCAGACAAAAAATAAAACAAGTGTTGTATACAAGTTCAGTTCACCTACAATTCCTATTGATATGTCAGAATGACGTTAATATCACAAATACTGTTCATAAATATACAGTTGACAGTTTCTACGAGGATGGAACTCTTTCAATTATTGAGTTTTTAAAATGCCCAATTAAAATGTTTTTATATTGTCCCACACAATCGACATTCATAGACTGTGAAAAAGTCTATGATAAGTGGCATATGAACTACTTTCTTACACTGTATTTGGGAATGTAGTCAAATTCAATCTTTCGGAGAACAGGCTATATATGAAGGTTTGCTAGTTTGGTTTTAAAATATCCTTATGCATATGATTTATTCAGGCTAGCATGAATAATGAATTCTCTTTACAATTACTGGAAATCTCTATTTTGGGTCAATGGGAAATGCACACACTTAGGAATCAGAAATAAATAATCCAAGGATTTTAGAACATACATTTAATTTCGATTTGTGACACGCATAACATTTACAACATTTTACATTGTGAGGCTTGCTTAGGGCTTTGCATTTACTACGGTTTCAAGTGCTTTGGCCACTTGGTCGACGCTCATGTTGTCCAGTGAAACGCTGTGTTCTTTACCAAAACCTACGGCAGAGAGAGATGATGCATCATTATGCATATATGCTCATTTATATGAATATGCTTTATGTGTTCTTACCATATCGAGCCCACAGCCTGGGCTGGACTCCAGAGCACTCTCGGATCAGGATGGGAAACTCAGGGTTTGCCTTCTTTAACGTCACATAATGCTGCTCGATAAAATCCCTACAATAACAACATCAACAAATAAGAATTAGCAAAACAGAGTGAGGCCGTGTTGAATTTAAAAACCATCCGGGCTGGTTTATAGGCGCACACACGATCCATTCAACTCAATAGAGGGATCCACACTGCGACTAAATGCTCAATGAACACTGTTTTTAATCTGTCTGACTGAAGTACAGACCAATCCTCAACATGTGTGACGCACGCTCAGGGACATTTACTGTGGATAGGGGGACTTATCCTTTACTATTATAATTATTTTACCTGTCTGCTAGTGTGTAACAGTTTTTAGCGAATGTAATACCTGCCTCAAACACTCCTCTGTAGTCCTGCCATCATTTTCGTAATGTAGCAGCATTTGCGCAATTGGCCAGCTGGCTACTTTAAATACTTTTTGAGTAGTTTTCCAAAGTTACAGCCACTCAGTATTTTTCCTAGGCACAATTTTGACATCAATACCCTGGGGAAAACTGCCCTATAGATATTTTCTATATTATCTCATAATTTGGCAGCAGGTTTATAAGGCTACTGTCACTTTAAGAGCTGACGCACGGATTCGTTATACTGTCACACATGCGTTTCCTTCTCAACTGTTTACGTTCTCTTAAAACTGACTGTGTTTATGTGAATACTCAGCATTTTGACATTATTTTGTGTGTATTTGACTGTTTAAGCGCAATAAGCAGTGAAAAAGAACTCAATCAGTGCCGAGAGGCGGCTTTATGAGTGCGAACTTTGGGTTTGAGAACAAAATCTGTGGAATGAGTGAAATTATGCGCAATAAGTGCAATCCCACGCAGACATTCAAGCCCTTTAACAACAACAATATTCATCCAGAGCAAATGAAACGAGTGAGTGAATGGAGGCGGGTTTGAGTGTCACTCGCCGGCAGAGAGAGAGAGAGAGAGAAAAGCTGGTGTCGTCTATCTATTCTGTGGATAATGAGGACTGGAAGCATTTCAGATATTTCAGTATCAACATGTATCGAAAAATCAATGTTTTCACAACACTACATTTAATATTTTTAATAGTTTAATATTTCACATGCCTTTTTAAAAGACTACAACTGAAAATCAGAGTCAAGTAATCTTGTTTAGGAAGGTGGTAAACTAAAACAGATCATTCAGACCGAGGGAGAAAAGAGGTGCTTTAATGCCATTTTCACTGTGTTGTGTTTGTAAAATTAGTGTTACATTGTCTTTATTTGAAAAAAAAAAAAGATATTATTAATTTTTTAGTATATTCATATATTTTTAAGTAATTACTTTATCTATGAAAAAAAAAACTGTAGGCTAATAGGATTGCATAATCAAAGTTGCCATCTAAAGTGCCGGTATAATGTTTATTTTAAAGTTATATTTTTAAAATGTATTTTCATATTTATTTATAATATATTAAACACTAATTAAAGTAAATACAAATTATATAGATTATATATCAGCAATCACAAAAAAACATCTTTACATCTGCTGATAATGCATAAAATCTGATAATAAAAAGGCAAATAGCCATAGCTTCAAAATATCAGAGATGAAGAATCTGAGTTAGCAGAATATTTTTATTAACTTTTGTTCATTAACTAAAATTGTATACATTTATTCATGCTCACTCAATTCAATTCAATTAAAAAGTGCTTTATTGGCATGTCTGTAAATAATACAATATTGCCAACGTTTGGAACACATAGGAAAATAATAAAAAAACATCAACATAATTGCAGAAAATATTAAAACATAACTTAAATTTAAATAAACGGAGTAACAAATTAGAACATGAGATTACCACAGTGTTTTGGTTTTAACACACACGCACGCACGCACGCAAACATTACTGAGGGTCACTGTGGTGGACAGTATAGGGAAACTGTGTATGTAACGTTATGTAATAATGGATGAGTAAAAGTTAATCGGTTTGTCAATGTCATACAGTTCACTAGGATTTCAGACAGTATTTATAATGTAACGTTACATTAACACACACTCTGTAAGGGTGATACGCAGAGAACAGTCAGTCTGTAACATCATGACTAGTAAAGGCCTCAGTACTGCACCTGGTCCCCTGGCTGGCCGCTGATTTCTGGCACAAATGCAGGCGGATCTCCCGCAGATTCCTCGACAGATTCGAGCCGATCCCGCGAACCGCTGATACCGCCGCCATTACTGTCACCTTCACTGACCGGAAGTGCCGCTCTTCTTCTATTGGTTAAAACACGTTTCATCTGCATTACCGCCACCTACCGAATTGGATGGTTCGTTTTTCATTATTCTTTTAAAAACAGTATTATTGAATAAAAAAAAAACTATATATATATATATATATATATATATATATATATGATTTCTAAAATTCTAATATTTTGATGTAGTACATACATATATTATATAAATATTTCTCTGTAATACATTTTACAGTGTCGGTTTCTGTGTCCGATTTTCTCATTCTTTTACAGTGTTTGCCTTTATTTGCTCCACAGATTCTCATAATCATAATCCAGTAATCCAATCATAATTACGTGAACAATTATTAGGATGTCTTTTTGACTTTAGTTAGATTCCCATTTAGTCCTGTACATCAGTTCACATTCTTGTTGTAATTGTGAGAATGGAAACTCTCTTCTTCAACATAAACTCAAATCAGTTTTTATACACTATAAAAATAAATATTCACTCTTCATTAACCCTAAAACACAACACAAAACACCTGTGTAAAAATTGAATAGGCTACGGAAAGTTCAGTCATATAAACAAAATTAGGGCCTATTTTTTTACTTTTTTTTTTTTTAATTTATTCATTCACGTCTTTCATGTTATCACTATAATTGGAATATAGGCAAAGATACTATTGATGTATGTCTTTACCTTTCTTTATTGTAGAGTGAAATGTATCTTCTAGAGCTTTTAAATGTGCTCATTGAATGTCCATTTATTTTTATGGCATCATTAAAACACTACACGTTTACACGTTTATACACGTTTCTTGTGATGATAATAAATCACAATGCTTTCAATCCACGAGAAGATATAGTTTTCTATTTTTTACCTTCGTGTCTGTAACTGTACATTTTCTTGCCCTTTAAAGGGATTGTTCACCCAAAAATAAAAAATTCTCTCATAATTTATGGAAACAACAACAAAAACTGAAGTCAATGGGGTCCACCCACCGTCTTACCAACATGTCCACTGTGTTTAACAGAACAAAGAAACACAAACAGGTTTGGAACAACTTGAGGCTGAGTAAATGTTGATAGAATTGTTATTTTTGGGGTGAACTATTGATAAATCACATGACTAGTGTGATCGGCTGTCCTCCAGGTCAACAGGTGTCGCTGATGCGACGGGACACATACAACCGGAAGTGTGACGTCATTAGACCTACTATCAACATTAAAGTGCGTCGAGTCGCGATTTAGAGCGACTCATTTAATTTCATCATGCCTGAACGCGAATGTAAGTATTACATACCGTTTATTAAGGTTATGTTGTGTGCGGATGAATAATCACATCACATAGGTTCTTATTGTATGAAAATATATATTCTGTTACAGTCTATGAGCATGTCTGTGCCGTTTGCTGAACGCAAAGTAACTGTTAGTGAATCTGTAGATTTCAAAGATAAAGTGTACGTTTGATAAGTTAACGATTATGTAAGATATATGCTAAAATATTGTTTGTGTGCAAATAAAACACGCATTGACACAAATACAGCAAAGCTCCTGCAGCCAAACCCTCATTGTTTACAACACAGTCTAATCGAGTAATGTTAGTAGGAATGAATCGATTCACAAGCTCGCGGTTCGATTCACTTACGATTTCGATTCATTTGTAACGTTACGTAACTTATATCAGTTTATCTGAAAACCTCTCATCTAAGGCTGTAAACTATACAAGAAACCCTGTCAGTTGGAACGTTACTTTGATATTAAAGGTTAAAACTTACAAACTAATGAATCTTTTGATGTGTCGTGTGTCTTTCAGCGGAGGTGTACTCCAATCCTCTGGCTCCTGATGGCCATGAGGTGGAAGATCATCGATCAGCGCTGCAGTGAGTGCTCTTCACCTTCACTTGTCAATAATGTGCTAATGTTCAGTGGGAAAATACAGTGACGTGGACTCGTTTTCTGCAGTGAACGTTCTTTAGCTTTCCCTTTATTTATTTCTATATACCTATATATGTGTTTTTTCCTCTCATGTGATTAAATGAGTGAAGCATCAGCTCAAGTGCAGGAGCAATCACATTAAGACCTGACATTGCTTATCTAATCATAATTCAATTAGTATTATGTTCTTGACGATTCAGTGACGTTACTATCATGATTCTCAAGCCTGATTTCAAAGTCAAATTTGTTTGTGTCTCTCAGATCCAAGCTGACCAATGATGACTTCAGGAAGCTTCTGATGACCCCGAGATCGACCCCGTCCTCCGCTCCGCCCTCCAAAACACGACAACATGAGTACTTTGCTTTTGAACACGCGTTTAAGATCTTTCTGTGGGCATTCATGTGCACTGCATGTCTCTATGATAACTTTTTGTTGCGACGATTTTCCCAGGATGCCACGGGAATATAACGAGGACGAGGATCCTGCGGCTCGCAGACGTAAGAAGAAAAGGTGAGTTGAGGGCTACTGCTTTAATATCTAATCCTGCTGTTGCTTTTGTCTCTTCTGCACACGTTTCGCTCCGCATCAATGACCATTCGATCAAATAAAAGCGTGGTCCCTGTAGGAGTATGTCTTTTAGACTATAGGGATGGGCAATGATTAATCGCATCCAAAATAAAAGTTTGTGTTTACATAATATATGTGTATGTAGTGTGTATAATTAATTTGTACCCACACATGCATTTATATAAAGAAATATGTGCATGTATATATTTTCCATATATTTATTCACAATTAATATTATATATAAATATAAATATTTGATATATTAATAACACATTTTTCTTAAATATATACATGCGTGTGTGGGTATTTATATATACAAAATAATTATACACAGTACACACACATATATTATGTAAACACAGACTTTTATTTTGGATGTGATTAATCGTTGCCCATCCCCGTAAGCAATCACTCAAAGAGTGCCGTTTTTTCAAATAGCAGCACAATTGCAAATGCGAAAGTGATTTTATACAACGATTTAGTGACTTACATTTTAGACACAATATTGCCTGTTTTTCTTTCACCAACACAAAACTGTTTTGTATCTCTAAGCAACACGCAACGGTGTTTCATTACTGAATAATTGATGAATTTTTCTCTGTTCTTTCGCTTCACGCTTGTGTTTAAAGTTACTACGCTAAACTGCGGCAGCAGGAGATGGAGCGAGAGCGCGAGCTGGCGGAGAAGTACCGTGACCGAGCTCGAGAACGACGTGATGGTGTTAATAAAGACTACGAGGAGACTGAGCTCATCAGCACCACCGCTAACTATCGAGCCGTGGGACCCACCGCAGAGGCGTGAGTTTCCTGACATCTCTTTACTGCATGTTATAATTATCAGAACTCATTTTCTCTAGTTGTGTTTTGTGATCATCTTCTGAAGATCACCTGCTGTTTCTGTTGATTTTTTCTATTACGGGTTCGGGTTGTAGTGCATTTGTCAACACCGATAATTCTTTATATTTAAGAGCTGATTATTAATAAATCCTAATTTTTATTTTATATTAACCTTCAAATTGTCTTTGTTTCCTGTTTACACTTCTGGGCTTCGGGGTCTATACGACCACAACAATTGATTGAGTAATTGTAAAGAAAATATACATTTTTAATCATACAAATAATATATATATTTTTTTGTTTACTTCTCGTCTATTCATTAATGCTGTGTTTTTGGAGATATAAAGTACTTTTGTATCCATATACCACACAATTCCTCAACTACACCATTAGCTTGCATATGAAATATTATTTTTTATGAGACATTGCATTTATGCCTTTATTTCTGTGTAAAAAAAATTTTTTTGACACATGAAGAAAATATATTTAGTTTTTTTTCCACATTTCCCATTCATTTTTAATGTGGGACCCCGAAGAACAGAAATGTAAAACATTTTTTTACTTACCTTCAGAACAACCGAATCAAGCCCAGTTTGTATGTGCGTGTATAGATGGATAATGTATGAAAAGTCACAAAATCTTAATCCACTGAGATGAAGAGAACATTTTTTTTTAATTAAGTAAAAGTCATCCCCATGACCTGATTGAGGGCTACTGCGAGAGCCTGATTACAAAAACAAGTCTCGCCATTAAAATCCATGTCCCAAGCACACAATTACGATGATGTTCTCATTACATTTTTATGTAGCCGATATGTTGCACTGAACCGCATTTTCCTTTTTTTTTTAAGTGATTTACAATCATATTTCAAGCTATTCAAAACCATCATGTTGAACAGTGCGCATCTGAAGTGTTCATTGGCTTTAAGATATCAGCCATATTTTCTTATCAGGCCGACACCGATAAGATTAAAATGGAACATATATCGGCTGAAAACCGATATGGTGCATCCCTAATAATCATCATTTTGAAGTTTATATTTCACATGGCTGCCAGAGACTAAATAATTCTGCACGTTTCAGTAAAACGACTACAAGATCTTCAGAAATTTGCTCAATGTTTGTAAACCATCGCTTGAAATCCACTTTTTCATCCAGCGGCCCATTTAACAGAAGTTCCTGTTCACCAGGATATTGCGGATTTTTATTTTGCTGCAGTTTTCTATAATTCATTTCACATCATTTTGTTTTCTCCTACATCTTTCTTAAGATTTGTGCCTTTGCAAATGAAGTCATTTATTCGTTCATTTTCGTTTGCGTTACTCCCAAAATCGCTGAACATGTTGACACGGTTGTGTCTAGCAGCCTTGAACAAAAATGCCAAGAGTTTAACCTTGTTGAGGCTAATATTAGCGATTGAATGCTGCTTATAGGACTGATTATTGCCTAGGAATTATCAGGAAGTGCTTTGTCATTAGTCTGGATTTGAATGTGCATTTCTTTCGTCTCGTTGAACAGGGACAAATCAGCCGCAGAGAAGAGGCGTCAGCTGATCCAGGAGTCCAAGTTCTTGGGTGGTGATATGGAGCACACTCACTTGGTGAAGGGTTTGGATTTCGCCCTGTTACAGAAGGTACATCCATCCGCGTAACCAATGTTTGAAAATCAAACCACTGCCACGTATTTGCTTGTGTTTAATGTACTGTTTTAATTTCAGGTCCGAGCTGAGATCACTAGCAAGGAGCGGGAAGAGGAGGACATGATTGAGAAAGTGCAGAAGGAAGTCAAGTACGTTTCAGAAGTTCTTATTTGTTCACTTAACTCTTTCCCCGCCAAACACGGAATTTTCCGTGTTTAATGAAAAAACGCATCTGCGCCAAACACGGAATTTTCCGGGTATCCGTGTTTTAGGTGGTATACGGTAAGGAAGACCCGCGCGCATGTCCTGAATGATTGCGCAACTCTTTGTTTAGAGAAACAGATTGCAATCGTCTCAAACAGTGGAGTAGTGAGAATGTATCAGACAGACAATGCAGAGGTATATGGCTGAAGTACTGGAGGTTAATGGACTCGGAGTCCGATCACTCTTTATTTGATCATTCTGAATCTGATCGGGACGAAGTAGTCAGTGAGAGAGATGCACATGTTGTCACAGAAAGTTCTAGCCATGGACGTGCCGCAGATAGATCGTATAATATTATGACACTATAATATGTATGTGTGTGTGCAGGCATTTATGTGTGGCTGTCTAAATATATAAGGTGTAATTGTCAAATTTTTTCTCTCTTTGTGCACATTTACCACATTGTAATATGTTTTTGTGTGTGTGTGTGCGCGTGTGTGTGTGTGTGTGTCTAGGCCTGTTTATTGTAATTCCAATTATTCATTATTCACAGGTAGAACACAGAGAGGCAGAGGCAGAAGTTTTATTGCAAAAGTTACATTTCCCTTACATCCTGGGAAATTTGATATATTTTACATTTATTTTATGTTTTTAATTTATTTTGGAAAGTTTTATATATGAAGGAAACAACATCTGAATGTATTCTGCTTTTAAATGCACTTGTTTGATAAAAATACCTTTTTCTCAGTTTTTTGTCCAAAATGTTGTGTTTTTGACAAAACCTACCTCTGTTCAAGAGGTAATAAAAAAAGAACAGATGAAGATAAAATAAAAAGGGTTTTTTTGCCTAAAAGCAGAGGCTCAGATCTTTATTTTTATATATATCATCTTCATATATTCATGGAAGAAAATATTCAGCGGGGGCATTCAAATTTAGCGAAAATCGTCAAAAACCCTGGCGGTGGCTGGCAACTTTTTTTTAAAACGCTGGCGGGGAAAGAGTTAAGGCGAGACACGGCAGGCAAAAACATCGTTTTTTTTTTTCCACCGGTCAATTTTGAGATTTTGGGATATTTGACTTCAGTTGTCATTTTTCATGTAAATTGTTATAAACAATAACTTGGCCAGTTATTTTGCTTGTTAGCAATGTTTTCATGTAGAAATGTGTGGAATTTTAGAATATAAATTTTTAAAGCCCGATTTCTTAAAATGACTTTTTTCTCATACGCAAAGTCTGAAATCTCCACTTCAGTAGCACCTATATACACCAAACTTTCCAGTCTTGTACCTAGTTATATTAAGAAGACAATTACAGAGGGATTTGTAAATATATTATTCCTAGCCTGATTTATGTAACATTTTTATCCCGAAAATCATTTTTTTAAGACTATTGATGGTATATTCTGATTTACAGGATAACAAAAGTAGATATCCATAAATCCTTCTGTAATTTTTTCCCCATCTATTATATGAACACAATGAACCTGGCTTTATCCAATAGTCAGATTTCGTTGTTTTAAAGATATGCAAATTAGTGCATATTTAATCAGATAATGCCTCATTTGCATATTTAAACATTAAATTACAGAAAACTTGTAATACATTTTTTTTCTCATCTTAATGTAGGTAATCAACTGGGAAAGTTTCATGGTGATATCTGCTAGTTTCAAATTTTACCCTATTCACCTGTAGTGTCTCGCCTTAAAGGGATAGAGATGAAAATTCTGTCAGTATTTACTCTCCCTCATGTTGTTCAACCCCGTAAGACTTTCGTTCATCTGTAGAACACAAATTAAGATATTTTTGGCTGGATCACTCCTCCATAGGCTTCTAATGGATTGAAACTTGCCGGCCCAGAAAGTTAGTGGCCTCGATAGTTCACGTGAGCCACGACGCATGCATGAGAACTGAGAAGGTTTGTAGTGTTTAAAATGTGAGTGCATTTCCTCGATGTCTGAATCGAGACCCAACGAGAAAACATAAAAGGCCTTAACAATGCCGCAAGATGAGTGGTCTTTCACACTTTCCCATCAGATGATCGTGAGTGTCATCATCTCAGTTCTCAAGCATTCGTCGTGGCTCTCGTGAACTCACGTCAGAGCTTTTGGAGGAGTGAGACGGCTCTCAGATTTCATCACAAATATCTCAATTTGTCTTCTGTAGATGAACGAAAGTCTTACGGGGTTGAACAACATTTTTTTTGGATGAACTCACCCTTTAACCGTGTTGCGAGTCTCTTTTGACATGTTTGTTTTTGACAGGAGAGATGAAGATCCAGAGCAGAAGATCGAGTTCAAGACCCGCCTCGGTGAGTTCAGTCTGTGTTTAATCTCACGAGGGGCTTTCGCACTGGAGGAACATTTTCATACTTCCTACTAGTGATGTAGTACTCGAGCCTGGGATAAGACTAAATGCCTGGTGTGGTTCTAATCCACAACAAAGCAAATATTTGATCACTTCAAACTTTATTTCAATATACGAGACATGTTCGTTTTGTGTTAAATGTTATTTATTCCATATCTAGATTATATGAAATATTATTATAATGTAGCCTAAAGACAACCGACAACATACATGTGCATAAGTTCGTGTCTGGACGTGAGAGAGAAAAAAAATCACAGGACAGGTTAACCTGTTAACTGTCACCCCCCCTTTTTTGAATAGACATGAAAATGCACATTTCCAACTTAAATGGTTGTAATTCAAGAATGCTTTGGAATATAGACATATGATTGGTCTTGTTTTAAAGAAGACATTTGGCAGATTTTTGTAGAAGTGAAATAAATTAAGAAAGTGAAACAGAAAAAAAGTTATAGAAGTTTGAGTTTATGGAAATGTACAATGTAAAAATATTAATTATTCATATTTTACATAAAATATATATTTTCAAAACCTGGGCTACTCTAAAATGGCAGAAAGATCAAAGCCAAAAATCTGAACAAGTTGTGTTTTAAATTTTAGGTTGATATCTCAAAAAATGAGCTTTCAGTAAGATTTTGTTTGAGCGCAGTACCAAACTTTTTCACTAGGGCACAATCAGACTCCATTACTGCCCATATAAGGGCGCCTGCATTTCCATTCCTGTTTTGAGTGACATGAACCATTATTTTCACAATTTTCATACAATTTCTGAAGTAGAGATCCTATTCAGAAGTAGCATGGGAAGTTTGGCAGATTTTGATATGAATTGAACCTCTAAGAAACACATACAAAGAACACGCATGTAAGTCATAGCTAGCTGCCACGTCACAAATGGTGAATTTATTATTTTTTTCTTGATATTTCAAACTTTTCAGACCTTTTTTTTCCAAAATAATTGAATGGATTCTATCTTTTGAACTTTTGGCATGAAAACAAACTGAGGTATCTACCATTTTTTCATGATGTTTCATGTTTACTGCTATTTTAAAATAAAGGTCTGAACACGCCTTATGAGTATGAAAATATTCTTGTTTTATATTGATAAATTATGGCTCCTCTGTAATATATTTTGAAAATCAGTCACCAAATATGGAAACTAGAGATTGTAAGCTTTCAAATGATATATAGTTTGTCAATATTATTTAAGGTATTTACTAAGATATTATTGTTTTAAAAATATAGTGGCAAACGTCCCACCTGTGGGACGGTGACAGTAACTTTTTTGAAAGCTGGCTCTATTTATCATCAAAACAAAAATAAATGACAGCTAGATTAGATGGATGAGGGCGAGGGTGATCCGATGCGGGACAACAGGTCATCAAACTGGGCGCGGGACAGGCGGAAGTACATCCAGCGCAGCTCCTGGAGCGAGCAAATGGTGAAACAAGCCAAACGGTTCGCCTCCGAACTAAGGGTCCGGTGGACACAAATATACGGCGCCGATGATCCCCACGCCGCTGTTATGCTCTCCAGAGCAAATACAGAGCGGTGACTCTCGATGAATGCTCGATCAACATTTCTGACGCGTATAAAAACAAACTTTTGTTTTTATACGCGTCAGTTTCGCTCTTGACGTGCGAATGGACTCAAATTGGTCAAGCGTGTTATAACTAGACGCGGTAGGCACGAATTTGACATGCTATTCGCGTCTGGTGTGAACGCACAGTTAGACAGATCGTAGACTAATGAATGCGAGAGCTGTTTGCTCCGGCTCTGAATTCTCTGCGCCGTCAAAATAAGTCCCAACAACAAGCGCGGCTTACGTCCCTCCAGAGTTCATACTGGCGGTGCCAATGCAACCAGCAAAACACCTTCTCGGGGAACCACCCTGGTGGCTCGTTCCTAAAACTACCGCTGCAAAAGCCCCTAATGTCTCTGGACGGCAATAAGACTGAACTACATGTGAGTTGTGTGTGTTGTTCTGCTCTTTAGGACGAAACGTCTACCGTATCCTGTTCAAGGGTCGTCAGTTGGAGCGTAACGAGCTGTTCCTGCCGGGCCGGATGGCGTATGTGGTGGACCTGGAAGACGAGTACGCAGACACGGACATCCCAACCACACTCATCCGCAGCAAAGCCGACTGCCCCACCATGGAGGTACAGACACATCACAAACCTTCACATCGCTCAAGGACGCAGATGCTGACGTGTTTTACTCTCACTCAACATGCTTTCAAATGCTGGAAATAGTTAGAGAGAATTATTAGTGGCGGTTGCCCAATCAAACGTCAGTACTGCTCATGCTGAAGTATATATGGCGAACGGTTTATTGAGAAGAGCTGTGCTTTTCAACAGGATCAGACTTATAGTCAATAATTGCATCTCTTAAAACTCCTCTTTCGTCACCAAAATTGCATATTTAAACGTTTTTTTTCCTTTGAAAAAAAAAAAAATCTTCATAGCTTCAGATATCTTGAATGTAACATTTAACATATTTAAAACTGGTAACGGTCGTACGCAGTGATTTGTGGCTGAAGAGTGACCTCTGACCCGACGCATGACGTATTGACGAACGCAGAATAGAGCAAAAAACTAAACACCGGTCACGAATTAGAAGTTTAAAACTAGAGCTTTTACGAGAACAGGAGAGGCGTCTACTCTCACCTAAGCTAATGCTAATGCTACTTCTACTTGCATCATGCGTCAGGTCAGACGTCACTCTAGTGCAGTGGTTCTCAAAGTGGGGTCCGCGGACCCCGAGCTAAAGCCAGGGGGTCCGCGAAATAATTTACAACCTAACGTTTTTTTCCATGCTATGAGTCATGTTTTCTTTATCATCTGAAAACATGCTGTTTATTCCTAAGTAACTTATATAAAGCATTTAACATACAACAATACAAAGTAGACACTTAAAGTTTTCTATAGATAGATAATCTATGTCTTTGCGTCAAGTAGATTCGCTGCTGTTGATTTTGCGGGACGTGCGCCAGAAAGGAGACAGAGAGACGGCATGAACCCGCATCCGGTTCTTTTCTGTATTTTTAAAAGGCATGACATTTTGTAGTCATTTATAATGTAGCCTATACACAAATAAAAAAAATGGACACTTTACCGTTTCGGATGATGCACTCTTGTCTTATCTATGACCATAAATAAGAGTATTCCTGTTTCCACTGCTGAGGAAAAATTCCCATGTAATTGCGCGCCGGCGTCTCGCGTGCGCGCACAATAGTCAGTTCTAGCACTGCTACTGTAGATTTGACATTAGAAGTCTGATCATTATCAAAATAAAAGTGCATAGTGACAGGGCCGTACCCACAACTGAGGTTGCAAGGATGCACATCGCGATGATACTGACCTTCTCGTCTGAGGTGCTTCAGCAGACTAACAACGATAGCTCGTCAATGTCAAAATGTTTGAGTCGGAGTGAACTCAAAGTTCCCCGCACGACGTTTCAGTCAACGGTCATAAAGTGCGAGATAAGATGTAGGCCTTAAATTAACATAAACTAAACAGCTGTTTTAGATAAAAGTTTTAAAAAACGACTGAAACAATCAGTTTGCAAAGTATTAATCAAGCTCAACTTTAACAAAGGAAAAAGCAGGTCAATAGAAACATACTGTGCCCATGAGATTAACATTATGGATTCATATATTTAACATATAGGCTACTGTATGTTTTTTTTAGCTAATTACAGTAGCTCAAATTAACAACACACGCACCTATTAAACATAATGCCATTATCATTGTATTTATAGGCTTATGGGCTTTATTTGTGTGCAGAATAGGCCTAATTATTGAAACATTTCTCTTTTAAGGCCATTCCTGATTGGAATATGTGATTGTGTTTCGTGACATCTTGACAAAAAAAAAAAAAAAGTATGCCACTGACTGACATGCTTCTACTAAATCTATAGTTATCCAATTGTGGGGCCTTAAAACACCTTAAAATGCACATGTGTAGATCAAGAACATCAAAAATTCCTAAGTGAGGGATCCTAAGTGATTCCTAGCAAGATCACTTTCGTTACCTCAGTAGGCTATTTAGAAATTCCTGCATAGTACCCTGGGTGGAGACCATTCATTTTGTGCAAAAATATTTCATTTGCCGCTCACACATTAACTTTGTGCTCAATAACTGTTATAAATATGAGGGGGGTCCTTGGAATTTTTTTTCCCCTGAAAGGGGTCCCTGGCACCAAAATGTTTGAGAACCCCTGCTCTAGTGGTCCAGGTCAACTTGCTGGAAGCTAGTTATTATAGCTAATAGAGTTGTAAATATGGATTGTTTTCTTACCCAAACGCACACAAACGGGCCTTTATTAACCCTTGGAGTCGTATGGATTGTTTTTATGATGGATGGATGCATTTTTTTTGTAAAGCCATTATAAAGCTTGGAAGAGCCAGGATATTTTTAAACATGTCTCTGATTGTGTTCGGCTGAAAGAAGAAAGCCTGTATGATGGATTGAGGGTGAGTAAATAAGGGTTATTTTACCCAAGAATGAAAATGATCCACTGAAGGCCTATTGTTAAATTGTATTCAAGTTTAAATGTTGTTTGAGCAGTTCTGTTGCTAAATATGCTTGTCCGTTTCAAACAGAGTTGGAGATCGGCTCCTTTGAGCACCCTGAGCACTATAGCAATGGGCTAAAACACTCGTGGCATTGTGGCCGTCGTCGACTTCACTCCCGCTTTCTTCAGCTCATGTTTAATGTCTGGTCAAACTGCTGTTTTTGTCCCTCAGGCTCAGACGACGCTCACCACCAATGACATCGTCATCAGCAAACTCACACAGATCCTGTCGTACCTGAGGCAAGGCACACGCAACAAGAAAATCAAGAAGAAGGACAAAGGTAGTGCTGAATATTCACTAGAGATCAGCTTTTCCAGTCAAGGACGCGAACACAACACAGTGGTTCTCAGCGTTTATTAAGTCACGATCCCAGGGTAGATATCACTGATAAAAGTATGGAGAGACGGATTACGGTGGTCAGAAGAGAGACGGTTAGCCGCGCTCAATTTGCATTTACAAAAAAATTAAATAAAAGAAAATACAGTACTGTGCAAAAGTCTTAGGCATGGTCGTTTTATTCACCTCCAAAAAATGGTTTTAAGTCAGTAATTTATGTCTTTTGTCGTAGTGTGCCAGTAGGAAATATCGGTTAACATTTACCAAACATTCATTTTGCCATTAATTGTAATAATCCTGTGACATTTCTGTATTCACAACGAACTGTGACATCACTATATAAATATCTGGCTTTGGCACATTAGTATTTTCACCCCCAAAAAATGGTTTAGCCAGTTATTGATATCTCTTGCTCTAGTTTGTCAGATTACAGTTTGTATATGCAAAAAAAACTCACTAGATTATTACAATTAATGGCAAAAATGAGTGTTTGGAAATGTAAACTGGTATTTCCTACTGGCACACTATAATCAAGCAAATGTTAACCAAATCCAAATGCATTTTGATGGAAAATGCGCTCTTATTTTGGAAATTTGTGCTTTATTTTGGAAATTTCTAAGCTTGTGTATGTGTGAAGGTTGAGTGTTTTCTGTTTTCAGGGCGTCTGGATGAGAAGAAAGCTCCAGAGGCTGACTTAAGGTGAGTTCACTTGCAGTCAAAGTGTTTTACGTTTATGATCTGATCATTAGTTTCTTAACCATGTGTGTGTGTGTGTGTGTGTTCACCCAGCATCTTTGATGACATCGGTGACTACATCCCCTCCACCTCCAAGAGCATTAGAGACAAAGAGAAAGAGCGCTACCGCGAGAGAGAGAGGGAGAGGGAGAAAGACCGAGAGCGGGAGAGGGAGAGAGAGCGAGAGAGAGAGAGAGAGCGAGAGAGGGATCGGGACGAGGAGAAAAGACGACACAGTTACTTTGAGAAGCCTCGAGCTGATGAGGAGGTCAGCTGACTGTCGGTGTTTAACCCTCTGGTGCTCTTCGCGTGTCGTCAAAAATTACACTTTTTAAAAAAAATTCATTTTTTGTCAATTAAATTAGTGTACTACTATATTTTAGTTTGATAATTTTCTTTTATTTAATATTTTGTGTTTTTAGGGGATTTTATTGTACTATAAATTATATTTACGCTGTATTTATAATCCGTTTATTCACTTTTTGAGCCTAAAAAATACGTTTCCCAACTGAAACTGTCATAAATGTTGAATGCTTTTTTAGAGCACATCTCTGTTCAATGACGATACGTGGCAGATTATTGCTGAAGGGAAAAGTTTAAAAAGTGAATTTAAAAAAAGTAACAGAATTTGACGTGTTCTGAAAAATGCTCAAAAATACTATTTAGAATTTTATATGAAATGTATATTTTCAAAATCATGTTTTACTCTGAAACTGCAAGAAAATCGAAGCCAAGTTCAAAAAACGAGTTTTTAGCGAGTGTGTTTGGCTGCAGTACCGAACGCGTCCACTAGAGGAAATTTTTGACCACGAGGAGCACAAGTGTGACGCTGTTTAACCTTTTCGAATCGTGTCCTGTTCTGTGTTCACACTGCAACTTTTACCAAGTTTTGTACCATCCTGGATCCAATTAAGTAAAAAATAATAAAAAACCAACAACAACAAAAAAACGTAACATTTTTCAATTTTCAAAGATCGAAGAGTGCCAGAGAAAATGATTCTCATTGCTTTTGAATATTTGTGCAGAACTTATGGATATGACTTTCATAAGTAAGCAATCTCTGTAATAATTGTCTTCTATTTCTCTCCTTTCAGCCCATAGACATCGATAAAGGTAAGTATTCACGATCTTCATATTCCTCATAAAAATGGTTCATTGAAGCTGTAAAGTTAGCAAATTTAGACACACATTTGAATGCTAAGGTCCAGGCCTGAGTTCCTCAAAGCTGTAGTTGTGATGTTGTCTTGCAGGTCCAAGCTCTGTGAAGGACCAGCTCAAGTTAATCAATGAGAAGTTTGCTGGAGTCGGTCCGGAAGCATATCCTTCACGAGACTCGATGAACGAGTTCACTGTTGCTCTCTGTGTATAGACCGATACCATCCGCTAAAGCCAAAACAATCTTGTTTCCTAAAGAATAGGACTCCTTATGGATATAACTCATTACGGCACCTTACGTTAACATGGTTTTATTTAAAAATCCTCTTGTTGCTTCAAAAGCTTCAAAATCACGACGGCTGCGTCCCGAATAAGATCTAAATAGTATTCGAGAATAGAATTGGTGTGTCCCGAATCATAGCATGTTGAAAAGTGACTCACTTTTCCCGAAAGTGCAGATCTGTGCCCAATCTAACGGCTAATATTACCCACAACCCACTGAGTGTTGGACGAGGATTCCATTAGAACTACAAACTTGAATAAAATGTGTTAAAATACTACAGAAATGGCGGATGTGTGAGGGATTAATAATCAGTATCTAACCTCTTGAAAGATATTTGTTCAATGTAATCCGCATTATATTTCATCTACGTCTAGTCATTAACTTTTAAATGCATCATTATGAAAACACGACATTAACGTGCCACATTTCTCCCTGAAACGGTAGGAAATTAAATTAGGTTTGAACTGTGACCAGATGATTGACAGGCCACAGTTTGCACATGATAATGATGATGATGATGAAGTATGTCTCAAAGCTTGCCTACTCTTTTGCGACATACTTTTAGGGCAGAGTTTAAGTAGTCCAATTGGGACTTGGCGTTAATCATTGTAGCCAATCACCGACACTTGCATTAACCCTCAGGTGCTCTTCGGTGATTTCTGACCGAAAAATTTTCTGTTTTGAATTTCTAAAAATCACAGCTTCATCGGAATGTTATGAAACTTGGTGACTTTTATGGCATTATGTATGTGAACACACACAAAAATTGAGTGATCGTAACAAAAATAGTCACACTTGTGGTCTTTGGTCAAAAATGACCCCCATAGGAAATGAATGGGAAATTGACAAAAACATAAAAATTCACAAATGTGTTTTTTTAATTTATTTTTTTTACATTTTTTCAATAAAAATTGACAAAAACATAAAAATTCACAAATCTTTTTATTTTATTTATTTATTTATTTATTTATTTTTTTTTTACATTTTTTAAATAAAAAAATCGTTTTTGAGATTATTTCAACTATATATTCAAATCCACAAAAAAAAAAAATTCTCTATACTGAATCCAGATGGTGCTTATTTTCTTCAAAAAATATTTTTTTTCTGAAGGCCTAGACTCTATATTAAACTAAAATACTGCATTAATAATTTTTTGAAAAAATGTATATATATATATATATAGAGAAAAATATATATATTTCCATGGCAAAAATAGACCATAAATATTAATAAATTCAATCAAATTGTCTCAAAATACTAAATTACAAAGAATAAATATTATAGAACAAAAATAAATTGCATTGGTTTTTCTGGGATGGAGGAAATTTAATTTTTAGGTGTCCGGTCACTTTTGACCGGGAAGATAACAAGTGTGACTCCGAAACTGAGAAATTGGCAATGAGATTCTGCACTGATGCATTGCTTTTCATTATAAGGAATAATGTGCAGAAATGTTTTAATATACTACATTTTATGTAAAGGCTATTTGGTCTTTATGACGATTGGCTGGATAATAAATAAGACGCGTGTTTTCAGGAATTGGTTATGTAATGTTTCGGAAAGTTTATAATGAAGATGCATTTTCAGTTATGATTAGATCTAAAAAAGTTTCAATATCCTTATTTATTAACATGGTTTGAGCTGCAGACATGAATATGGTGTATCATTTCTGCATTAGTGTGTGATTATAAAGTGTTTGAGTAGCGTTCTTCTTTAACCGTGAGCACTGGAAGCAGACGTGAGGAGAAGAAGCATCTGGGAGATTTCTTTGGGATGTCCAACAGTTACGCCGAATGTTACCCTGCCACGTGAGTCTCCTTCATCTCTTCTCTCGTGAACACTTACAGGAGGAGTTCAGATCTCCTGGGGCCAGTTGTTCAAAGGTAATCTGATCGGATTTTGGTTATCGGATTGGATCAAATCTTGAAAATGGGTTGTTCAAAAGGGAAAGAAGGAATCTGAAATCAGATAAGATCAGGGAATCCAATCCTGGTTTTAATCTGGATCAAACCTTCAGTTTGTGTTGTTCAAAACTTGTCATTGGGATTTGGATAACTTTGATCCAAAAAAAAACAGGATTATCCTGATTGATTTCAAGGTGGATTTCAGGATGAAAATGTAGTAAAACTTTAAAATTGGTCAAATAATACATTTGTACCATTTAGTTTAAATACTTTTATTTATAATTTGCACTTGACTTGTGTAACCGTTGTAACAGTGATAAAGTAGACATAGGCTAACAATTAAGCTATTCAGTGCAGTAAAGTACTGTTAAAAAAAAACCCATTGTGATATGTTGACCCATTTAGAGCACTGGTAATCCGGATTTGGTAATCTTGAAAACTGTGTATCTGGATCAGGGTGATCAAGTCCAATGTTGCTTTGAAAAACCGGCATAAAAGTAAGACGGATTACCTGATCCTGGATAGGAAAAGATGGGATTTCCAAATCCGGATCATTTTGATCCAGATTAAATGTTTTGAACAACTGGCCCCTGATGATTACTCTCCCGCACGTCATCCGAGATGTTTGTCATTCCAGGATGTTTGTTCATATAATAGACTTCAATGGGGTCCAACGGGTTGCAGGTCCAGATGTGAGTTTCGGTGCAGCTTCAAAGTCTCGACACGATCCAGCCGAGGAATAAGAGTCTGATCTAGACAAACTAGCGCACATTTAGAATAAAATACACATTTATATACTTAAAAACCACTAATGCTGGTCTACGCAATCAGGTTGAAAGGTCATGTGTGGAAGAACTGACCCAGTGTTAAAGTCAAACGCCATTTAAATAAAAGGTAAAACATCGTGTCGAGACTTTGAAGCTGCACTGAAACTCACATCTTGGACCCCATTGAAGTCCATTATATGGAGAAACATCCTCAAAAACCTTCATTTCCACTGAAGAAAGAAAGAAAGACACGGACATCTCGGATGATGTGCGGCGAGTAAATTATAATTCTGAAGTGAAGGACTCCTTTAAAGATGAAGATGATGATGATGATGGTTTGTCTTGCAGGATGGATGATCTGGCTGTGGACAGCGATGAAGAAGTGGACTACAGCAAGATGGACCAGGCATGAATGAGTTTGACGAGTTGTAATGTCTCCGAGTGTGTGTGTGGTCAGGCGTGTTGACGAGTGTGTGTGTGTTTGCAGGGTAATAAGAAGGGTCCATTGGGCCGCTGGGACTTCGACACTCAAGAGGAGTACAGCGACTACATGAACAACAAGGAGGCGCTGCCAAAGTAACACAGGCTCTGCTTTCTCAGTTTGGCCGTGTGAGGTTGTGTGTTCGCTCTGATGATGATGATGATGGTGTGTTTGCAGGGCTGCCTTCCAGTACGGCATCAAAATGTCCGAGGGCCGTAAGACTCGTCGCTTTAAAGAAACCAACGAGAAGGCCGAGTTAGACCGACAGTGGAAGAAAATCAGCGCTGTGAGTTTACCGGCTCTCATCAACTACAGTCTGTGTCATGTGTATGAATTTAAGGGATGAACACCTGGGCCGGTTTTTCCAAATGGTTTAATTAATCCAGATAAAATTGATCCGCATTTAGTAATCCTTTTTTTTTGCGATCGGTGATCACGTAATCCAGTTTTTTAAAGCAACATCGGATTGGATCAATCTGATCTGGATAGGAACTTTTCAGGATCACTAAATCTAGGGGCCAGTTCTTCAAAACATTTAATCTGGATCATAATGATCCGGATTTGGAAATCCCATTTTTTCCTATCCAGGATCAGGTAATCCGTCTTACTTTTATGCCGGTTTTTCAAAGCAACATTGGACTTGATCACCCTGATCCAGATACACAATTTTCAAGATTACCAAATCCGGATTACCAGTGCTCTAAATGGGACAACATATCACAATGTGGCCTAAGAAAAGGTAGAAGAGTCAACATGGGGTCACTGTACGTGTTTCTTATTTTGAAACCAAACACAAATGGGGACAAGATAAATTTTATTTTATTTTTACTTTACTGCACTGAATAGCTTAATTGTTAGCCTATGTCTACTTTATCACTGTTACAACGGTTACACAAGTCAAGTGCAAAATATAAATAAAAGTATATACACTAAATGATACAAATGTATTATTTGACCAATTTTAAAGTTTTCCTACTGAAATCCACCTTGAAATCCTACCCCCGTTGGGATCAGGATAATCCTGTTTTTTTTTTAATCAAAGTTATCCAAATCCCAATGACAAGTTTTGAACAACACAAACTGAAGGTTTGATCCAGATTAAAACTAGGATTGGATTCCCTGATCTAATCTGATTTCAGATTCCTTCTTTCCCTTTTGAACAACCCATTTTCAAGATTTGATCCAATCCGATAACCAAAATCCGATCAGATTACCTTTGAACAACTGGTCCTTGATAACCAGTGCTCAAACAGGATAGGAAATCACAATGTGGAACTATAGATATGTAAAGAGCAACAAGCAGACGAAACAAGTAACAAACACTGTACATTGAGGATAATTATAACAAGTTTCAAACTTATATCACTAATAAATATTCTGAAAACAAAAATATTTTCGATTGTGATATCAATTAGTGACAGAATACAATTTGTTTTTGGTCAATTTTGGGTGGATTATTTTATGAGGCCAAACTCGTTCTACTTTGCTGTAGGCCTATAGTGAAAGGCTGAATACGTTAAAGCCACTGTAGCCTGACGGATGAACAAATAAAATAAAAACCTTATGAATAAATAGGATATATTGTAAGATACTGCATGATCCGAATATAGCATTATTTGATGCATTTTAAAGTTTTTATTACATTTTAGAGCCCGACCGATAAAGCATTTTGAAGGCCGATACAAATATTTTTGGTGTTAAAATCCGATATATCGGCCGATATTTTATTTATTTATTTTAAACTGGACATGATAGTCACAAATTTTGTCGCTTATTTGAGTTAAGAGAACTGATTGGGATGATCTTTTAATTGTTATTCAAGCAATGTATGTATCGTGACCAACTCAACGAGTGTTGCCAACAGGAACCCTCTGGTGGACAAACTATACAACTCCAACACTCATGACATGGTTCAAGCGTGTTTCCTCCGTTTTTATGTTATTTTTGAAATATTTATTTATCGGCCATTATAACTGCCGATACCGATAGTTTGGAAAATGCCTAATATCGGCCGATAATTTCGGTCTGCTGATATATCGGTCTGGCTCTATTACATTTTGAGCATGAAATCCACGCTGAATCCTCCCTTCTGATGGGATCAGTTTAATCCAGATTTTTTGGATCAAAGTGATCCAAATCCTACAAAAAAAGTTCTGAAAAAACCCAAACTAAAGGTTTGATCCGAATCAAAACCAAGATTGGATTATGTGATCTAATCCGATTATGTAATCCGTTTTTTCTTTTGAAAAACCCAAAATCCTACTTTTGGATAACGGATTACTTTTGAAAAACCGGGCCCTGATGATGTTCACTGTCACTCAATCCTGCAGCATGCTCACACTGTCTGTGTTTATTGCAGATCATTGAGAAGAGAAAAAAGATGGAGGCCGATGGGTGAGTGCTGTTGCCTTTTCTCTTCATTTATTAGTCTAAAAAGACGTGAGGAGTCAAAATAGTGGAATTTAACATCTTGGCAACTCTTATGGAAATGAAACCAGATATGCATTTTCATTCTCTTTTCACATTAGCCCAACAAAAAAAAAAAGAGCCTGATTGCAGAAATTTAGTGTTTTTGCAGATATTTTGAATCAAATTTCCAGGTAGTGATAATTTGGTTCTCTTGAACACATTATTCGTAAAAACCTTATTCATAAATGTTTTATGCCATATTCCAATTTTGCATTTTTTAAAGGGTAAGTTCACCCAAAAATGAAAATGCTGTCAGTATTTACTCCCCCTCATGTTGTTCAACCCCGTAAGACCTTTGTTCATCTTCGGGACACAAATTAAGATATTTAAGATGAAATCTGAGCTGGATCACTCCTCCATACTAGTCTATAGGCTTCTTGAGGGATTGAAACTTGCCCACCTCGAAAAGTTATTAAAGACATCGTTAAAATAGTCCAAGTGACTACAGTGGCTCAATCTTAACTTTAACAACAACAAAACAACAAAAATAACGACTTTATTACAACTATTTCCTTCTCTCCCTGCCTCGAGTCAGGTTACTAGTTTAATAACGTAAGCTTCTGTTGTTGTACGTCACACGCATCACACACATGACCAATAGTGAGCCTACATGTGACGTAGCTTTACGCAATCACACTACGCCAACTGACTAGAGGTCCATAGAGAAGGAAGTGAATAGTTGAAATAAAGTCGTTATTTTTGTTTGTTTTTGCGCACAAAAGTGTTCTCGTCGTTTGATAAAGTTAAGATTGAGCCCCTGTAGTCACTTGGACTATTTTAACGATGTCTTTAATAACTTTTCGAGGCGGGCAAGTTTCAATTCCTCAAGAAGCCTATAGACTAGTATGGAGGAGTGATCCAGCTCTCAGATTTCATCAAAAACATCTTAATTCATGGTTAGAAGATGAACGAAGGTCTTACAGGGTTGGAACAACATGAGGGTGAGTAAATACTGACAGAATATTCATGTTTTGGGTGAAGTAACCCTTTAAATTCACAACTTTGGATGGAAAGTGCAGATATATCCATATTTGAAACAATGATTAGTGATTGGCTGGAGGCAAGACAATAAAATCTAATGACATCACATAATTAAAGGAAACAACTCAGGCTGGCAAAATGGCAAACATTTTAATAGATAAATCAAGCATGTAAATTTTTGTTTCACAATTCCCCTTTCTTGTATTTGTACAGGCTTTACACAGTTTTTTTATGCGAGTGTCAAGATCAGCCTATGACTCGTGAAGCGGATAAAGCTTCTTAAGGGTCAATAGCAGAAATAATGTTTCTAATGGCACGTCAGGCTGCATTTTTTTAATATCGCATCATTTCTTTTTAGCATTTTTAATGTTGCATCATTTTATCTGCATTAAAACTAATGCACGATTCATACAAAACTGCAAGGCTCCAATAATTCGGAGAGTAAAAAAAAGTATTTATTTAAAAAAACAGAAGCGGGTGTTTCAGAAGTGGCGTTCGGGTGGGTCAGATATGGGCTGCTTCACGTGAATGGGTTTTATTTCTACTAGTGTGACGTAGCCGTTATGATCAGATCTAAATGTGCTGTGTGTGTGTGTGTGTTCATGAGCGTTTCCTCTTCTATCGTACAGGGTGGACGTAAAGCGGCCCAAATATTAAAGCGTCAGGAGTGAAGAGATCTCTCCAGCTCGATGGAGATGATGCACACGTGCAACAGGAAATGAATTATTGTCTGTTTGTGTTTTTGTTTATTTTCACACAACCCAATACAGTGGTAGAGGAAGGATGTTGTCGTATTTCTAAGTTTTTCTAATCATCCTGTGTTTTGTCAGTTTTAAGGAAGAGTGTAAGAAGTAGATGCAGTGTTGATTGTGATGCTTCTAGAAACTAAATGCTTATCAATCTCACATCTTGAATGTTTACCGTTTTATTCCCAGCATTCACGTGGACAAAGCTTCTTGTATATGTAAGAGTTCAGCTCTGCCCTTCTGGAAACACACACACACATTGTGACTGTATAAATGCTTTTTTAGTGCATTTATTCACGTATACAAATGTATTGTCTAATTCTCCTCTACAATAAAGCAGAATCCACTCTGTGGCTCAGTGTCTCGTTCTGCTCTTCACAAAGCAGTGATGGTTTCTCCATCCGTCTCCACGTGACTCTGCACACAATGCCAGATCACATGATCAGTAATGCACACAATCAGATGTTTAAATTGAGTGTGTGTGTGTGTGCTCACCGTGAAGATCTGCATGTGGAGCATGATCAGGTCTCGGGTAAGTTGCACCATGCCTGTGTTCATGGCAAACTCCTGGAACAGCGTGACCACAAATATCACGGCCAGATTATGAGCCGTCATGCGGTTCGCCTGACTGTGCGTCTGCACCCTGAGAGACACGAGACAACGCATCAGTCACCGATACTTCATCTAATGCACAGCATATCCACCTATATCAGTTCCCTTAAGCGGACACAGGTGTGCTTAATCATTAAATATTGATTTAAAAGTTTGGGTTTTGCTTTGTTGCTGGGAATTCTTGCAGTCGGAAAACCCAAACATTAGAGATCACTGCACAACATTACACATTTCTGCAATATCGATATAAAGAAATTATTTTAACCACATTTTCATGTTGCAGTTATATGCTAAAATGCTTTCATTTAGTTCCATTTCCCCCTTAACAAACAAACTCAAACCGTATTCACTTTATAGCCCTTAATCCGGTAATTGTGGACAAATGTGGGCACAGAGGACTCAGGTGTGATCCTAATTTTAATATATTATAAATGTTATATCACTGTCTACGATAAAGTTTAGTCTATCCATTTATAGTGGTTTTTTTTTTCAATTTTGGGGGTATTTTTGAATTTATTTACTTCAAAAGTACCATATTTTCTATGTAAATTAATTACTATGTACTTTTATTTATTTATTTATTTTTTTAACTACATTAAAATATCATTCCAATAAGTTCTTAAAGCTAAAACCTAAAGATGAAGTGACTTTGCTGTCACCTGGTGTCTTATTTTGATTACAGTTTTTCCCATCCATTTCTATGGGTGCCCATTTTTTGACCCAAATACAAGATAAAGGAGTTTGTTTTTTTCACCCACTTAACATTGTAGAATTGAGTCAAAAAATAAAAAATAAATAAAAATGTGTGTGTTCAGGAGGCAAACTTAGGAAAAGTAGCCAAGTTGGGAAGTATTTTTTAAAAATAAATCAAAACTATTTTGCCCACATTTGTCCAGAATACAGTTATAGGGTTAAATGATACATTTGATGAAAAAGTTGAAAGCATTTTAGCATAACGCAGCATAAAAATGAATATATAGATGAAGCATGGCTACCGTTTTACATATTGCGTATTGATAGCTGGCATCATTTCATCACTAAAGCCAAACATTGAGAGATGTCCTACGTGTGCAGGTGTCCACACAGAGCCGCCAGTGTCGCGTGGTTGTCGGGAGGAAGCTGTGTGAGCAGTTGGCGGTACGTCTGCAGTCTGAGCTTCTCATCTGACAGAGCTGTGGATCAACACAGAACAGTGTTTGAGTTTACCGTGGGCTCCACAAATATCAGCACGACTGAGTGTAAACATTTCTGCAATTTCTTTCATTCTAAATATTCACAAAAATCGAACCTTTTTAATAAAAGTCTTTTTTTCTGAACTATATGGATTCAATTAATACTTTGTGTAACCCCCCTTTGGCAAGATAACAGCTCTGAAACGTCTCTATAATGTAAAACATTCACAAAGCTGAATGGTTCATGTGTCTGAAAATTAATGTGATGAATTGAAGAAGGTTACCAGTTTTGTTGATTCGTACATGTTTTTCCACTTTTCTCTGATAAACATTTATAAATTTATAAAACTGTAAGATCCTTAATAAAAGTGCACATGCACCTGAAAGCCAAAAATATTCAGATTTATAAAACCTGTGCAAATATCCCTTTATCCATCCCAGTCAGCGAAGGATTGTGTGCATGCGTCTCCACACCGAAATAACCATATATGGGCTTACAACGCCTTGTTTACTGTGTGTGCATAACATCATCTGCATATATTTGCATATGCATTCATCCATGTGATACAATATTTAACGGTACAAGACATTAGGAAAATATGAGATACGGATGTGCATCACATTTACATTGCTAAGAATCATTTACAGTGGTGTGAATAAGTTTGGACACCCATGCTAAAGTTGCCTAAAAAGAGGAATAAAAAATCATCTTTTGGATATTGATCTTAATGCCTTAATTAGAAAAATGAGGAAAACTCCGACCTTTAAGGACACCAATTTTCTTTGTGAATGAATAATGTATCATAAATAAATAAATGTTTTTCCTTAAAATACAGGGTGCATAAGAATGTTAAATTCCCATAGAGTCAGGCAGATTTTTATTTTTAAAAGCCAGTTATTTCATGGATCCAGGATAATATGCATCCTGATAAAGTTCCCTTGGCCTTTGGGATTAAAATATCCCCACATCATCACACACCTTCCACCACACCTAGAGATTGGCATGGTTTTACTTCAGTTAGCCTAATAGCTGGTTTGATTTGCATTGAAAGATGATCTTATGGAAAGTACCCCATGCCAATCTCTAGGCGAGGTGAATGGTGTGTGATGATGATGTGGGGATATTTTAATCCCAAAGGCCAAGGGAACTTTATTATAAAATATATAAAATATTATATCACTATTCAATAATGCTCTGCTACTATCATGCGATAATCAATCCTCGCTGTATCAAAACATTAAAACTCAGCATGCCACCCATTCAAAAGCGTCGCATCCACTACAAATATTATTTATTACAATCTACATTTTTTTTGTATCTTCTCTGTAATGATTTCATGTAATTTAAGTGCTGAACTCCATATATTTAATCCACATGTGTATATCAGATGTAAAACAAATTAATCATTACGTTATGCATTTAAACTGTTATTGTATACATGCACTGTATTTATGATAAGGACTCATAATGAAGATTTAAAGTGGTTTTCCTTCATCTGTCGTCAGTCCCTCACATCGGTGTCGCCAAAACGTTGAGTTTACATGCAGGTGCGCAAATTTTCCCGTCAATTTTGTCTTTATAAATAATATCATCTGTGTGGGAAGTGGCGTACGGCACTCACAGGGCCCGTTTTGACCGAACGCAATGGTTATAAATGAGGCCGTCTGAACTGCACATAATAATGAGCTCTGCCTTGATGCTAACGATGCCATCCAACATCCCATCAACATATTTTCTGCCTCAAATGTGTAATGCAGTACGTCAGAAGATGCTCCCTGTTGAGTCTGCTATAATCCAAAGGATCTTCCTCATCTCAAACATCTATTCTGCTTTGATAGGTGTTCAAAAGATCAGTACAGATAAAACACACTTGAATTAAGGAGACTAAAAGAACGCTAATGTACAAAATAAAAGTCACTTCGGTAACTCATGAACACCACATAACATTCAGCATTAAACTCATTTTAGACTGGTTTAGTGAAGTGATGATCTTGATGTCCACCAGACGTACCTGCAGCTTTCGGCCAGTGTGGCTTCTGTGTTTGTGGTATGAGCTCAATCTCCTGCCGTAGGATCTGCTTCAGTGCTCCTGAAACATCTATGATGGAGAACTCGTCTGTTCCCAGAACAGTTCCTCTCGGAGAAACACGCAGGGCGTCGACCAGCTTGCTGATCTGAGGAGCGATGCCACAGCGCCGATACAAGCCCTCCACCTTCAACCCTGAAACAAACAACACAACTCGTCTCAAATCTGGCTTTAAAACATTCTCATTGGATGGTTTTCTAAAAAAATGAAACCTTTCAGGATATATTTCAAGCTTTAAAACGCTGATTGGTCAATTCAGCTATGACTTTCTATCCAGAAGAAAGATTTCATTACTTCATTTACCTCACAGAACAATTTTCTAATGAAATGAGCCCAGAATATTCAAGCACTCTATAAGCATTCACTTCTGATGTGTTCAGAGACTTAACTGCATGTTTTTTGCATTTAAAATGACAATGTGCTATAGTTTAAACTTATATTAAATTATGTATTAAAACTAAATATTAAATCAAGCAGGATTTTAGTGCGTCTTCATATGTAAATTCATAATTACCTCTAGTAAGTGTACTGGCGAATATACTGACACACATTTATTGTAAACTAAAATATATTTTAATATTGAAACTTGTATGTCATGTATTTAAAGTCCTCGTGTGATAAAAATAAAGCTTTTAATGTTGTTTATAGGTCTATGTGGAGTTTTTAATATGAATTTGAACATGGTTTGTCTTAAAATACTACTCAGCACTGGTGTTGACTCATGCTTTCTGCTTAAAACTGCAGTGAACCAAAGACAGTCTCAAACACACGGTTTGATATCGCTGGTGTTTCTGACGTCACAAACAAACGTGTGATCGTCAACCAGTGGATCTATGAGCTGAGTGAGTAAGTGAGTCATTTGCATATTCATAGAACCGCACATAATAAATGAGGCAAGGGGGTCGAGTTGCATTCAAGATTAACAAAACAACTTTAAACTGTCATTTTGGTGATAATCTTACTTTAAGCACAATAAAAGATTATTTAAACAATGATTTAAAATTTAAAAAGTAATGATGATTTAAAAATGTAACATTAAGAGACACTTTTAAAAAGTATGCTTTGTCGTAGTCATTAAATGAGGCAAGGGTGTCGAGTTACATTCAAGATATTTTAAGGCACGAAGACAAAAAAAAACAAAAAAAAACTTAAAATGTCATTTTGGTGATAATTTTATCCTTTTAAACTATTTTTTTTTTCATTGACTACAGGGGGACTTTAAGCACAACAAAAGATTAGGAACACTCCGACTTTTTGGGACTTTAGCCTATTCACCTTACCCCCCAGAGTTAGATAAGTCCATACATACCTTTTTCATCTCCGTGCGTGCTGTAAGTCTGTTTGACGCACCCACCGCTAGCCTAGCTTAGCACAAAGACTGGATGTGAATAGTTGCAGCTTTCATACTAATCCAAATGAGTGGCAACATAACGCAAAAGTTTTCCTATTTACATGTTGTGATTTGTATAGTCACAGAATGTACAAATAACAAAGTCAAATGAGACACAGACATCTTTTAACCGTATAAAACCTGGGAACTATTCTCTGAAGGCGAAGCACTGCTACTTTGGCGGAGTGATAACCGCATCACCTGAGACACGCCGTGGTGAGGAGCGGAGAGTTCGCTCGGTGTTTGTAGAGTTCGAGTCAGCAATTTATAAATAGTAAAAGCGTAGTTTACAGTCATGGGTTTTCGCTCTATTGTAAATAGCTGGGACAGTAAACAGGGGAGGTAATACCATGTTTCACAGAATTCCAACTAAAAACGCTGACTGGATGAAGAAATGGCTAACTTACTCTGGATATTTATTCAAACACACCTAGATTATCAAGGGACATTGCTCGGTACATTTCAATGGACGACTATTTTGAAAAAATGGAATTTGCCACACGGACCATAATGTGCTGAAGGATACGGCCGTCCCATCGATAGCACAGACAGGACAAGTGGATCACCTGCGGCTGAGGTAAGTGTTCCGTTATGTTTTTAGATGACCTACTGTAACAGTGCCATTAGACAGAGCTAATGTAACGTTAGTGACACTATTATATGATTAGGGTATGTTATCTTGATGTGGCGCAGACGCGCTTGGAAAAAAAACGAGCGCGTTCACCGCGTTGAACTTGCACCCTGCGCGCGGCGCGCCTAGTAGCCTAAATTTGAAATAACCATGGAAATAACGAACTTGAGCGTGCAAAAGGGTACGATAGGCTGTGAGTTCATTGTGCAAAAACAATTTGTGCTATTACTTTCCCCGTATTCTATCCGATATACTGTTGAATACATTTGGCTCAGCTAGCCTAATAAATTGCATTTAAAATATATTGATTTCTGTAATAATAATTATTTATTCATGTGATATATAAATCTGGGTGCGTTTTTGGTTGGAAATCAATGAAACATGGTACTGTATTACCTGGTCTCCCCTGTTTATTGTCACAGCTCATAAAGCAAACATCCATGATAAACTAGGCTTTTCTATCTAACGTTAGTAATTGCTGACTCTTTACTCCAACACTGAGCGAACTCTCTGCTCCTCGTCACGGCGCGTCTCAGGTGATGGTTATCACTCTGCCCAAGTAGCAGTGCTTCGCCTTCAGAAAATATAGTATTTATACGGTTAAAAGATGTCTGTGGCCTTGATATTTGTACACTCTGTGACTATACAAACCACAACATGTAAATAGGAAAACGTTTGCGTTATTTTGTCACTCATTTGGATTAGTATGAAAGCTGCAACTATTCACATCCAGTCTTTGTGCTAAGCTAGGCTAGCGGTGGGTGCGTGAAACAGACTTATAGCACGCACGGAGATGAAAAAGGTATGTATGGCTATATCTAACTCTGGGGGGTAAGGTGAATAGGCTAAAGTCCCAAAAAGTCGGAGTGTTCCTTTAAAACAATGATTTAAAATGTAAAAAGTAAAAATGTAACATTAAGAGACACTTTTAAAAAGTATGCTTTGTTGTAGTCTACTCAAGATGCACTTAAGTGAGCTTTTATTTAATTCATATTGTCAGCACGTACAGATTTAAAAAGAAAATTTTGAATTGAAGTACACTAAAAGTACATATCCATTGCAATGAAGCAGACTTATCTTCACCAGAGCCAACCTGAGGCACCTGAGCTTGAGTATAGACCTTACTCAGAGCAGCGCCATGACAGGTATGAAAGTGAGGCTGTGAGGGATAGACTTACCGTGTTTCCAATGGCATCCGCTGTAAAAAGCTGAATAAAGCGGCTAGATTACTTACAATTTTCCACAGCTTACATTGTCAGGAGTTTTTTGTCAAGTGAAATTTCTTGGAAAGATATTTTTTCCAGTGTTTCATGAGCAGAACAATCCGAAAACACATTAATAATAACAGTACAGCCCATTGAAGAGATGCAAGTCTATCCCTCACAGCCTCGCTTTCATTCTCACTAAAAATCAAAGATGGCGCTGCCGTGAATAAGGCAGATATCATTAAACTAGCCAAACTGAAGCTCTCACAACTTCATTTACATTAGCAGTTTTTCATCTTGTCATACTCAACTGTTGCTTAAGTCCAGTCAGTCACTCACCGTACTGTGTGATGTGAGATATGCAGCGGTCGACAGCAGCCGGCACAGATCCTACTACAGGCTGCGGTCCGTCTGTCGTCGAGCTCATGGCCCTCTTCACGAGCTCATACCACCTCACACAGCTGAGCTCCAGCTCAAACTGCATGTGTAACGTCCTGCAGGAGAGAAACACCGCCTTCAGTGTTTACGAGGTCAGACTGATCTCATGAAGTAGCGTGTGTATGACACGCCAATTCGTATTTCCATTTTTGGCGTGCTATCAAGACGCATAATCGCCTTTCAGTGTGTTTATGAACGCCGTTGACTTAACGTTATATAAATATATGAGTTACCTCAACCCCGTCCCTAAACTTAACCGTCACTGGGGTTAATGGCATTTATGACTGGAGATTTGACTGCGTGTTCGGACACGCGGAATGACGCGGACGTTAATGGCGTAGACATATACGCATACACGCGGATAGCACAAAATGCGTGGAGATAACACGCCACCTGACTCGAAAGTGGCGTATATGTTTACGCAAAAGTCATGATGTCATGTTGACGAGGTGAACTTCCGTCCCGGCGAGCAATTATGCGTTTAAAAGACGTCTAATAGCCGTCCAAACACAGCCTAGACGTCTATGCTAAAACATTAAGGCAAACTTTGGGCTGTCAGTGAATATTTAATTGACGTCTAAACCATCGCCCAAGAATAGACTAGTCATCAATTTGATAAAGAAATTAAATGAGCGAACCTTGCAATCCTTGTAATCACCGTTTACTTTGCATACAAGATGGAATATCAGACATCTCAGTAAGTTATTCAGGCAAATACGACGTGTAACCAAACTCAAGGTTATTTTGGCTAGAAGGTTACTCATAGTATAGCCAGACTATATCGGGTTGCTACGCGCTACACGAAACTTGAGTTACGCAATCAGATTACTTTAGGGAACTAGTAACGTGATGCATTATTTTTTCATGGCTGGATGTTGAACAATAATCACGTTGTTTGAATTCGCCAAAACTGATTTTCCGAAATCAAAACCCGGCCGGACATTGAAAGGGATTTGCCGTTAGCGCGAGTCCGGATCAAACCAGCAGAGGATTCTGTTCGCAAATCAAACAATGATTTGTCCCAAAAGATAATTAATTCTCAATTTAGAGTTTATTATTTGTATGGTCTGATGTGCGCGAGTGTGATTTGTGTCAAGTGTCATGTTACTGTTGTATCAGTCGTGGTTAGATCAGAGTAGCTGTCGATTTAAAAGGGAGTTCTCGTACGGGACAAATAAATTAGGCCCAAAATATTGGATGTCCCGGCTAATTCAGGACAGTTGGCAACCCTAGACTTGAGACACAGTCCATAAGTGCATAAAGGCCTGTCACTGACCTCTCAGCAAACTCCAGCAGGATGCATTTCTCTGATTGCTGCAGATCTACAAAGAAGAAACAGTTTTAATAAAGACATTATTAAAGGAGTAGTTCACTTAAAAAAAAAAAAACTTTTGCTAATTAAGGGTTTTGATAAAAACATTCCAGGATTTTTCTCCATATAATGGACTTCAATGGGGTCCAAACGGTACAAGGTCCAAATGAGGGTTTCAGTACAAACTGTTCAAAGGGCTTTAAACGATTCCAGACGATGAATACGAATCTTTTTTCGACGCACAAAATGAACGAAATGACTCGAAAAAAGATTTGTTCAGTTTGATGAACGAGTTCGAACAGGAGAGTCACGAACGCGCATCACAGAACAGAGCAAGGCGACCATTTGAGCTTATAAAACTTAAACTTTGTTATTTATTTTTAAAACGACCGATGGTTTCACTTGATAAGACCCTTATTCATCGTCTGGAATCGTTTAAAGCAGCACTGAAACTCTCATTTGGACCTTGAACCGTTTGGTTCCCATTGAAGTCCATTATATGGAGAAAATCCTGGAATGTTGTCATCAAAAACCTTAATTTCTTTTCGACTGCAGAAAGAAAGACATGGACATCTTGGATGACATGGGGGTGAGTAAATTATCAGCAAAAGTTTTTTTTAAAGTGAACTACTCCTTTAAAGACAGTATTTGATAAACTGATGGGGGGGGGGGGGGGGGGGACTGACGACAGTGTGTTTGAGCGCCCAGGATCACGGTGTCTCTGGATCCGTGCTGCTTTGTGTGTATGGTCATCTCTCCGGCCTGGAGTGTGCACCACACCTCAGCACACTGTAGAGCGGCACCCTCCCGTAAACACGCTCTCGACACGGCAAACACTCCCACCAGATCGTCATCCACCACTGCGCCCGCAAGCAAAATCTACACACACACGCAGGGCACTGCTGTACTGATACCGACACATTTACCAGCAACAACTGCTCATGTATGTCCACTAGGAAAGAGATTACCTTCATGATGTGCAACATGTGACCAAGGAGGGCGTTTCGTTCGTCTGCCGAGCAAGTCAGTCTGTCTGTCAAAGTTAACACCTCAAACTCATGGGTTTGCCTATAAAAGACAAAAGGAATTTACTCTTCTCTACAGAATAAGAAAAATATAAATAAAAGAACCTCCAAAGAATAGTTCTGGATTATAAACAATTCATTATTAACGAAATATTATAAGTAAGTGGGCTGTTCTGAACACCAGCACAACTGTGACTTGGCCGTGAAGGCATCAGGCGTCTATCGGTGGATATATTAGAGATACCCGTTTCTGTTCCAGTTAATTGCCTTGTCTGTGTATTTAAGCCCTCTCAGCTCTTTGTTCAGTCTATTTAATCTTAATGTGTAGATTTCTTGTTGGTTTTCTCCCGAGTATTCTCCTTGTTCATTAAAATAACTGACTCGATTCAGATTCGTGCTTGTTCATCCACATGTTACATCCAAAACCTATTACACACAATGCTCTACAAATATTAGCATATGAATAGCCAACCCGATCTCACTGGAATTCGTACGAATTTTACGAGGTGGCTAATTCGTACGACCTCACTCGTACGAATTTGCTAAATCGTACATATTTTACGAATTAACCAATTCGTATGAATTCGTACGAATGACCAGTGTTGGGGAGTAGTTAACTACAAGTAGCGATGCTACTAACTTAACTACATTTTTCAGTAGCTTGGCAGTAGCTCAGTTGCTTTTTAAACAGTGTAGCTTTTCCAGTAGCTAACTACTTTTTGCAGCAAGTAGCGGTGTAGCTCGAGCAAAAGCTACATTGCGTTTGTCGTCGAGTCTGTGCGAATCGGCGCGATGCAAGGATATTCTTCTTCTTTTTAGATTACAAACTCATTTTTTGCCATTACCGCCACCTGTTTTTTAATCACGCATCTTGCGGCTAACGGTTCACTGACGTACAGAAGTGTGTTGACACACACATGATGATGGAGCAAGATGTGACGGAAGATTTGGAGGATGGAGAAACAACTAAAGTTAATTATCCATGGCCTTATTTATCCAAGTTCAATCGGTATTTTTGAGAAAATGTTTAACATGCAATTTACGTTGGATGTATATTTTTTTCTTGCAATGTTGTAGGCTATTTGACAAACATTCTGAGATATTTGGGTGTTGTCTGTAATGAAACAATACTTTTCGAAATCATAATTTTATTGCATTGTTTTAAACACTAAATATTTTACAAGTAAAACATTTAGTGTTTAAAACAATGCAATAAAATTATGATTTCAAAAAGTATTGTTGTCCCCTTCTGTCCTCAGACACTTATTCAGTTATTAATAATATACGTTGTTCAAAAAAGCAAAAGTAGTTTCAATGTAGCTAACTACTTTTTGATAGTAACTTGTAGTGTAGCTAACTACTTTTCCAAAAGAGTAGCTTGACTGTAGTTTAACTACTTTAACTTACGAGTAGCTTGTAGCAGTGTTGTAGTACTCGAGACTCGGACTCGGTCTCGAGACCATATTTTAATGGTCTTGATCTTGTCATGGACTCGTGTCCATTTGGACTCGGAATTGACTCGTACTCGAACATTTTTTTTTTTTAGGACTCGGACTTATTCCCGAGTCCACTCGAGTTCAATTAAAAATATTTTTCATGATTATTAATGTATGTTAATAAAATATTTCTTCAAATTGATTGACACGCCCAGTGATTGGTGATTTTCTAGTGCGCAACTGCGCATGACAAATTGTCATAAAATTACTTTTAACACCACCTACTATGTGGCCTTTTTACCCTAAACTGATCATATTTTTTAAACTCTAAGTAAATTCAGTAAAAAAAAAAAAAAAGATTTCTCTAAGTAAATAAAAGTAAATTAGGTAATCCACCCTCACTGGTCTCGGTCTCGACTCGGACTCGACCGTCTCTGGTCTCGGTCTCGACTCGGACTCGACCGTCTCTGGTCTCGGTCTCGACTCGGACTCGACCGTCTCTGGTCTCGGACTCGACTCGGACTCGACTCTCTATGGACTCGGTCTTGACTCGGACTCGACCGTCTCTGGTCTCGGTCTTGACTCGGACTCGACTCTCTATGGACTCGGTCTTGACTCGGACTCGACCGTCTCTGGTCTCGGACTCGACTCGGACTCGACTCTCTATGGACTCGGTCTTGACTCAGACTCGACTCTCTCTGGTCTCGGTGTCGACTCGGACTCGAGTGAGGTGGTCTCGACTACAACACTGGCTTGTAGCTTGTCAAACTACAGTTTCAGAGTAGCTTCCCCAACACTGCAAATGACCCGACCCTGACCCCGCCCCTAAACATAACTGTCACGTGGGTTTAGACAAATGAGGTCGTACGAGTGAGGTCGTACGAATTAGCCACTTTTGAATCACTTGTATGAATTGGTCGTGAGATAGCGTAGGAATAGCCTGTTTAATACATGGCTATCAAGCACACCTGAATTAATGCGGTCCTAACGTGTAGACAGTGTGTAAAATTATATGACTTAATTTACTAATATATATATATATTGTGGCATGAGCTTACCCTGCAGAGCAGTCAAACACTGAGATGACCTCTGTCAAGTCCAGCACATCACAGGCAGCGGACTCATTCTCCTGCGAGAACAAGAAACGTTCCTCATCCAGCTTTCCGTGGAGTTCTTCTACACATGTGGAAATCACAGAAATAACACAAATTGTGTAGCAGAGTCATTACTTCAATCAAAGTGGCTTCATAAGACTGATTCTGCATTGGTAAAATCATGGGCGTCGGAAGCAAAAATAAAGTGGGTAGGTCCTACCCCCAGAAAAATGTTGTTGGAGTAATGCCATTTCATGTATTCTGGGGCCTTTTAATTTAACAAGTAAACTAAATTCCGCTTCATGTCGTGCATTAAATGCACAGTTAACCGTGGATTATCCCGTTAATTTGCCAGCACTGACAACTTAAAAGGTTAGTTCACCCAAAAATGAAAATTACGTCATTAGTGACTCACCCTCATGTCGTTCCAAGCCCGTCAAAGTAGTCATGTGACATCAGTGGGTTAGTTACAATGTTTTGAAGCATCGAAAATACATTTTGGTCCAAAAATAACACAAACTCCGACTTTATTCAGCATTGTGTCGTCTTCCGGTTCTGTTGTGGATCCGCGTTCGGTGACGTAAGACGCGGCTGACGTGTGTCTGGTGCGGCTGAGCTTCGGTTACAGTCTGAGGGAGACGCACGCTGTACAAAACAATCTTCACACACATGTCTAAGGATTTCCACACAGAGGAAGACTTGCATTTTTTGCCCAGCCATATTTTTTGAACCCGAATACACGGACGCATCAGACACACGTCAGCCGCGGCACTGAACGCGGATCCACAACAGAACCGGAAGACTGAATAAAGTCAGAGTTTGTGTTATTTTTGGACCAAAATGTATTTTCGATGCTTCAAAACATTGTAACTATTGTGATGTCACATGACTACTTTGATGATGTCTTTATTTTATTTCTGGACAAGGACAGTGTACCGTACACACATTTCCAATGGAGGGACAGAAAGCTCTCGGACTAAATCTAAAATATCTTAAACTGTGTCCTGAAGATGAACAGGCTTGGAACGAGTCAATGACTTAATTTTCATTTTTGGGTGAACTACCCCTTTAAAGCTTTTGATGTTTGCAACGCAATTTTTGACTGGAAGGATACAACAGGCGGTTATTTTCGTCAGTTAAGAAATATAATGTAGGGATTCAGCGGAAATGGACTTTATTAATTAATTGACGGTGCTCAAATTCAGCACATTTGTCTCTTCGCTTTTCAGACATGGAAAAAGTGAGTAGGTCCAATATCATTGGTCTTAAAAAAGTGGGTGGGTCTTGTCCCACCCATAGACAATGGTTCCGACGCCCATGGGTAACATGTATTTCACTCTTAATACAATAATGTAAAAGTGTACTTACCCATCTGTTCCTCTGAAGGCTTTATTTGCTCAAAGTCAGGTGCCTCTTTAAAACAGAGCAACATGAATTAAAAACATCCTTTTCATTGAAAAAAAAAAAGAATATCATAAGAATAGCATTTTAGCATTAATTTTAAGTAACAGCACAATTATTAACACCCTTTGAGATTCTTATTAGGAACAATGTAAATATTAGGGCTGTGCAAAAATTAATTGTGATTAATCGCATCCAAAATAAAAGTCTGTGTTTACAAAATATATTAGTGTGTGTTGTATATAATTATTTTGTATATATAAATACCTATGCATGCATGTATATATTTAAGCATTATTTGCGCTTAAATTCTGTGTATATATATATATATATATATATAAATACATATTCATATATAAAATATTTATATAATATAGATTAACACATTTTCTTAAATATATACATGCATGTGTGTGTATTTATATATACAAAATAATTATATACAGCACACACAAATATATTATGTAAACACAGACTTTTATTTTGGATGCGATTAATCGCAATTAATTTTTGCACAGCCCTAGTAAATATATTAATTTCCTACACATTTTGAATTGAAACGGGGAGTCATGATTCACCACTTGAATGTTTCTCTAAAAACATAAAAATACAAGTTGACATATTCAATAAATTTTTTTTTAAATTATTTGGATGTTATGAAAGGTACATTTTATGAAATTTTTTTGGTGCATTCGTACTAGGGATGTCCCGATCCGATCCACGGCATCGGTATCGCGCCGATACCGGCCCAGAACGCTAGATCGGAGATCGGAGGGGAGAAAAAAATATGAGCGATATCCAGTTTAGCGGCGCAGCCTGTCACGTGATAATTGTTGTGTTTACGCACACGCGCGCAGAGAATCACTCTCGCTTTGCGTGTCAAGAGCGAAACTGGCGCGCGTAAAAGGGCCGTTACATAGTCAACGCGAGCTACGCGAGAAAGCAACGCGAGTGACGCGAGCGACGCGCTTCCTTTCAAGTTTGAAGCGAAATTTACGCGCGTGACGCGCGTCAGAATCAAAATCCGTTGGCGGTCATTGTTTTTATGTCGACCGAGCATTCATCAAGAGAGTTACCGCTCTGTATTTACTCTGGATAGCAGAACAGCGGCGTGGGGATCATCGTCGCCGTATATTTGTGTCCACCGGACCCTTCGGAGCCGAACCGTTTGGCGAGTTTCACCATTTGCTCGCTCCAGGAGCTGCGCTGGATGACGGCCGCTGTCAGCGGTACTTCCGCCTGTCACGCGCCCAGTTTGATGACCTGTTGTCCCGCATCTGAGCGAGGATCACCCTCGCCCGGCCCCTCATCCATCTAATCTAGCTGTCATTTATTTTTGTTTTGATAATAAATAGAGCCAGCCTTCAAAAGTTATTAACCTGTCCTGTGATTTTTTTTCTCTCTCTCACGTCCAGACACGAATTTATGCACATATGTTGATTGTCTTTACAACATAATACTATTTCTAGATATGGAATGAATAACATTCAATACAAAATGAACAGGTCTCCATATAGAAATAATGTTTTAAGTGATGAAACATTTGCTTTGTTGTGCATAATCCCACCATGCATTTAGTCATATTAACAAAATAATTTATTGAAGCATCCAGACACTTCACCACGTGAGCAAGCAGCTAGGCTCCTGATTGGTTAACGCGGCGCGAATTCACGCCAAAGTTCAGCCAACTTGACGCGCGAATGAGGCGTATTCGCGTCTTCCGCGCCGCGCTCCACGCCTTCGCGCCGCAGGAATTTTTCTTGCATTGACTTAACATTGAAATCATTCGCGCCTGACGCCCTATTCGCGTCCGGTGTGAACGTAGCATTAGTGCGTCGAAGTTGTGATAGCGCTGTCGGCTAACGCGAAATGCTACTATTTACATTCCATGGATGTTTATTCATATATACAATTGTTTTGGACTAAAAACTTCTTCAAATTGGATTGTATGGACGCTTTACAGTGAAACCAAACCATTTTTGTTGGAATGTGGACTAACAGATGGCTAATTGGTGAGTTTCTTCCAGTTTGTGTTGGTTTGTTTTGGCTGTTGGTGGTCTGACAAAGAGACAGATTGTGCCCGCTGTGTTGATTGTATCTTAAAATGGTTTACGTCGTTCGAATCACGAGTTTCTCAGCTTTCCAAAGATATGTATTATGTTTACTTTTGTGTTTGTTTTGTTTTGTCTTTCACAAAGTTAAACCTATAAACCACCCTGTGGGCCGTATACGGCACGTCGGACCACGAAAAAAAAAATATCGGACTAATATCGGTATCGGCAAAAGCCAAAGGTGCGGCATCGGTATCGGTATCGGAAGTGAAAAAGTGGTATCGGGACATCCCTAATTCGTACTGTAATGTCACAACGCTTCAAAAAAGGGTTAAAATGAGCCATGGAAAACTGTTAGCTGTTTAAAAAACACTCTCTGATACACTAGGAGTTTAATTCGCCCCGATCAGGACTCAACTAACCCACAAACTCGTTGTGTCGGAGTAGTTCTGTCTGCAGTGCCTGTCCAGAACTCTCTGCCACGCTGACGGCGGACTGAAGCTCAGGATCCGTGGCGCTGAACGAAACTCTGGCCCCGGAGCACAGCAGAGACAGCGTCTCTTCTACATCAGGACCACACACCACCTCACGCAACCTCTGAAGAGCACCAGGAAACAATGCAGAGGTCAATATGAGAGAGGTCTGAAACTTATAAGATTGCAGGGAGCCTTGATCAGATTTCTGACCTGGTCCAGCAGTTTCTGGCTTGCGGCGAGCGGGTGAGCTTTGCGGTAAAGTCCTTTACGGTACTTGGCTAGAATAAATTCTGCCTTCTGATCGGGTGAAACATCAGGTCCGATCTGCTCCGCTGGAGGGATGTTGTGACCCCACACACTATTGGCAGCTTTATTTCCGTACAGAATAAACAACTGAAAAATAAAACATCTACTGTTAAAAGACATCACATTTTTACCAGTTTAGAGGTTCAATCAATCAAATCAAATCACATTTATTGATTAGATTGTTTTGTTAAAAAAAAGTTTTTAATGTTGTTTATGTGTCTGTGTTGTTTTAAAATGCTTCAAGACAAACCACGTGTAAATTCATAGGTCAACACAAGTATTTTCTCCTTAAAACTGCAGTGAACCAAAGACAGTCTCAAAAACACGGTTTTAAAAAAGTTTTTTCTTCAGTGCCGCGTTTTAGAAAGCCAGCGCAATACTCTGCAAAAGTATGGAAGCGAGATGAGAACGCAGTCAATCACATCTAGGGTGATGATTACATTAAAAACGAAGAAAAAGTAGTGCAATGGAATGAAAAAAGTATTGTGTGGCATTTAAAGGTGCATTGCGCAACATTTCATGTTAAAAATACCCGTTTTACATGTTTAACCTTCTGGGGTTGTTCGTTTAAGAGTCACACTTGGGGTGTTCGGGTCCAAATGGACCCAAAGGGCGGTAATCATATTTTTTTTAAAAATAATGATTTTTCTTTTTACTTGTTTTTATAATATTATTTCTTTTCTTTTTTGGTGTTTTGAGAAAATTTCAAAAATAAAAAAATTTATAATTACTATTAATGCAATAATATGACCAATTTGTCCCTCACTGAATATAATAGATTTTTTAAAGCTGTATTTCATTTTAGAGTCAAGCCTAGGCCTCATAAAAGCAATTTTTGAAATGAGATGGATGCCATCTGGTGGACAAACTGAGCATTTTAAAAATGCAAAACACATGTATAATCTGAATTTTTTTGGTGTGTTAGTGTATAAAAGTGTGTTAGTGTGTGTGTGTGGATGTGTCTGTTTTGCACTCTTGATGTTTTATGGATTCACCCATTCACTGTTGTGTGCTTTTTTTCAAGATCGTTGCTGATTTGTAGATTGTACGCACAAAAAACTCATTTTTGCCAATTTCCCATTCATTTTCCATGCGGGTCCATTTGGACCCGAACACCCCAAGTGTGACTATATTTTTTTTACAACCACTTAGACTATTCACATCCTGTCCCCAATTTTTTTGGGTGTTCATATACCAACAAAGTAACCAAATTTCGGACCTTTTTTTTATTTGAATTCTTCGGGACCATTTGGGCCAAACAACCCCAGAGGGTTAAACGATTGCCTGATGGGCTGAATGAGCCCTTCTCTGATCACTGCGATTTCCTCTATAATCCTGTACAGTGAAATAAATAAGAGGGATTCGGGACGGATTTGAGACTGGGCAAGACGTCATGCGCGTTCACGCTCACCTGGCGATGTCTGGCAGGTTTGTGTATTCACCGCCATTCTCCGTATCAGCGAAGACAACTCAAGCGACGCTACTTTAGTCAACTTTCCACAAAAGATGGATTCAAAAAGACCGGCTTGTAGTTCATTCCAAACCCAACGCAAACTCCACGTAAGACAAAGAAAATAAGACTTTTGTCTAGTGCCAGGCATCGGAATAAGACGAGAGTCAACATCGGGAAGCTTTCAACAAATAAAGAGATCTCCAGTCTGCTCTAGGACTCAAACGGGATACAAAGTAATGACTTATATTGTTCATGAACGTGTTTCCATAATAATCATAAGTGGATGCAGTAAACAGTTCAACATGGAGATAGATGGAAACTAAAACCAAAGTTTTCTACAACCCCGTTTCCCCCTGAAATGCCTTTCCTTTCATATATTTAAAATGACTTGCAGATTTATAACTTTATTACCTCTGAAGACATTATGACTGTAACACAAGATTTGTGTGGTTATGAACAGCTCGTGCGAGTGTGTGGTCCATGAGCGCGCACAACTCTGGTTGCAGTTTCGCTTGTCGCCAGAGGGGGCGTAGTTCTGCAAAAACTCAGAGACTTGCGCAATGCACCTTTAATTTCCCTTTCCACGCAATTAAAGTTGCATTCGTTGCTATAGGCTTTCATTGCGTTTTCTTTTCAAATTATCACTGGACGGAAGAAAAGTGAAATGGTTAAGTCAAAAATCCAGATCCAAATGCAACTGAAATCCTGTAGGGAAAACTGAAGTGGGCCGTTTATGCAAGAAACCCACCCAAAATCACAAAGTTGGAGGTATGTGGGCAAAAACAACTTTTCAGAGCACTGTGAAATGAGGAGGAAATAAACCCGGTCATTTAACATCATAAAGACATGGACGATGCGTTTTGTTGTTGCAACATGACAGAACTCACCTGAATTAAAGGCTCCGTCCAAACCTTGTTATCTAGTTTCAGACCTCGCACTTTGGAGTGGTTACAGCTCATGGATCGATGTGCCCCAGCGCACGCCTCACAGATGACCACCAGCAGGTTCACCGAAGCCCACTCTGGGTTGGCAGCGCCACAGTCAGCGCACACTTTATTACAGGGACTCGCCCACAGTCGATGAGCCACCTCGCTGTAGGTCAGAGCGCCGCGGATCACGTCGTTCAGAGTCTCCAGCCACATGGTCGCCTCCTTCCCAGAGTCTGCGGAGAAACTGGACAAACCGAACCGACAGTAAACAAAGTGTGTAGAGGCAATAGAAAAAAACGTTGTAATATAAGACTCACTTAAAGGTCCTGTATGGGGTGATGAGAGTGAAGCTGTGACGCCCTGTTGACTTCACAGACGCTATATTCATTGAGACAAACATCATGCCAAGACCTATATTGAAGTCCTGTTAATTCAAACAAGTTCAATTTGCAAACTTCCCGTCTGGCTTTGTTTAAGTTTGACAAACAGTACATAACATTTAAATAATAACTTTAACAACTGTCTGGTTAAAAGTGTTGAAGTAAAGTCATGTTGTTAAAGTCCCCCTGTGGTGAAAATCCAGTTTTTAATGTTGTTTGTGTGTCTATGTGGCGTTTTTAATGTGTACGTTCATAAGTCGACAGCATTGCTGAGTATTTTCTGCTTAAAACTGAATCAAAGACAGTCTCAAAAACACGGTTTGAAATCGCTGGTGTTTCTGACGAAGAGTATAGAAGAACAAGAGGCGAAACTCTGATGCTTTTTTGGTAACAGCCACTAGATGGCGCTTCGGTAGCGCGGCCGCCATATCCGGGTGAAAATTCCAACAGTTACTGGACAACAGCACAGATAACAGTTTTTTGAGGTAGTTTTTTTTCTTACATTAGTGAGTATTTCCATTGTATGTAACTTTACACTTTTACTACTATTATTAGTTACCAACTCCACTAGGCCTGAAATATATTTCGGACGTTTTAATCCCCTGGATCATGCTACAAACATGATTATCATTGATGCACTGTGTCCGTTATCCATAACTAATTGCCACTTTGGACATTGGCTGTGTTTTTTTGTTTGTTTTACATAGTCTTGCTTTAACGGTCATTAGGCTAGTACTGCAAAAAAAAAAAAAAACAGTTTACTGTAAAGCTATTCTACGGAGGCGTATTGCATTCACTTGAAGAAAAAAAAAATCTACTCTGTTTTTCTGAATTAACGAGTTAATTTTTCATGAGAAAAAAAATTTGCTCTGTTTTTCTGAATTAATGAGTTAATTTTTTTATGAGAATTTTTTTTGCTCTGTTTTTCTGAATTAACGAGTTAATTTTTCATGAGAAAAACATTTTTTGCTCTGTTTTTCTGAATTAATGAGTTAATTTTTCATGAGAAAAAAAAGTTTTTGCTCTGTTTTTCTGAATTAATTTTTCATGAGAAAATTTATTTTTGCTGTTTTTCTGAATTAACTCATTAATTCAGAAAAACAGAGAAAAAAAAAATCCATTAAAAATTAACTCATTAATTTAGAAAAACAGAGAAAAAAAAATTCCATTAAAAATTAACTCATTAATTCAGAAAAACAGAGAAAAAAAAATTCCATTAAAAATTAACTCATTAATTCAGAAAAACAGAGCAATTTTTTTTTTCTCATGAAAAATTAACTCGTTAATTCAGAAAAACAGAGCAAATTTTTTTTTTCATGAAAAATTAACTCGTTAATTCAGAAAAACAGAGCAAAATTTTTTTTCATATGAAAAATTAACTCATTAATTCAGAAAAACAGAGCAATTTTTTTTTTCTCATGAAAAATTAACTCGTTAATTCAGAAAAACAGAGCAAAATTTTTTTTTTCTCATGAAAAATTAACTCATAAATTCAGAAAAACAGAGCAAAATTTTTTTTCTCATGAAAAATTAACTCATTAATTCAGAAAAACAGAGCAAATTTTTTTTTCTCATGAAAAATTAACTCGTTAATTCAGAAAAACAGAGCAAATTTTTTTTTTCTCATGAAAAATTAACTCGTTAATTCAGAAAAACAAAGCAAAATTTTTTTTCTCATGAAAAATTAACTCGTTAATTCAGAAAAACAGAGTAGATTTTTTTGCTTCAAGTGAATGCAATACGCCTCCGTACTATTCTATTGCTGTTATATATTTATTGTCAAACATTTACATTTTAGTACAACATTTGCTGAATTCATTTATTTCATTGATAACTTATTTTTGTAAGTAACGTTATGTGTAGGCCTACCTCCCGGGAAACGGTCTATGTTATTATAACTTTATGAACTGATATCACTTTATTCTTACCTATCACACTTAATGTAGAGAGGAATATAAGAATTAAATCCTCGAACTTCCCTGTCTCAAGTTATGTGGGGGTAAAAGCCCGGTTAAGTAGCAACTTCTTTTTAAATAAAGTTAACTGTTGTGAGTTAAATAATCACCTGGCCTAATTATTTCAACCTAAAAATGATCTCTGCACTGGACTAAATATATGTATATTATATGACTGCCGAGTCGCTTTCACCCCGAACTGGCGGAAGCGTAGGGCTGCTGCTGGGCGCTGGTGTTGCAATGGAACGTTCTATTGGCTTTCACTTCTTGTCAATATACGTTCATTGAGTGAGTGGAGGCGGGGCTCATTTGCATATTCATAGAACTGAGTTACAAGCATGTTTTAAAGTTGTTAAGACTGTTTAAATATGTAATCTTGGTGATCAAAGATGAGTTTCAACGGATACAATTATTAACAGGGGGACTTTAAACTATTTAGTTTTGGGTTCAAGTTCACTCCATTTATTATGTAATGAAGTTATGCTACGAATAATCATGAACGACTGAGCCTAGATTTTGTACTCGGATAAAATATTGGATATTGTTGATTTAATCAGAGATTTTTTTTTTTGTGCTTTAAAACTGTAATTTCTAGTGTTTTCTTTTAGTTTTGAGCTGCTTAGTAAAGAGAGGGAGAATATAGGTTACAAGTGAAGAAAAGAACAGAACGATCTGTGAATGCTTTTATAATTTGCAAAATGTCCGAAATTTATAGTTTATGCAAACTCTCATGTTATATGCAAGTGGTGATTTGTATTTTATAAGTGTGATCGGCTTCGGCTCTCTTTCCCACGGCAATAAAGTTGCGTTGGAATGAGGATATAAACGCTATCCACTTTCATATCTGGATTCCACTCTCCGGATACGGTGTACTCTTATCATCTCTTATCTCTTAAAGTCCCCCTGTGGTGAAAATCCAGCTTTTAATGTCGTTTATATGTCTATGTGGTGTTTTTAATATGCTTTAAGTGCAAATTCGACAGCATCGCCGAGTATTTTCTGCTTAATACTGAAGTGAACCAAAGACAGTCTCAAAAATCGCTGACGTCACATAAAAGTCATTTTGGTGCCGTAGGACACAGTATTTTCAATTTTTACATTTTTAAGTCAAACCGTTCGTGTCTATCAGTCATATAATGGAGGTCTATGGTCACCACCTCAAAGAGCATGCACAGAGAAGTCAAAATTAAACATGATTTAATGACTCGTAAATGTAAGTACACATTGATGGCCTGAGACACGAAACGAGCGGTTTGTGTGCGAAAACGAACAGTATTTATATCGTTTTTACCTCTTGTAACCTCAGCCACGTCCAAGTGATCTGAGGGCGCTTTGTGGTTGTGGTTACAAGAGGTAAAAACGCTATAAATACTGTTCGTTTTCGCACACAAACCGCTCGTTTCGTGTCTTAGGCCATCAATGTGTACTTGCATTTACGAGTCATTAAATCATGTTTAATTTAGACTTCTCTGTGCATGCTCTTTGAGGTGGTGACCATAGACCTCCATTATATGACTGACAGACACGAACGGTTTGACCTAAAAATGTCAAAATTGAAAATACTGCGGAAACAAAGACACCTACATCTTGGATGCCCTTGAGGTAAGATAAAACATACCAAACATTAATTTCAAAGTGAACTATCCCTTTAAAGGATAAAAGATTGACTACAGGGGGACTTTAAATTCTTCTTGAACATTTCAAGTTAGTAAGCAAGTTCCCACACCTCTTTGCTGCTGTAAATCCAAAGGGTGTATCCACAGATAGCAGCGTACACCTTTTTCCTGGGGTCTTTCATGATCAGTGGTCCGTGTTGTTTGGGTGTAGTGACCGGTTCCCTCCCTCGAGTGGCGTGGAGAGACACTAACCAGCTGTCCTGCACAGCTATTCACAACATAGAACGCAATGACCTTGATGCTAATATTAACAATGTGAATCAAACCCAGATTAAGGAAATGGCATGTTTCACTTCACTGAGCTCAGAGTTTCCAGTTCTCCATAACGCAGCTTACCCTCACTATGAGCCATGAATTCAAACTGCTTCTTCTGTAAATAGATGGAGAAGTGTCCCTGATCCTGCTTCCGTATGTTGGTGATGCTTGTTACATGAAACACATATTCTGTGAACTTGTCCTGGAGCACATTGAACATTTGGTTACATTGACAAAAGGGTAGAGGCAAAAACTGATTTATCCAGTATTCATTAGGAACCAACTCACTGTGCGTTTTTTCCACAATGACATGAGATGGCCATCTAGAGTCGTCCACAGTACATTGTGCCTGCAAAACAAATTTTGTTAATTAAAAAAAAAGCCCTTTCTTTTCGTTCTTATAATCAATGGGTGTCCACCAAATGCAGTGTTGTTTATGTGCCATCTTTAATTACATATGATCTTCGTGCTTCGTACACTTCGGCAACCTCAATTTTTAAGAACAGTTTTAAGGGTTGTTTATTATCAGTAGAGCCAGACCGATATATCGGCAGGCCGATATTAGGCATTTTCCAAACTATCGGTATCGGCAGTTATAATGGCCGATAAATATATATTTCAAAAATAAAATGAAAACGGACGAAACGCGCTTGAATCATGTCATGAGTGTTGGAGTTGTATAGTTTGTCCACCAGAGGGCGCTCTACACCGTCCCTGTTGGCAACACTCGTTGAGTTGGTCACGAGACATACATTGCTTGAATAACAATTAAAAGATCATCCCCATCAGTTCTCTCAACTCAAATAAGCGACAAAATTTGTGACTATCATGTCCAGTTTTGCTGCTGTTAAATAAGCCGAGAGTGAAGCGGAATTAGCTTGTAATAGTTACGTTACGTTGTTAGTGTAGTTGACTGACTGTCCTTTTAACTTTTGACAATGTGACTGAAGTATTTCTTTAATAGCGTGTGACAGTTATAGCAATGAGACGCATCATCTCTCCTCGGCCTGTTATATTGAAAATGTTTTACAATTTGCAGTATGACGTTATCCATGGCTAAATTATGGCTCATCATAGACTAGCTAACCACAAAGCTAGCTAATGCCACTATCATCAGTCTGTACTGTTGTGAGAATAAAAGAAACAAGCTTCTTTTTAACCTGTTAACTGTCACCCCCCCTTTTTTGAATAGACATGAAAATGCACATTTCGAACTTAAATGGTTGTAATTCAAGAATGCTTTGGAATATAGACATATGATTGGTCTTGTTTTAAAGAAGACATTTGGCAGATTTTTGTAGAAGTGAAATAAATTAAGAAAGTGAAACAGAAAAAAAGTTATAGAAGTTTGAGTTTATGGAAATGTACAATGTAAAAATATTAATTATTCATATTTTACATAAAATATATATTTTCAAAACCTGGGCTACTCTAAAATGTCAGAAAGATCAAAGCCAAAAATCTGAACAAGTTGTGTTTCGAATTTTAGGTTGATATCTCAAAAAATGAGCTTTCAGTAAGATTTTGTTTGAGCGCAGTACCAAACTTTTTCACTAGGGCACAATCAGACTCCATTACTGCCCATATAAGGGCGCCTGCATTTCCATTCCTGTTTTGAGTGATATGAACCATTATTTTCACAATTTTTATACAATTTCTGAAGTAGAGATCCTATTCAGAAGTAGTATGGGAAGTTTGGCAGATTTTGATATGAATTGAACCTCTAAGAAACACATACAAAGAACACGCATGTAAGTCATAGCTAGCTGCCACGTCACAAATGGTGAATTTATTATTTTTTTTTCTTGATATTTCAAACTTTTCAGACCTTTTTTTTCCAAAATAATTGAATGGATTCTATCTTTTGAACTTTTGGCATGAAAACAAACTGAGGTATCTACCATTTTTTCATGATTTTTCATGTTTACTGCTATTTTAAAATAAAGGTCTGAACACGCCTTATGAGTGTGAAAATATTCTTGTTTTATATTGATAAATTATGGCTCCTCTGTAATATATTTTGAAAATCAGTCACCAAATATGGAAACTAGAGATTGTAAGCTTTCAAATGATATATAGTTTGTCAATATTATTTAAGGTATTTACTAAGATATTATTGTTTTAAAAATATAGTGGCAAACGTCCCACCTGTGGGACGGTGACAGTTAAGTGGTTTTAAAATGCATTATCATATTATTTTAGTTAAAACTCATAAATAACTAATGTTAGGGAAATCTGTTAATGTTTTGTTGCGCCTTTCTAAAATAAAAATAAAAAATATCGGCCGATATATCGGATTTTAAAACCAAAAAATATTTGTATCGGTCTTCAAAATCCTTTATCGGTCGGGCTCTACTTATCAGTGGACAATTTCAGCAGTTTTGAAGTTGAAGTACTGTAGATAATTACAGAGAATGCCTTTTTCTGTGCCTTGATTTATCAACCTCCCTGATATAATAAGATGTTTCTGCGGGAATTTTTATCTTCTCTATTACCTTAATGACAAACTATTAACTCTAGGTGATTTTAATACACATGCGTGTTGTCCCTCTCATCCTTCGGTTAATGAATTTCTTGTTTTTTTTGTTTTTTTTTTATCTCGCTTGGTCACAGAGTCTACACATAAACAAGGCCATACTCTTGATTTGGTCATTTCAGCAGGTCTCACAGTCAGTAATATAGAGATTGATGAAATCTGTCCATCAGATCATAAGCCGGTATTGTTTAACACTGTACTCAACGCTTCAAAGGTTAATGTCAAGTCCTGTAGTCGTCCAATCCATTCTGTTACATCGAAACAGTTCGAAGATGCTTTTGTCAGGGATGTTTGCCCTACTGTGTCTTCATTGTCAGAGATGTCTGTTGATGATCAACTTTATTATTTTAACACTCTGTGTGGCAATGTTTTGGACTCAGTTGCTCCATTTAAAATTAAGAAACCTAAATTAAGGACACAACCTGGGCTTAAAAAGGACTTTAATGGAGGAAGGCTGAAAGAAAGTCAAGCTCCAAGTATGAAATCATGAAACATTGTGAGCTACCAATACTATACTCTACTTAATAGCAGGTCGCTCTTTTTTTCCTGATGCTACACCTAAAATCTGTTATAAATAAAGTTTTTTGTTGATAAAATGAATAGTATTCATTCTTGTATCCCCAAGTTTGATTTGAACTCAGTTAATGACTCAAGTTCGGCCTGCTTAACAGAGTTTGAGCCTATTTCTTCTTTTCTTGTGGAGCTTTTCCATAAATATACTTAGGGAAGTGTCAGGTGTAGTTGAACCTTTTGTTTTAACTATTATAAATAGCAGCCTATCTCAAGGCACTGTCGCATCAATCCTGAAACACGCAGTAGTAAATCCACTCCGCAAAAAAGCCCAGTTCAGATCCGTATATTTTACAAAACTATCGCCCGATTTCAAAATTACCATTTTTATCAAAAGCAATGGAAAAGGCTTCCATCAATAACTTATACGAATAAGTTGCAGCCTGGTTTGACAACTTCACAGTAGAGAGTCCGCTTTGCTGAAAGTGTTGAATGATCTTTTGTTGGCTGTGGATTCGGGTAACTGTGCAATTTTGTTCCTTTTGGACCTCAGTGCAGCTTTTGATGCCATTGACCATTTCACAAGATGTAAACAACACTGGTCCAGAAGCACTTCCTGTTTCAGTTTTTTAACACTACATAAAAGCTGGGATAAAATAAAACCAACAGAACATTTAAAACTGAATCAAAAAGTTAAACAAACATCTTTAGATGTTTCCTTTACATGTGAAATAAAGAAAACAGTTATAAACTGAAACAGGAAGTGCTTCTGGACCAGTGTTGTTTACATCTTGTGAAATGGTCTATATTGGTTGAGTAACTGTGTAGGAATTCAAGGTAGGATTTAATTGGTTTAAATCCCATCTTTCTGTGGAGATTGGGAATTTTTCCTGTACTGTTAACTTGTGGTGTACCACAGGGGTCTATTTTGGGCCCGCTGTTGTTTTCGCTGTATTTGCTCTGAAAAAAAAATATCAAGCCTAAAAAATGATAATTATGACATATACTGTGTTAAACTGTCTTGAGGTGGTAAGATGTTGCTAATTTTCTAACACTGAATGACTCTAAAACTGAAATTGCAGTTTTTGAACCACCAGTTTCTATTATACAGATAAATAACCATCTGGGAATTCTCATGCCAAAAATTTGTGATTGATTTTTGATAATTCAACAAACAAAACAAATCAGTGGTGAAGAGTAGCTTTTATCATCTCAGATCCATTGTGAAATTGAAAGTGTTTGGTGTGAAAGGGCCCATTTGTGTTAACTTTATTTTTTGGTAAAGATGTTTGATTATTTCATTTTGATATTTAGTATTGATATTGTTATTTTGAAATGCATTGTTTGAATTAGCTGTTGATTTTGAAATGTTTCAAATGGATAAAGGCCTAAATTACAGGAAGTTGACTTTTCTTTGAAGGCGTCATGTGATTTCTGAGATTGTGTAAAGTTAGTTACTTGCGTCCCTTCCATACGTCGAGCCAGCTGGATTGTGTCACCGCACACCCACTGGTTCTCTGGCGCGGGCCTGATAGCGTCTTCTTCTTCCTGCTCACACGAATGGTTGCAGCCCTGCAGACCAAGAATTCAACATATTTTAAGATCTTGCAAAAAAAAAACATGTAATGTCAAGTTTGCTTTTATATTAGTTGCACATGTGCTTAAAGTCCCCCTGTAGTCAATCATTTTTCATCCCTTAAAACTCATCTTTGATCACCAAAATTACATATTTAGACGTTTTTTTCTTGAAAAAGATTCTTCATGTCTAAAAGGGATACTCCACTTTTTTTGGAAATAGACTCATTTTACCACTGCCCCAGAGTTAAACAGTTGGGTTTTACCGTTTTCGAATGTATTCAGATGATTTTTTGATATTTAGAAGAATATCAGTAACCAGACAGTTTCTGGTCTCATTGACTTCCATAGTAGGAAAAAATATATACTATGGAAGTCAATGAGACCAGAAACTGTCTGGTTACTGATTTTCTTCTAAATATCAGAAAATCGGCTAAATGGATTTGAAAATGGTAAAACTCGACTGTTTAACTCTGGGGGAGTGGTAAAATTAGCCTATTTCCAAAAAAAGTGGAGTATCCCTTTAAACCAGCTTGAATGTAACTCGACACCCCTGCCTAATTTAGTATACGCGATTCTATGAATATGCAAATGGGCCCCGCCTCCACTCACAGCAACTCAGATCCACTGGTTGATGATCACGCGTTGATCTGATTGGTTACAAGTTCGTTTGTGACGTCAGAAACACCAGCGATTTCAAACCGTGTTTTTGAGACTGTCTTTGATTCAGTTTTAAGCAGGAAATACTCCGTAATGCTGTCGACTTATGAACTTACAGATGGTTTGTCTTAAAGCGTATTATAGACATATAAACAACGTTAAAAGCTTGATTTTCACCACAGGGGGACTAATGCTGAACATTTTTTTATAGAAAAATTCACAAAACGTAATTTCTTATTTGATTAGGCATTAAATATATTGCATTGGCAGTTGGCACACGAGATTGTCACATGAGACATGATAGGGAAGCTTGTTTTCTGAGGAGTAATCATAATGTACCGTGGTTTCTTGAATTTGTCAGTTTTGATCTGAAGGATCTGTGATTTAGGAACTTGATGGATCCCTTCAGTGGTGCCAAGTTCAGTTTGAGCGTCCATTAACTGATCTGTGAAACTACAAGGAAAAATATAAACAGAAGTTACCAAAGACAACTTTCGTCATCAAGAAACATGCCATTTCACCAACGGAAACAGTAGCGATACATCACCTTGCATTATCAGAATTGACATCATCCTTATTGAGGTCATCCTGTGATTTTGAGGAGTTGAGCGTCACAGTGGAATCGTCAGAAGACATGGAGTCAGCGGTTTTCGCTGGATCCGGATCTGAACTGGGACTGATGGCGAGTGATGCTGGCCAAGGCAATGTTTCACTGCAGTTGGTTTTAACAGCTTGAAGATCAGGGGGTTCAGACGTGGGATGCAACGGATTAGATGAATCATCCACACCAACATCGTTTTTGATACACGTTTCTACTGAGAACAAAAACAAAACAAATTTCTGCTTAATAAAACAATTAAAGAGATAATTGAGACTTTTTATCTGACATTTGCAAGATATAAAGTCAGAAATGTGTTAACTCACTATTGCATGTTATAATGTCAAAATTGTGCGTTGTGACTTCATAAGATAAAGTTGTGAGGAAAAAAAATTGTAAGTCTGAAATGAATTGTAAGATAAAAAGTCACAATTGCCTTTTTTATTTTTTATTCTGTGGCGGAAACAAGCTTCCGTACCTTTTGCACACTTTGATAAGGGTTTGCCTTGTTTTTTTCTTCTGTTGAACACAAGATATTTTGAAGAGTGTTGGTAATCAACCAATTGACATTAGCCATTGACTTCCATAGTAGGAAAAACAAATACTCAATAGCTAACGTCAACTGTCTGGTTACCAACACTCTTCAAAGTCCCCCTGTAGTCAATCATTTTATCCCTTAAAACTCAAATTTGATTACTAAAATTACATATTTAAGCATTTTTTCCTTGAAAAAAAATTCTTCATGCCTTAAAATAACTTGAATGTAACTCAACACCCCTGCTTTATTTAATATACCCGGTTCTATGAATATGCAAATTAGCCCCGCCTCCATTCACTCACTCACTCACTCACTCACTTGCCTTACCAAACCTTGATTTTCACCACAGGGGGAAAATCTTTCTTTGTGTTCAACAGATGAAAGAAACTCATACAGGTTTGGAACAACATGAGTAAATAATGTTTGGGTGACCAAACCCTTTCAGCCACAGTGACAGAGACCCAGACTATTATAAATGTGACATTTCTGTCATCTCACACATTTATGTCATTCCAAAGCCAAAAGAAGGAATGCTCAACAATTTCCATTCAGCTCTGAAACAATGAAAGTAAAAATAGACAAATCAAATCACCATGAATCTAATCATGTGAATCATGCTCAATATATCCTGTCAACACAACAGATTTGTGTGATGTCATTACTCACTGATACGTAATCAAACTTGCCATGTCGGCTAACAAGCCATGCAAGAACCGGCAAGATGTTGTGAGCTTGGATCTGTGTTTGTGCTTTGCTTGAGTTGGACTGTGTGTTTGGTTTTGCACTGTTCTCAGTTCAGTTTCATTGGTCCCAGTTCCACTGTTGCCATGGTGTCTGATTCGCCCTCATGTGTTGCACCTGTGTCTACTTAATTGTCTCATTTATTGCCTGGCGTCCGCATGTGTATTTATAGCCCTCAGTTTCAGCTGCTCCACGTTGGTTACTGTCTTTTGATTATTGTTTCATTTTGGATTTCTGAAAGACTACTGCACATACACATCGTGTTGCAACGATCGCTGACAATAATGCATTTACACATTTAAAGTTGCATAAAATAATAAATGATGAATAATACAAAATTTACAGAAATGTATTTTTTCGTTTTCGCATGACAAATGAAGCCACGCAATGGTAAAGAATGAGTTAAAGGAGAACTCCGGTGCAAAATGAACCTTTGGTCTAATAAAACATCGATACCTAGTCGACCGTTCTCTGAGATTTGAATGTAAAGAGTTTTATCTCTAACTGTTTAGCGTATAATGCTAGTATATAGGGCATAGAATAAGTAAAAAGAAATCGCTAGTTTATATACCACTAACAATTTTCGCTAATTTTAACAACTAGCTAATTTTCATTTTGAGTGAACTATCCCTTTAACATTTCGAGTCATTGGTGTTGGATTACACAGAAAGTGTGGCACGTACGGTGGGAGTCGCAGAATCGAACACCTCTACTTATGATAAACTGCTTGAGATGTGCGTTACTTCTGCTGAACAAGATCATTTAAATGTAAATATTTTATTTTATGGCTTTATATTTATATTTCAGATTTTTCTCCCACTTTTAATATTGTATGTTACTGTGACTGTGTTTTCAATTTCAATTTTCAATTGTAAAAATTTTTATATTTTGAAAGTTTTGACTTTCTATTCCCACTTTACATAATATATTATTGTTTCCTTTTTCAATTTAAGGAAGAATTGATTTTTTTAAGTATCAATTTTTTTTTAAGTGTATAATGTTTTGTGGGTCAACACCGAGGACGACTGATACTATAGGATGAACATGTTACTGATATCTTGTTGCAAAAAAAAAAAAAACACATAATAAAAAGTACCTTCAGAGTTCATCGGTGCATCAACCTGAACATCTGGACAAGGCATCTGACCAACGCCATCTCTGTAAGATATTCAAGTATAGTAAGTGTATTGACTTTCCAAAAAAGATGACTTGATATTTGATATCCTGGATTAGGATTAGACTCCTGATAGAAAATTCAAATCAAATCCTTTGTTGCCATTCTTTGTAGTATTAAGGCATACTTGTTTTTTTTTTTTGATTAAGACTTTACAGACAATGGTTGACCTGCATTTGTTCCATCTGCTCACCTCTCAGTAAACAGTTGTTCAACAGATGCTCTGAGTAAATATCTTGATCGTGGCTTTGGCACGGGTATGTGAACAGGTGGATCAGACACAGACATCTGCAGCAAAAAAGTATAATGCATAACATACATTATTAGACCTTGCATGACGGTGTTAGAAATGCCAAGAATTTAAACATCAAGATTTAAATACAGGGTTAACAAGTATTCACTGCCTTACAGTTGCTTAGAAACATGACGTATTTAGCAGAGAAATATTTCCACTTGGTCACAGGGGAAAACCATCAAGACATATTCATTAAAAGTTCATAATCCTTTGAAAACCTGTCGTTGGACGAGGGCCCGTTTGTAATGCATTCTGCCCCCATGATGCTTCTGTCTTAATCTCCAGGATATGAATTATTTAGCTTTATTTATGAATATTGTGAGTGTATCAAGGGAATAACAACTTATATTGTACATATTTTCATAAGTGGCAAATATTATTGAATTTCTGAGTTACATGTTTTAATATTTCACATAACAAGGTAAAAAAACTCAGTGTTTGATGTAGTGTAGTCTACGTGATACGCAGGTATACGCCGTATACCCACTAGAAAATGTCAAGGATTTGCGTATACCCACTAGGAAATGTCAAAGATCTCCGTATGCCCACTTTAAAAAGCGTGAGGATTCGTAACAACATCGTTTGTGAAATAAATTTCCTATGACATCAGCCCCCCTAAACGTAGGGCGACAGAATTTCGTGTTCCCTTAAGTTCTGTTATAATCAGATTCAGCGCGCGAGCCGCGAGCAGAGAGCACGTCAAAAACAGAGGACATGTAGTCGTGTGTGTGTGTTCGTGTTCATCTGAGCCTCATTGGTCTGTCACTGCTCGTCAATGTCAGAATATTTGAGATGACAAATCAAATCAAAGTAGGCGGGCTTTATATTCACAGACGCTGCTGAGCGCGAATTTCAGGAGAGCGACTCGACGCTTCAGTTTACGGGCAAGTGCGAGAAAAGATGTAAGTGGCTAAACTTAACATTTTATATTTACATTTTTTAGGTCATAAATGTTAAACGAATGACAAAAAATAATCAGGCAAACTAATAGGCTATAGTTTTGTCTAATTTCGCCATTTTGAAGTGAAATAAATAGGCCTGTAACGTGACTCATGCAATTTAATAGTTTACTGTCATTGCGAGGGGACAAGAAACATTAACAAAGACCTTTTCATCATTTTAGCCACAAGAGTAATAACGAATGTGTACATATTGAGAATATAATAAAAATTGTAGCCTTTTTAGGCTATTACATTAAAAAAAGCTCAGCCTTCGAAGGGGAAGAGAATTTACTGCCCACTGACATGGTTTTAAAGCTATTTCTTATTCTTTTTTGGTCTTCAAACGTCTTGAAATGCACATCAGAGAAATCAAAAAAATTGAAGCACCAACCTCAAATTTAGGACCTCTGTGATTATAAAGCCCTGTCTACGGCCCTGTATTAGTCATAAGATCAATAATGAATGTGTATATGTTTTGAATGTATTTAATAAACTAATTACCTAGCTTTAGTAGCTTTCAGTGAATAAACGTGTCCGAGAAAAATATTCATATAAAAATCCACTTATCAGTTGACCCCATGTTTAGTTTCTTCACTGCCAGACAAAAATGAAAAGCCTATATCAGTCACAGCTCATCTTTAGGAGGGGAAGAGACAGGGCAAGAGAAAAACAAAGAGAAAAAGAGGGTGATGCTGATGAGGAGAGAAAAATAATCAGCTGCTCAGCTGCCCACTGACATGGTTTTAAAGCTGTTATCTAATTTTTTTTGGCCTTCAAAACATCCTAAAATGCACATATGTAGATCAGAAAATTGTTTTTTTAACCATGTTTGTTCATGCGTTTTGTGAAATTGCACTGTCCCCTTTTAAATAAACCAATACATCAAATCAAATCAGAAATAAAATGTTTCTCAGGGAAACCCTGAACTCCCTAACCTACCTCACATTTGGGACAACAGTGATTATAAAATTGGCTGGTATATCACAAAAAACTAGACTACACATATAATTAAATGTAAAACCAGTATTTCACAACAATGTTGGACAACTACCTTAATGGACAATACAAATAAAAAATGTTATCAGGGTTTAGTTTTTAAGTTCATAAGTTATGAAACAATTATACTGTTCTCAGTTTTTACCAGTATTTCTTGTTCCTTCCATGGACAAAGTTTACAGGCATAGGGTCATGTTTGTCACTGTTATTATAGCGCCCCCTTTCGTTAAAACGGTAATATTTCTCATACAAATAGCCTGTAAATTTCTAAGCGGAAATAACGTGGCGATATGAACAGTGCACAATAGCATACAACTCTTGTATATAATTATAAACAACACCTAAAACTAGTTTATAGAATAAGCTACAACCCAAACAACTTTATTAGCGCCACCAAGTCTAATTCAACTGGAGACTTTCAGGTCGATATATTTCATTCTATATTTCTGTACGCTTCGTGTTTGTTCTAATATTACGACGACGAATAAAATCTAATAATATCCCCAATTATCCTTACAAACAGACTACTATAGTACTCAAGGCTACATTTGATATGAAACTTAACAGCTAGTTTTACTGTTGTTTGTCACATTGTCAGTCTATGAAAAACAGTCCTAATGAAATAAAACCTCGACTAACATAAATAGCATATCTATATGAGAGACAATGTAACTTACCTTCGTAATGTTGTTGTTCATGAAGAATGAATACGTAATGTAAGACAGCGTGTTTGTGACATGACGTTTTGAGTCTTACCGGTTTCTCCACTAACTCACTCAGTCTCGCGCATGTGGGTTGGGTTAATGTTATCAGGTGAACTTAAACCTACAGTACTAGACAAGAACTGAAAGACAAATGACGCGATAGCCAGCAGTAAAATGAAAGATGACACTCAGCTCGTATGGACAAAATTATCATTTTCATCTCATTCAAAGGCCGCCTGAAAAAAAAATGTGTTTAAGAATTTCAGTTCATACTATAATTTCCTAATTAAATGTTGCAAGAGCTTCTTATAACTAATATGTTTTCGCACTATATCAACTTAAACCATGGACATCAGTTTAATGTTTGTTTTGCCAACCCTCATAAACCTCTCTCTCAATCTCTCACAGAGGATTTTTGCAACTCTATTTACAGAGAAACAATCAACACACTATCATTCATAATGGTCACTTTGTACCTTATAGGCTACACACACTATATGTATTTTCTTGGCTTCAAAATAGGCTAAATAGTGTTAAAAAAAATAAGGTAGCCCTGGCGTTAATTTATATTTCTAGTTGATTACAATTTAATTAACTGTAAAATTTTGATTCTTAAAATAACTACCTGGTTTTAGTCCTTTAGTCTAAATCATTGTCATGTAATCCATTTGGAAGTCAAACCTTATTTAAAGTCCCCCTGCAGTCAATAATTGTATCCCCTAAAACTCAGATCATCTCAGTTACATATTGTTTTTTCTTTTCTTTCTTCATGCCTTAAAATAGCCCCACCTCCACTCACTCACTCAGCTCAGAGATCCACTGGTTGACGATCACACGTTGATCTGATTGGTTACAAGGTCGTTTGGACATCAGAAACACCAGCGATTTCATGTTTTTGAGAATGTCTTTGGTTCACTGCTGTTTTAAGCAGAAAATACTGAGTAATGCTGTCCACTTATGAATTTACACATATAGCATATTGAAAACACCACATTAGACAAAAAATGCCCTCTGGAAGGGCAGCGGTCTCCTCGACGGGGCGAGACTCTGGAAGGGCGGAGGTCTCCTCGACGGGATGAGACCCTGGAAGGGCAGCGGTCTCCTCGACGGGATGAGACTCTGGAAGGGCAGCGGTCTCCTCGACGGGGTGAGACTCTGGAAGGGCGGCGGTCTCCTCGACGGGACGAGACTCTGGAAGGGCGGAGGTCTCCTCGACGGGATGAGACCCTGGAAGGGCAGCGGTCTCCTCGACGGGATGAGACTCTGGAAGGGCAGCGGTCTCCTCGACGGGACGAGACTCTGGAAGGGCGGCGGTCTCGATGGGGCGAGACTCTGGAAGGGCAGCGGTCTCCTCGACGGGGTGAGACTCTGAAAGGGCAGCGTTCTCCTCGACGGGATGAGACTCTGGAAGGGCAGCGGTCTCCTCGACGGGATGAGACTCTGGAAGGGCAGCGGTCTCCTCGACGGGATGAGACTCTGGAAGGGCAGCGGTCTCCTCGACGGGGTGAGACTCTGGAAGGGCGGCGGTCTCCTCGACGGGATGAGACCCTGGAAGGGCAGCGGTCTCCTCGACGGGATGAGACTCTGGAAGGGCAGCGGTCTCCTCGACGGGGTGAGACTCTGGAAGGGCGGCGGTCTCCTCGACGGGACGAGACTCTGGAAGGGCGGAGGTCTCCTCGACGGGACGAGACTCTGGAAGGGCGGCGGTCTCGATGGGGCGAGACTCTGGAAGGGCAGCGGTCTCCTCGACGGGGTGAGACTCTGAAAGGGCAGCGTTCTCCTCGACGGGATGAGACTCTGGAAGGGCAGCGGTCTCCTCGACGGGATGAGACTCTGGAAGGGCGGCGGTCTCCTCGACGGGACGAGACTCTGGAAGGGCGGCGGTCTCCTCGACGGGACGAGACTCTGGAAGGGCAGCGGTCTCCTCGACGGGGCGAGACTCTGGAAGGGCGGCGGTCTCCTCGACGGGACGAGACTCTGGAAGGTCGGCGGTCTCCTCGACGGGACGAGACTCTGGAAGGTCGGCGATCTCCTTGACGGGGCGAGACTCTGGAAGGGCGGCGGTCTCCTCAACAGGGCGAGACTCTGGAAGGGCAGCAGTCTCCTGGACGGGGCGAGACTCTGGAAGGGCGGCGGTCTCGATGGGGCGAGACTCTGGAAGGGCAGCGGTCTCCTCGACGGGATGAGACTCTGGAAGGGCGGCGGTCTCCTCGACGGGACGAGACTCTGGAAGGGCAGCGGTCTCCTCGACGGGATGAGACTCTGGAAGGGCAGCGGTCTCCTCGACGGGATGAGACTCTGGAAGGGCGGCAGTCTCCTCGACGGGATGAGACTCTGGAAGGGCAGCGGTCTCCTCGACGGGATGAGACTCTGGAAGGGCGGCGGTCTCCTCGACGGGATGAGACTCTGGAAGGGCGGCGGTCTCCTCGACGGGACGAGACTCTGGAAGGGCGGCGGTCTCCTCGACGGGACGAGACTCTGGAAGGGCGGCGGTCTCCTCGACGGGGCGAGACTCTGGAAGGGCGGCGGTCTCCTCGACGGGGCGAGACTCTGGAAGGGCGGCGGTCTCCTCGACGGGACGAGACTCTGGAATGGCGGCGGTCTCCTCGACGGGACGAGACTCTGGAAGGGCGGAGGTCTCCTCGAGGGGGTGAGACTCTGGAAGGGCGGCGGTCTCCTCGACGGGGCGAGACTCTGGAAGGGCGGCGGTCTCCTCGACGGGACGAGACTCTGGAAGGGCGAAGGTCTCCTCGAGGGAACGAGACTCTGGAAGGGCGGCGGTCTCCTCGACGGGACGAGACTCTGGAATGCCGTCGGTCTCCTCGAGGGGGCGAGACTCTGGAAGGGCGGCGGTCCCCTCGACGGGACAAGACTCTGGAAGGGCGGCGGTCTCCTCGACGGGATGAGACTCTGGAAGGGTGGCGGTCTCCTCGCTGGGACGAGACTCTGGAAGGGCGGCGGTCTCCTCGACGGGATGAGACTCTGGAAGGGTGGCGGTCTCCTCGCTGGGACGAGACTCTGGAAGGGCGGCGGTCTCCTCGACGGGACGAGAGTCTGGAAAGGCGGCGGTCTCGTCGACGGGGCGAAACTCTGGAAGGGCGGTGGTCTCCTCAAGGGAATGAGACTCTGGAATGGTGGCGGTCTCCTCGACGGGGCGAGTCTCTGGAAGGGCGGCGTTCTCCTCTGCGGGACGAGATTCTGCAGCTGACTCGTGGGATGCGGGCTCAGGGAATAGCGGCGAATTCTCAGGCGTGGTAGCGGCCATGTTGTCCGAAGACACAAGCGCGGCTGACATGGTGTGAACAGACTCTGGCTCGGCAGGTATGACGTGAAGAATCTCAGGCTTGACCGGCATGACGTCACGTGACGAAGCTCAGGCTTGATAGGCATGACGTCACATGATGAAGCTCAGGCTTGAGGCATGACATGATGGCTGGTGATGGTGGTTGAGTGGTGATGTCATCAACCGCTCAACAGCACATGATCCAGGTATTGTACGAATGAATCTGGTTGAAGCTGGCTGGTGCAGAGGATTGTCCAGTCCAAGCATAAGCTCGTTCTTTAGGATGTAATCAGTCCAGTTGACCTGGTGTGAAATTTCTAGGAACTCTTTCACATTCTTCGATCGGGCAGCCATCCTGGAAACAGTTTATCTGACGATCTGTTGGGTTTTGATGGATGTGTGAAATGCCCATACTTTATGTTTAGGGTCTGATCTTCTGTCATGAAATAGAAGGATTCACACAGGTAAAGTAATCAACAGGTTTATTTGCAGAAGTAAGTGATCGCAACGATGGAAGCAGGTGAGCAGTAACTGATGAAGGGCAAGGAGTCGGGCAAGTGTTCTTTGTGGATCGACAAAACCAGACAAGGGAGTGCAGGAGACGTGTCTCTTTATAGGGAGTGCTGATGGTGCAGGTGCTGATGTAATTAGGTGATTGCTGATGTGTTGGTGTGCAGGTGGGAAACATGAGGGATGCTAGGAGGTTTAGTGTGTTATGCCTGGTTCAGATTACACGATTTTTTTTGTCTGTTACAATAGTCACTGTGTGAGATTACGCGATTTTGACTCCTAAAATCTTGTCGTGTCGTGGACAAGACACATGTCAGTCTACACGTTGCTTCCTGACCAGTCATCGCATGCCGTCTTTAACGGTGTGCGTGATGTCATCGAGAAGGCGAAACTAGTAGCGAGCGACTTCCGGAAACGAACGTAAACAAACAATGGATGAAGCGGTGAGAGTTGAATTGGCTGTCCTGTGTTCAGAAAAAAGTAAAAAAAGAAAGAAAACCCAACAATGGACACCTTCCTGGATTGCTCGGCATTGCCTTTTCAGCGTGGGAAATACACAGTGTGGCGTGTGAGCGAGTGAACTGGTTGATTTGCGTGTGTAAAAAAAATTAAACATGCTAGTATTTTGTAGTGATGTCGTGAAGCAACGCAGACGCGACGTAGGTTGTCGCCCCACTATGACACACTATACGAGATGATACGATCGAATCTTGCGTCCCGACACCCATTGTCATTTACGAATCCCCAAGACACCCTACGTCAAATGGATCGTACCAAAATCGTATTTTTGGGGTAGATAATTTGTTTTTTATCCTATTGTTTACTATTTATTTGCTTGGTCGGTGTTGTTGGGGTGTGGTTTGTTATTTTGCTGCTGTCAGTTGTAAGGACCTTCGAAATTACTGAAATCATTTGGCGAAGTGATATATGGAACTGTAATGTGGGCGAGACCTGCCTGGAACTACTTTAAATATTTGCACACCTTAGAATCAGATTCAAGCATTTAACAGCCTCATAGTATAATACTAGTTAATGTATTATGAATTAACATAAATTAATAATATATATATATATACTGTATATATATATATATATATATATATATATATAAATTAGCACCAACCTACAAGTGTGGCTCAATTTTAGTTCATGATAATACATGGGCTAATGAACTGAGCTTTATTGTAAACCAACATTTAGTTACAATACAATAAAAGCAGAATCATTCTGCATCACAAGTTTCACATAATTAAATGACTGCAGATCCTTCATTACTCACATTTTAAATAATCATCCAGAAGGTATTACTGAGCATAATTGCTTTACTGTATAATAACATAAGACTTCTCACTTAGCCGTGCCTTTAAAAATCTGAACAAAATCAATCTCTGCAATTACGCATTAACTTCAACTGATTTTTCAACAATGTCATGAAAGGGAAAAAACGAAGACAGTTGAAGATTATCAGGTGAAAAATGACTCAAATTTCAGTCTGTTTATCACACAATACATTGCTATTGTCACATAAATGACCTATTATATGCACTTTTGGAGAATAACAATGAGTGCATTATGTAATGTATACATCACTTCACTTTTAAAGGAATCAGCTGCTTTCAATCAGAAATTCATTCCCAATTTCCATTTATTGGTCTAGATTGAGACAGCCGACATCAACAGTCTCTGAATGTTTGTCTCAGTGTGTAATAACTATTCCTTTATTTGAACTGGATTCTCTGACAGTGGATGGAGGTGAGTAGACTTGTTCTCTTCATATTCTCCTCCATCTTGTTTGATGTCCTGTAAGGCCAGCGATTCACTCTGTGTCTGTTCTTTAAGATTTTGCTTTTCCCTGTATGAGTGAAATGTGCAGTACAATGTTATACGAAGTTGTGAAGCTGATTTATTAATGAGACTGATCATTTGAATACCAGGCATTACCTTTTCTCCTCTACATCCTCCACGGTATCAGGCAGAGGAATGTTGAGGGTTTCTGGGAGCAAAAAGGCTATTAAACCAGCAATTACAGCGGATCCCCCGTATATAATGCTAGGCAGAGCCGGCATGATCTCATCCAAGATCAGGACTGCAGGGGCGGCCATGGATCCTATTCTGGACATAGTGGAGACAAAGCCCATGCCAGTCTGCCTGTGGAACAAACATGAGAACTGGAGTAACAATGAAGAGGCTGCCTGAGGCATGCTTTGGTGCTTTGTCGCTCAACAAACACAATGAAATTCAATTTCGGAGTGTTTATTTACACCAAGTGCAAATAGTCCTCCTTGTTGGTAGAAGCTATTTACACTAACTCCACCCACCAATGTCTGGTTGGGCGAGATAAATGTACAAAAAAGCCTGTAATTTATCAGAGGGAGTGGTGTAGGGAGTTAGCCTTCGTACTTCTGCCCAATTTCAGTTCGCTTCTGTACTCAGTCTGAGATGGCGATCTATCTCTCAGTTTTCCTCCGGCCTGAAAACAAGCAGGCCAATTAACAAACAGAGGGCGGGCTGAGAGCCGAGTTTAAGATTGTATTTTAGGTTAGGGGAATCGAAAACGACCGTGGATATGGAGATACGGGATGCAATTCGCTCTGTTGTGGAGAAAGTTACCGGCTTTTGCAACTGAAGCCAGAACAAGAAGAGTGTTTGTTAAACATTTTCAATAGAGGTGATGTTGTAGCCTAGCCTGACTTCGTCATACTCATATTCAAGAAAGAATCTGAAAGAGTCTGAAACTCCTCCATTGGGCTTTGATTATGAGGCGTGTCGTAACCGAACCAGGACAAAAAAAACCTCTGCACTCAATTGGATAGTCGGTAGACCTACCAACCAATCAGAGCAACGCATAAGTCAACTCCTTTGCATATCGCAGTTTTCAAATACAGAACGTAGCCTACTTTATTTATTTTAGAAGTTAAATAACGAGTGTTACTTCTTTTACGTACTTCTCCATGAGTGCGACAAAAGGAGAAACCACAACGACCACAGGCTTTTCATTACGTCCCATCTTCTTAGCGACCGTCAGAGCCAGCTGATAAGTTACACTTTTCCCGAATCATGTAGGAAGGACGCCAAAAATATCTTTCCGATCGACAAATGCCTGGATTGCAGTTCTCTGTTTGTCTATTAAAATTAATGCGCTGTCGATTTATTTTACAACAGAATCTATACATCTCAATTCTCCAGCTGCAGTCATCTCTGACAAGCGCTCTTTGATAACGTGATGATTACGTCCCTGCAGATCATCTGTCCATCATCGTATAAAGCCCGCCCTGGCAATTTGATTGGCCCGTTCATTTCTTGCCTGATCATAATTACTCCTCAATGGATCGAGTCCAGACCGGGACTCAACTTCCTGACCAAAAAATATTGTGGGCGGAGTTCGGGCTGGCATCCAGGCTAGTTGTAGCCCTACTCCCGACAGGTTTTGGGAAAAGTTTAATTTATCAACTGTTACCAATCGTCAGCGAGAAACCGGGCAGGCCAAAGGCCGGCAAGGCGATAGTTGTGATTGTGTCCTCTCCTTGATTGCACTCATGGAGGATCAGGTTAAGGACAAAATGACATCATGAGTTTTGCGTAAACATACACGCCTCTTTCAAGTCAAGTGGCGTGTGTTATCTATACGCATTTTGAGCTATCCGCGTGTATATGTCTACGCCGTTAAATGTCCGAGTGATTCTGCGTGTATGAACACGCCGTTAAACGTCCAAGCGAAACGAAGCAAAATGTAGATTTGGCGGCAATGAGGGCATCTTTGTAGGCAATGAGGTGGAGTTTATAGGCTTCATGATGGACTGTGAGCGATGATTTTTTTGTCAGGCGTTCAAGTTGGCGGCCAGTTTGCCAGTGCAGGTGTGCACCAGGGTGACGAGTTGTTAAAAGTGACAGTTTTTGTTTTGAGGGGGTCAGAGTGTTAAGGGAGGTACACAAAGCGGAGTTGAGGTGGTTTGTGAGATCATCAGGTGAGAAGAGGGCTGAGTCCAGGTGGAGAGCAGATCTGTGAGATGATGATCAATAGATTTAAGGTTGCGGAAGGTGATTTCTCTGAGGAGGCGGGGGCGTAGGGTTAGACACGGAATGGTGAACTGCATTTTTATGTGGCATTTAGTTTTTTTTATTATTAAAACAAATTAACCATTGACATCTAAAACTGAAAATCAAATTATGGTATTCAAAGTATGGATTTTCACATTTTTATTTATGACAATTATTTCAAAAAAAAAATCACAACCAATTTGTATGATTTACAATATGTAAAACTGACACACCAACCTCCTACACGAGTACACAAAGGGGCTCAAAATCATCACAAGAATCAGTAAATTTACAGTTGGGAATATGAGCGACTGACAAGACTCCTGAGCGGATCTTCAACCATAGTTTAGCAGCCAGGACTGGACTACTGCAACTCACTACTCCTTGGCATCAGCTCAAACTACATGAAAAGACTCCAACTGGTTCAGAATGCACCTGCCCAACTCATCACCCTCTCCAAATCCTGGCACCACATCACTCCAGTCCTAAAACAACTACACTGGCGTCCCGTTCCCACCAGATCACATACAAAATCCTGGTCCTTACCTACAAAGCCATCCACCACTTGGCTCCCTCATACCTCACTGACCTCCTCTTCCCCTACCAACCCTAACAGTCCCTCAGATCCACCTCAGCCGATCTCTTCTGCATCCACAAGTCCAAGCTCCACAGTTTTGGTGCTTCCAGGCTCTGGATCCGTAGCCCCACGCCCCTCCCATCTCTCTATGTGTTGTTTTTTGCTTATTCACCTGCCCCGTAAAGAGACTCTGAGTTCGAGAAAAGCGCAATATAAATTCAGTTTATTCAATTGAACCATTTGGCACTGAATGAAGTCTATTATATGGAGAAAAATCCTGAAATGTTTTCATCAAAAACCTTAATTTCTTTTCGACTGAAGAAAGAAAGACGTGGACATCTTGGATGACATGGGGGTGAGTAAATTATCAGTAAATTAAATTATAGTAAATTATAAAAACTAAACAAAAAACGAACGTGGCAGAAAACCTCTTTGATAAAAAAATTATTTGAAGTGTAATTTGATTGTTTAGTTTCCATCGCATCCCATTAGACTTCATGAGGAGGGCAGGTTCATGACATGTACTGGGACCAACCACCAGGGGGCGATCGAGACACTTTGGTTTTACTTTTCAGGACTTGTGCTTGTTTGTAAACCAAGACGATTTTACTATACTGTGTCACTTATATTTAGGACTATAATATCCATACTGTAGCCTACAACACTAACATGACACTGAATGAATAGCCTAATATATTCATATGCAATGCTATAATGCTGTGCAAGATACCATGTTACTTTATTGTACGTACTGTAGTTGCAATTAGCTTAATGGTTTAAACAAAACTATAACATTTGGATGCTTCAGACCTGATGACAGTAGGGTAAAGCTCTCCAGTAAATAGGTAGACACAAGTAAAGGACGATGACATGAAGCCCTTCCCAAGAACGGCAAGCACTGTCCTTGTGAACTGCATATCTGCAATGACAAACAGCTTCATTAGCCGTCAGTACAAGATTAGACACACCTGTGTGTGATATTCTAGCTTGTGTTATCACATGACATAAGACATTTAACAAAACTTTTTGCCAAATCTTGTTTCTTGAGAACTAATAAAAATGGACTTGATTTTTTCTGGATTTGCACTTTCTGAATTTTTGCACAATATGTAGGGGGTTTTTTGGCCACAAGAGGGCGTAGTTTCCAACAATAACAAAGGCGCAGGACTTGCTGTCAAGCTGATGGATCTAATAATGTTTATGGATGAGTGCAAACATTCATGTTTTTAACATTACAGTGGTATGAAGCAGGTTGTGATTGCTAAAGAGAGTCCTGTGGATATAAAGGAATGAGGACATTTAATTCTACCGAACTCCCCGCAAGTGTTGGATACTCACACAGGTCAGTTTATTAGACGAATTAAACTTATGAGGTAACGCAGCTCTGCTTCACTTGCTCTAACGTTACACTATGACAATAAACAGCATTTACTGTGTATTGAAAGTTATAATGTTATACTAAGTGTTAGTTTGTTTGCTATACAAAACTAGCATCCTCATTTTAGTTCTCCTTGTTTGTCCCAAAGTATGGTCTGTTTGAAAGAAACAAGAACTTTGTGCCGCTACATTACGCAGTACACAGTTGTCCACGTCTGTCGCCATGGTTACGTCATGGCTATGGCAGTTTGAAAGGAAACCGAGGATAGTGCGGAAATTGCGTCATTGACAGGCGACATTTTTTCCAGGACGGCCACTTAATTAAAATTGGATTATCTCTGAAACAGACTTTTGGAAAACTGTAAGTACACAACTGCAGGAAATATATCACACTGTGCAATAGATTTTTGGATATTTTATTACACAATTCTTGCTCAGGATTACTTGAATCCAACTATGTCTGAGCAGGATTGGAACTGAAGCCAGTAGCAAGGTATCCCTCCAGGAGCAGGGTTTATATTAAATTGTATTATTATCATTTATAAAATCTGTCTTCACTTTACGGGATTAGCCGTTTAATTAGGTAAATGATTGTAGCGTATCATAATAGAATAAAGCTATTGTCTTACCTTTAGGAACAAAAATGTTGGCAAATATTACAGATGCTGACACAAGGAGACACAAGCCTTGGGTCAAACGTCGGCCCAGAAAGCTCAACATAAGAAGAGCAATCAGTTTAGCGGGAAAATCTACCGCCCCAAAGATGATCTGCATTAGATATATGTTCACCCCAAACTTCTGCAGGTCCATGGCCAGTCCATAATATGCAAAGCTAGTTGAAAACCTGTTAGGAATTACAGTAGTCATGTTTATTATTGATTTTTGTACACTTAATGTATATCTATGTGTTTATATTTATACATAAAAGAAGAGGCGTAACCACAGACATTGCATACATTGAAACATTGACATGATAAAATTGATTCTTACCAGACGATCATAAGGCACATGGATATCTTCCTCATGTTTGGTGTTCTCAGGAGATCAAGTGCAGTATACACTTTCTTACTAGACTGAACTTCTTTTTGCATGTGTGTCTCCAGCACCTAAACATCAGCATACATGAAACACATACACTGCTGTTCAAAAGTTTGGGTTCATAAGGATGTATTAAATTGAACAAAAGTGACAGTAAATACGCACATTGTTATGACTATTATAATAAATAAATATTAACTTTATATTCATCAAAGAATCCTGAAAAAAGAATTCTAAACAGGACAACCTTTTCCAACTGAAATAATAATAATAATAGAAAACAGTAAAAGCACCAAATCAGCATATTAGAATGATTTATAGATTATTTTTGACCCTCAAGACTGGAGTAATGATGACTCGTGAAAATGTAGCACATGAATACCGGTAAATATAATTTAAAAAACAACCCTACACTTTCGATAAGTATAGTGTTTAACTATGACAGATATGAAAAGCTGATGTGAAACCTCTAACGTGATCTTTTCTGCCTTCTCGGGCTTGCCGTTGATTTTAGCTACGTGGTGGAGATTCTTCAGTGCCTCCTCAGAACGGCCATTCAGCACCAGCCAGCGAGCAGATTCAGAGAACCACCTTTGACATGGAGACATTTCTTTCAGTTAGTTAATGCATGCTACATTATTTTTACTGTGTGCAGAATATCTATAGTTCTAATAAGTCTACACACATTTTAAACACACTGGTGACCTTTTCAGAATCACATTCAGAATCAACACAATCACATTGTCATTTTCTGTACAGGATGAAAAAATGAAAAATTTAAAGATGACCTCTATACTTAGCATTGTAATTAGGCCAGTGGTTTTCAAACCTCGTCGACTGTATTTTTTGAGAGAAAGTGCCAGACTATAATTTTAAATGTAAGCATTGGGTTTCAATTTACCTTGAATATCTAACGTTACAAATATATAACAACAACTTTAAAGGGACACTCCACCCATTTGCATTAAGATTTCCATTGTTAGAAATCCAGTCATACTATTGAATGGTCGTGCCACACTCTCTCATTTTCCCCAGAGACGAGAGAAATCCGCTATTTACCTTTTTCACTTCCTCCTATCATCATTTTACGACATTGTAGGAGGAAGAGTTCAAGGGGGATTTCTGTAAAGACTACAAGCACTAGTTCCCACCCTTTCAAACCCGCTCATAGGGGGTTGGGCCTATTGTGCTAACAGACCAATCACAGATCACTGGCAGTGCGATTGATATCACCGGCAGAAACTTTTTGAAAATAAGGACGAAGGTAGTGAATGCGCAGACGGAGGTATTATGGATAGAGTTGGGTACCGAAACGCGATGCCAATAGGGAACCGGTTCCGACATAAACGGTAATAACCAGACCGAATAAGAACGAAAATTTCGGTGCCTGAGTCTCTGTGTCATGAGGCGCACACACGCAAAGACTCTCGCTCTCTCCCTCTTCCTCGTGTGCGCACTATACGGTTTGGACTCTTGCTCACTCACTCGAGATTTGAACTAATTTGCAGGCCGTTATCAATATGCGGGAGACTCCTGGATCGTCTGATAGGGGATTAATGAAGACGCCGAAGACAAAACGCTCCAAGTTTCGGCTGCATTTTACATGTAAAATTACACGGCAGAGTAAGTGTGCCGATTGTCTGAAGCCCATATAGAATCACGCCAATCCATTGTTCGGATGGCACGGACGCCACCTCGACGCTTTTACGTCGTCATATTATATTAGCACGCATTATTGGATTTCTTTGTGCGAAATGATTTCCAGGCGGTAGCGTAGAGTGGAGCTCAACTCTAGTGTCCATTGATGGGCGGAGTAGTGGGAGTGGCCTGCGGAGCTGAGCATTGCAATGCATTATGGGGATTCGTTTCATGTTGTCTACACCCTCTATCCAGACTAGCACATCAGAGTGACCCTCCTGTGGTCACAGAGGAAACTGTTGTCTCTCAGAGCAATGCATGTCCCCGGTGGACCAGAATCAGGGGGCAGATCACTCTGCCCAAGTAGCAGTGCTTCGCCTTCTGAGAATATAGTTCCCAGTGTTGTAGTACTCGAGACTCGTCTCGGACTCGGTCTCGAGACCATATTTTAATGGTCTTGGTCTTGTCATGGACTCGTGTGCATTTGGACTCGGAATTGACTCGTACTCGAACATTTTTTTTTTTTTAGGACTCGGACTTATTCCCGAGTCCACTCGAGTTCAATTCAAAATATTTTTCATGATTATTAATGTATGTTAATAAAATATTTCTTTCAAATTGATTGACACGCCCAGTGATTGGTGATTTTCTAGTGCGCAACTGCGCATGACAAATTGTAATAAAATTACTTTTAACACCACCTACTATGTGGCCTTTTTACCCTAAACTGATCATATTTTTTAAACTCTAAGTAAATTCAGTAAAAAAAAAAAAAAAAAAGGATTTCTCTAAGTAAATAAAAGTAAATTAGGTAATCAACCCTCACTGGTCTCGGTCTCGACTCGGACTCGACCGTCTCTGGTCTCGGACTCGACTCTCTATGGACTTGGTCTTGACTCGGACTCGACTCTCTCTGGTCTCGGTGTCGACTCGGACTCGAGTGAGGTGGTCTTGACTACAACACTGATAGTTCCCAGTATGAATATGGTTAAAAGATGCCTGTGTCTTATATGACCTTGTTATTTGTACACAATGTGACTATACAAATCACAACATATAAATAGCAAAATGTTGGCGTTATTTTGTCACTTATTGGGAATAGTATGCTAGGAGCCATTTACTTCTAGTCTTTGCTAAGCTAGGCTAGACGTGGGTGCGTCAGACAGAGTTATGGAGATGAAAAGGGTACAGTATGTATGGACTTACAGTACATACCCTTATGTAACTCCGGGGGATACGGTGAATAAGCTAGAGTCCCAAAAAGTCGGCGTGTTCCTTCAGCCCATTCTCACTCCCAAGGCGTCACGTAACTGACGCCTTGGGAAGCATTTGACCATGCTTCAATATCTGACGCCTTAGGCGCCCTTTAGCGTCAGTTAGATGACGCCCTAGGATCGCGTGTACCCTACCCCCACCCCATACCTAAACCTAACCGCGTCCTCTAACTGACGCTTTCCTTTAGCGTCAATTACATGACGCCGTAGGATCGCGTCATGTAAGTGACGCTAAAGGGCGCCTAAAACGTCAAATATTGAAGCATGGTCAAAGGTGACGCCTTGGGGTGAGAATGTGTTGGTTCCTTTAAGAGAATAGGACATCTCCAGACACTCTCCACATCTCTACAGTGCCTGGAGTTTGCCCCAGGAAAAATTAAGGCCATCTTGCACCTCAGACCGGGCCTAGGGTGCCTTCCAATGTGGTGAGGTCTATGGTTTTGCAGGTTTTTCAGACTCCACCTCATGTGATGGCGGAAGATGTGAGATGAGGGAGGAAGTGGAGGAAGTCGGAACAGTAACTGGTGTTTCGGGTCACATAACAAGGGGTTCCCCGCTTCTAAACAGACCATCAGCAACTGGATAGTTCAGGCTATTTCCCTGGCCTATCAGGTGTACAGTTTGCCTTCACCTTTGGTCGTGAGGGCTCACTCAACTGGAGGCATGGAGTCCTCTAGAGCCCGCCTTTCAGAGGGCACCTATCCATCTATCCTGTGCCCCTCCGCACATTCATGAGATTTTATAGTCTGGACCTACCCTTAACACCCAGTTGTAGTGCCTGAGACAGCTTCACACTATGACAGACAGGCTTCATTGTGGCATAGAGGGCATTTCGCTCCCCATAGTATTGTCATTGACACAGTGAGAGTTCCCTCGAAAGGAAACGTCTTGAGTTAGGGCTGTAATCTCAATCTCAAATCTCTCTCAAAAAACCTTTTCAGTTTGTACAAACACTGCTTGTCAGCAGTTGTACATGTGACCATTCAGTGCCCTGAGACACCTGTACACATGGTTGAGGCGAACTATGGGTCAGGAAAGACTTCACAACCTCGAGGTTATTTCAATTGCAAAGGAATCTGTTAACTCAATTGAGCCAGGAAGAGTAATCAAAAGATTTTCTGCACTCAAGTCAAAGAGACAATAAGAGAGACAGACAAGAAAAATATTGCTTTGAAAAAAACACGGAAAGACGTCAAAGATACGGCGAGAGATTAACTCGACATACAAAAAAAAAATTAAATAAATAGACGAGACCAGACTGGATGAACGATGAATAGCCAACTGTATAAGAACAAATTATTTCACCGCAAGTTATCCTGTCAATTATAACTGTGATAACACCACGTACTTCAACATTATTTGTCACAACCAAGCATGTTTAAAACACATAAATGTTTCACATTGTTGGCAAACTAACTATGTATTAGGATATTTTTCAGCATTGGAAGTTTTTAAAACAATTGCTGGGACGTTTATTCTGTTCATTCACTGATAAGGTCAGTTATATATGTTTCATTTATGTTTCTTTTGTTTATTATTTTGCCCTTGGGGTACCTTGAATCCATGGCTCCTTAATTTAATTACTTTTCCATAATTATACTTTTTGTGGAAATGCAGCTTTTGTGTAAGTTCTGCCGGGAAGACTCAATAATTACGTCACTGTTTACCTTCACTTTATTCAATCGTGCGCTAAATACTCGTAGTATTAAAGGTCGAAACTTACACAAGTTTGAGTTTGCAGATGCTGACGCTTCCATTCTCCTCCACCCTCCCCAACACCACCAACATGACCCTTCTCCTCCACCACCCTCCCCAACACCACCACCAGGATGGTCCCGCCGCGCCACTGCCTTCGTCTTCAGGCAGGACATGCAGATTCCGTATCCGTACCCTCGGAGTGCGAACTACAAACGGGGCCTATGCCAAAAAACTTTATATCATATTATGCTTGCTGAGCTGTTAATAAATGTTTAATGGTAATGGCGTTATTATAAAAATGGTCTTTGATGAGAATAAGTGCTTAGCTGTCATGTCCTGTCGTGTTGTGTCTGGTTCTCTCTCTTTACTCTGTCTCCCTCTGCTGGTCATATTAGGTTACTTTCTCTTTCTTCGCTCTTCCAGCTGTTCCTCATCTCCTCTGACTACCTCGTTCTCCCTCTTTCCACCTGTTCCCTTTCTCCCCTGATTAGCGCTCTATTTCTCTCCCTGCTACTGCTACGTTCTTTGTCAGATTCTCTTTTGAGCATCTAATGTTGGAAGCTAACCTCTGTCTCGATTGTTTCACCGTCGTCCTGTCCTGTCCTGTCCTGTTGGTGTCCGTCTGGTTAGTGCTACCTGTTAATCCTCTGATATCTACCCTGTCCAGTTCTCCTGAGGCTACATCTGAACTGGTACCCACTCTCTCCACGTCTTCCTGGTGAGACCTGCAGTCTGTTGCCGTAACCCAGAGATTCCTCTCGACTGCCTAAAGACTTTTTGAAGTTCATCAGTGACTTGAGTTTCGTTGCGGCGCCCGCTCTGCGGGCAGTTTATTTCCTCATTGTTAATTAATAAGAAGATCAGTCTGCCTCACTGTGTCTATCCTGGGTTCACGTTTCATTAAAGACTCTGTTTCTGTTACCTCGCTGTTGGGTCCTCTTTACCTGCATAACAGAAGAATCTGACCACTATGGACCCAGC